GTCAATAAACGTAATAAAATATCTAAACCCGCTAAAAGAACTCTCACTCATTGGTCCACAAACGTCAGAGTGTACCAACCCTAATATCTCTGTAGCTCTAGTACCTTTAGTTTTCTTAAATGGTATTTTTGTTTGTTTCCCCATAACACAGGAAACGCATTGAAGTGTTGAAGATTTAGGAAAACTTACCCCTATGGCCATTTTATCTTTAAGTAGTTTTAGATTTCTTACTCCAAGATGACCCATTCTCTTATGCCACATCTCCATCTCGCCAAGTGTAGCTGTATTTAATGCTGTGCCCTGTGAAAAGGATTTGAGTTTATAGACACCTCTCTCTAATATGCCTTTAGCGACTACTCTCCCTTTCACCTCGCATTCATCAGCCAGGAAAATCTCACATCCTTTCTCCGAAAATACAACTACATTACCTCTACTCACTATGTTACTGACACTTAGTAAGTTAGTACTCAATTTAGGTACAAACAAGACATCGCTCACGTTTACACCTATTTGACTCGATACAGTACCTTTTCCTTCACCATACATCTTATCACCATTTGCACAGTTAACTTCCACTCTCTCAGACTTATCAAAACATTTGAATTCCTTAAACCAATCTCTTCTATTTGTCATATGTGTAGATGCTCCGGAGTCTAAGATCCATTCTTCATCCTGAGAATTTCCACTGACAGCAAAAACAAAAGCCTGCATAGCATCCTTCTTTTGTTTTGGGTTATTCGGACATTCAAAAGCCTTATGAGGTCCACCACAGATAAAACATTTGATTTGCTTCTTATATTTTTTCTTGTGAACCTTCTCTTTAGTCTTTCTGTTAATCAATAGTGCAGAGTTATCCGGGGCATTACTCAAGCTCCCTGATGTATATGTGTCCTCCATTTAGAAAAACTTCATCTTAATAAAATCTGTTGTTAATACTGTATTAGTATTTTCGAGCGCTAATCTCATTGGCTGAAAATTTTCAGTAAGTCCCTGAAGCATAAGAGCAGCTAGGAGCTCATCATCAATCTCCTTCCCAATATCGCTTAACTGCTGCGATATCGTCATAATAGTCGTTACGTAGTCTCTCACTGACGTAAATTGTTCTAACTTCAAACTTACTAATTTTGATAAAAGGCGACATCGGTTATTTATGCCTTTATCCTCAAAAGCAATTTTCAGTGCTTCCCATGCTTGTTTAGCTGTTTTGCATTCTCTAACATGTACTAAACAACGTGATTTCACCATTAGGCATATCTTAGCGCGAGCCTTCTGATCTCTTCTCACTCCTATTACATCATCATTCTCCGGTGATACCTGTGTGTATTTCCATAAATCGTCATGGAGAAGGTATAGCTCCATAGCAAATTTCCAACTGTTGTAATTGCTATTCCCATCGAGTTTTTCGATAGACGGTGGACTACCACTCTCATTATCGTTTGATGATGACGGTCTGTTATTCATGATTGAGTTTGCAATCGAACCATCACCATTACTTTCAATCATATTTTACCTTTTACTCCCAGCCCATAACCTGTTGGTATTTCTGTTTGTGATATCAGCTTATATTTCCGTAGTGGAAGGGAATAGGATAAACACAATATAAAAGTACGATAAAATTTAATAGAAGACAAAATACAGAAAGGCAACGATTGTTTCTAACAGTCAACTAAATTTAAAAACATATCTTTTTAAATTACAACCGGCCAGTAGTGCGTAGCTGTATGAAAATAAACCTATTTCTAACAAAAGGTAACACTGATGGTGTCCGAAATTGGAAAGACATCGTCGGAAATTAAGGAAATTGTTGAATACACTATCAAAGCAAAATCAATTGTTTGTCTATTGAGAAACATTATATAATAGGTTGCCTCAAAAAACTTGGTAATAACTTCATGAAGAACGAAGAAACAAGCGAATTGTAGCTAATACTAACCACTCATTTTCAAGTTTTCCAAACTGCTGCTGAGTATTCATGGGAACCATACAAAGAAAGAGAAACCGGCAGCTCGGGCTGGAAAGTAGCAAAAAGAGTTATAGATAAAGAAAAGCTACTATGGGCAATCGGTACCTTTCTGCCATTTAAAGCAGCGGGCCTAGATAGAATATTTTTGGTCCTCAAATGAAGCAGGAGCATCATAGTTGACTATTTAAGTTGTCCCGAGCGTATATAGCTTACCGTTACATACCTTTGAAATAGCGTGAGGTAAAAATCATATTTATTTCCAAACTAGACATTTTCTACCTGGTTTAGGAATAAATATGTTTACACTGAGGCCAAATTCTTTTGACCCATCAATCTCACCTCGTTCTTTTTGAAAACTTTGCAGAGACTATGTGACAAAGAGATCAATGTCTCTTTACGCAAACCTTTACATCCAAACCAACATGCTTATAGTGAAGGCAAATCAACTGAATCAGCACTTCATAACGTGGTACCCCGAATAGGCAATTCATTGGAATCGAATCAATCAACCTTAGGTGCATTCATTGACGTCGAAGTGGCATTCGATAAAATAAATTTTGCCAGTATAAGTCGGACACTAGCTACACATGGAATACACACAACACTTAGCGAATGGATATATAACATGCTTAATTAACGAAGACTCGTCAATAGAGCCTCTATTCCACAAGGCACTGTATTATCACTGCTATTATACAATATAGACGTAAATAATACATAGATAGATGTACTCTTTATTATTTCCTCCAAAAGCTTACAATAGTGAACTTATTATAAATATAAATAATTACAAGAAATAATCACAATGAGAAAGAAAACAATGGGCGACCTTATCGCTAAGAGCGATCTCTTCCAGGCAACCTTTGGATGGAGAGGAGTAATTATAAACAATCATAATAAACGATAGCGGCCTCTATACGGTAAGTTATGCGGATGATATAGCTGTACTTTATCAGAAAATTTTGAATGTACTGTATGACCACATGAGAATAGGTTATAAAATATTTAAGAGATGGTGCATAAATTATAAATTCTCGGTAAATTCTATAAAAACAGAATTAATCATGTTTACAAATAGAAGGGTAACATCTTACAGACAACCAAAACTCTTCAATACAGAACTAAAACTTAAGGAAAAAGTCACGTGGCATAAACAGTAAATTGCTTTGGAACAAACATCTTGACTATAATAAAGTAAACAAAAGCAACAATTGCATTCTATCAGTACAAAAAGTTACTAGAAATAAATGGGATCTTTAAAAATGACTGTGGTTGTCCAGAGCTGTGATAAGTCTAATGTTGTTTTATGGTACGCTGGTCTAGTGGCCGAAGACAAAACTATCGACCACTGCAGCCAAACTAAAAAGTTTTTGAAGAGATTGGCTTTTTTTTCTATTAGCGGCTACATGAAAACAACTTCAGTAACAGCAATAGAGGTACCTCTCAACATAACACCTCTAGATCTGCACATACAGCATCAGTTACCATGGTGCAGCCGATTTAGTATATAATTTCTAGAATAGTGAAAGACTAGTGATTAGAGAAATTCTGGGAGCTTATTGAATTTTTTTTTTTATTCTTAACAAATGTTTAGAAATATATTTGTGTTTCAATAGCGTTATAAATTATTTTCTAGTTAATCAATAAATACATTTAATAACAATATAACTTATCGTTAAATTTACCATTTTTTAGATGTGATGAAACATTTGTAAAAATCTTAAAAACGTTGTACTGTAAAATAGTAAATTTTTAGTTGCGTCATTGTCGTCTTAAACTAGCGTATGCTCATTCGCACCTGTGTCTATAACCATTACCTTAAAGGTTTAGAAATATTAGTTTTTCTATTGTTATAATTATTATTTTGTCGATATTATACCTACACATGACCCTCATTGCCACATTACTTAAATTTTCTGTTGTTTACACGTATATTCACGGTTTAAATGACCTATTTTACCTCATTTAACACTTCTTTAATACAAAATGCCACTCTACAATTCTATGTGACAATCCACTATTCTTTGATTAACTGGCTATATTGTTTCACATCAATTAGCCGCAACTGCTATTGTGGAGATTTGATCCTTAGGGACCTTTATATGTAGGTAAGTATATGCTCATCTTCAACTAGTAAGTTAAAAAAATACCTTTCAACAATTTAATTTGATGTGATTCGAACTTACATCTCAGCTATCCGAGCTGTGTTCTTAGTTACACCACGAAGGTATACTATCAGTCGGTATTAGTGTCTACATAGTTCAGCATATTATTTTTAAAGGGGAAAGAGATTGTTAGTAATAGGATCTATCAGCCCCATTGCTAGGCATATACTCTACCAGGTCGACTTCCACACGATCCCCCTGGAAACCATCATGATTGTATTCTTGTGGAATTCGTCACGATGGGCTAACTGACCTGTTTTAATCTTCACCTATCTATCTCTCACTGTTGCCCCATCAGCGTATACCGATAACTCAAGCGGGGTTAACATTCCCTTCTCAGCCATTACAAAAAAGTATATTGTTCGTTAGTTTACGATTTACCTATTTCTTATAATCTTTTCGTTTTACAAATAATAAAAATTTGTATGACGTATGATTTTTATTATAATTTTAAAGAAAATATAAGAAAATTATTTTTCATTATTTGATTAATTTATTTATTATTTTATTTTCATTAATTATTTTATACAACTTTGCTACCTATTACCTGCCAAAGCCACAATGACCGAAACTTCATAATAGCCTATATTTTCTACCTACGTTGGGAGCACGTGCTGAGAAACTTCCTTCTTTTATAAAAAAACGAAGTACAAGCAATTACGGGCTCTTGATTTATAATGGGAATGATAAAAATATACGAGTATATCGTCCTCTCCTTTCTTCTGTTATAGTATTGATACGATTAGATCCATCATGTATCAAGTGCCCCAACGTTTCCTCCATTTTGATTTCAGTAGTTTTTAGAATATGTCACTTTTTTCTTATACCCATAAATATTTAGATATATTAATTAATGATATAATGTTTTCCAGGTATGGTGCATATTTATTTAAAGCATTCCCTTTGGATATGAGTCAATTTGTTGGGTTGTTTGGAGCAACACGTCTACCTCAAATAAATAAAGATAAAATATATCGTGACCCATCAAGTAAACATGTGGTTGTACAAAAGAATGGAAACTTTTATATTTTTGATGTATTTGATACTGATGGTATGTATGTACATAGTATTTAGCTTTGACATATTTTTTTTAACAAACGCTACAGATGCTCTAAAGAATTAAGTAATTTTTTATATTGTTGACTTGTGATTTTCATAAGATTATGTTCCACAAAAAAACAGATTTCAATTATGACAAAACCACTTATTTTTATTTAAAAACTAAATTACTAAAACAATTTTGATAATATTCAATGAGACTAATCTGTAAGAATATCCTTTCAGACAAAATAAAATTAAAATCGGTTTACAACTGACGGAATTATGAGATAACAAACAAAAAAATTCAACCAAATAGTTTATTTTTTCTAGATGTATAGTTATATTAAGTACCCAATAAACTATTTCAGTATATCGATGCAGAGAACAGATATTAAATATATTTATAAATTCAATATATTTTTATCTGGTATATTATCATTGTTTTGGCCATGGCCTTGGAAATTTAAATAAAATATTTCGCTATTAATTTTATGCAAAAATTAAAAGTACATTATATATATAGAGAAGTAAAAGTGTATCCATTTTTATGAAATAAATTATCAATAGGTTAATAAATTTAGAGATTTTTTGTTTAAATTATAGAAATTAACATGTATATACTAGACGGAGACTTTGTACAAAAGTCGTTTGCTTGGGCACCTCTATCCCATTCGTGTTTCTACCGTGAAGCAACTGTTTACATGGCTGTGTTTCAGTTTGAAGGGTGGGACATGGTAGTGAATTTTTAGGGTACAGAGGAATAACACCTGAGTCGTCAGGAATAGCAATGCATGGGCGAAACACTATACTCTGTTATATCCATGGTACTGTTCATGTCTATAGGCGACGGTTGCCACTTTCTATCAAGTGGGCTGTCAGTTTGTTTGCCATTCTAAGTTGCATAAAAAAATATATATAATAACAGCCACAGTAACAATATTTATTTATCTACTATTGATATATACTATTGATCCTTATCATATGTACACACTATGACAATTGTTAATCGAGTGTTGTATTTTTAGGAAACATTTTATCACCATCTGAACTTTTGGGAAATTTGAGTAAAATCCTCAATGATAATACTCCAAAGGCAGACCATCCTTTAGGGATTTTGACGTCTCAAAATCGTGATGTGTGGGCAACGCAGCGTGCACATTTGGAATCAATAGGTAATCAGGAAACCTTGCGCAAAATAGATTCAGCAATATTTAATCTGGTCCTTGATGATATTCTGATAGAAGATGATAAACATAGAATACTACAAAATTTCTTACATGGTGATGGGACAAACAGGTGAGAATTTAGTTTGTTTCTATGTTTTTTGTTAAAACTTTTTATGCGATTTAAAAAATATCACAGGAATTTTATACTGATAGAAATTTATATTAAACCGACTTCAAAAAGAAAGAGTTTTTCCATTCGGTTACTTTTGTATGCTTATTACCACATTACTCCGTTAGTTTTAAACAGATTTAATTTTTTTTTTATCTGGAATGATATACTTTCTGGTTAGCCCCATAGAAATTTTATCAAAATCGGTTCAGTAATTTAGGTTTTGTTACAACTGAAGTCAGTTTTTACAATTGAGTTCAAAAGAATGAGTTTCTCATTTCATTTGTATTATTTTTTTATGTTTGTTATCTCATAAATCTCTCAGTTTTAAACCGATTTGAAAAATTCTTTTTATTTAAAAAAATATATAAAGAGATAATTTTGATAGATGCTAAATTGCTTTGTAGAGAGGTGTCTCTTCTTGGTTCATCTTCTTCCTGCAATACAGCAGGCGGCAGGAAACAGGGATGGTGTTTAAAATCAAAATATAAAATATCTACTTACAAATTATATATTTTATAAGCAAATTTAATCAGCCCAATAGTTTTATTATTTTAAATGAATAATTAATTGATGCAATAATTTTATTTTTCCAGATGGTTTGATAAATCGTTCAGTGTAATTGTAACCGGCGATGGTGTCGCTGGTGTGAACTTTGAACACTCGTGGGGCGACGGTGTTGCTGTCCTTAGATTTTTCCAAGACATATACAACGAAACCATAACTAAACCCTTCGTACATCCAGACACAAAACCTTCAGATAACAACATAACTGTTAGTACATTAGGTAATTAGTTATGCTAATACATACAATTCATAACAATTTTATTCCTTATCAGTAATGCTTATCTAGAGTGGCATAAACAGTAAAATTAGACCGGTTTTATTATTAAATAAATTTAAGTTATATGTAATAACTTATTCGTCATTATTATTATATAATATATCTTTTTTTTTATACCACTGAGGTGGCAAACAAGCATACGGCCCCCCTGATGGTAAGTGGTTACCGCAGCCTATGAACACCTGCAATACCAGAGGTATTACGCGTGCGTTGCCGACCCTGAAGAAACCTCTTTACACCCCTTTTGAAGAACCCCATGCTGTAGTCTCTTGGGAAAACCTCAGCAGGGAACTCATTCCACAACCCGAGTGTTCGTGGGAGGAAACATCTCAAACCGCGCAGACGAGACCATTGAGGCTGTAGGACATGAGGATGATGGTAGTGTGAGCATCATATTGAACAATTCCTCTGAGCACAATCCATTGTACAGGCGGTAGAACACGCAGAGTGAGGCAAAATCTCTCCTAAGACTTAAGGGTTCGATACCGCTTGTGAGCTTGCGATCATCGATTATATAGTGTTATTTTATGATACAGCTTGGATTGGCAAATGATCTGATGGGTAATGGTAATCGTTACCTGTAGATATAATCAACTTAGTACATGTCTTAGAATTTTCTTTATCACCCATGGTATTCCATATGAATTATGATCTTGAGATTAAGATATTAAGCTTTAGTATTCAGTAATGTCCTTCAAATTACATACGTTTACGGGCAAGAATATTTCTTAAATGATTCATCTCAAATTCAACTGAGAACAATCCAGAACCAATAATTTTAACTTCAGAATTGAAGCTTCCAGTTCGCCACTATTTTTAACTATAAATTAACATTTTTAATAAATTTAATTTTGTAAAAAATATTGCTTTATCCAAGCCTTCATCCACATTCGTAAAAATGTAATACAATATTAAGTCGTATTTTATTTTGTTTTTATTGTAGATTTCAAGTTGGATGACAAATCCAAAAATTTTATCGAGAACGCAAAGAAAGAATATAAACAATGGTACGATTCTCTAAGTATTGACTATATATTATACGAAGGCCTTACAAAAGGAGCATGTAAGAAATTTAAAGTCAGTCCAGACTGTATTATGCAGCTGAGTTTTCAAGTAAGTTTTTGTTGTTAATTTCTATAAATATTTTTCTTATATTAATAGTTCTCTTACAATACAACGATTTTAAAAATGATAAGTAAAAAAGGGTGATCCGATTAACAGCAGGATTTTTGCAACCATTTATATATCTCTTATGCTCTTCATTTTTCATATTTGTGGCTATATAAACCTCAAATCCGTGTTCATGTAAAAATACACTTTCTTCGACGTATAAGCAACTAAATAAAACATGCTATACGTGATCTCGCTTGCTTGTGTTTTACTAACGTCAACATATCAAATATCCTATCAAGAATTTGTTTAAGTTGGGCCTCACACAGGCCCTCCTCAAGCTATCTGTTTGCTAAGTTTAACTAGAATCGGTTAGTCATAAAATTTCAAAATGTCATCTATCTCTTAATTTTATAGTTAGTGTTTTGTGTTTGATTGATCTTCTACGAAATTTTTTCAACTAGCCAATTCCATTGAGATGATAATAAATACCTCATAAAAGACTATCACAAGGTCGGATGTTCAAGAGATTTAATGTGAAAAGTACTTATATTATAAAACGCTTCACTGATACTCAAGCACTCAATTCAAGGTCAGAGTTAACAACCTGTGCCCACAATAATCCGTGGAAATATAAATTTCCTTTAGAATAGTACCTATATATGGTCCTATAGTACTTTAAATGTTTAAATTACAATTACAGTCCCACAGCTTGTTTCCACATACCATAGGAGAAAAGATAGACACAATAAACCCATAAATAATCGACATTGACCTCCATACAGTATAAAATTGTATCGCAGAATTTAGCCAACCTTCACTGTTCAACTTTCTGACAATATGCACTTGAATACGCATATTAATGATATCGAAACAAAACAAAGAACATTAACCCGATCGCGAATGAAAACGATTTTAATAAAATAACACCTGATTCAATATTATGATAATTGGCTATTTAAATGTTATCGAAGAAGTATTCTTAAATTAGAAAATGTTTATTTCACCCTATTTTTGTACATATAAATATTTATTGTGTATTATTGTTAAAGATAATTTCACTAAATTTGAACCTTTATTTCTACCATCAATGTCCAGAGGAGCCCAATTGGTGTAGATATAGGAGCGTAACCAATATTATTCGTTCCTATTTCCGACTCCACCGTTTCCAGTTCTTTTTTACATACATATCTGTCACGCCTGTCTCCCATTAGGGTAGGCAGAAACAATGGAACGCCAAATTTCGATTCAAACAAACCTCTTTCGCTTCTTCCACATTCATCAATCTTGTCATACACGCTCGTCGGTTACGTACTTTTAATTTGGACCTTCTTCAGCACGTCGCCTATTTGGTCGACATACGTCCGTCTAGGGCGGCCCCTACCGACATCTCCATTCATTCTTGCTCGATAAATCTCTTTCGTAATTCTTCTTTCATCCATCCTCTCCAAATGACCAAACCAACGCAACATTCCTTTTTCAATTTTTTCACTACATCGTCTTTTCCACACTTCTCTCTAACCACACTGTTTCTTACTCTATCTTTATCTTTCTTTTTTTTCTTTTTTATTATTCCATATCACCGTCAATTTGCATGCACGGTTACGAATTTGCTGATCGTTCTGTTTTTCACCTTACAAGTTCTCCTATTGTTAATTATTTTGATGCTCTATATACTTCTCGGGAGTATAAAAACAAAAATTCACTTAATAATGATAATTAATATGTATTATTCAGGCCGCTTATCACCTCTTACGTGGAAATTATGTTGGAACGTACGAATCATGCAGTACGTCAGCTTTTAAACATGGCAGGACTGAAACTATGCGGCCGTGTACTGAGAAGACTAAGGTAACACTATTATTTATATTCGTAAATAAATGCTAATATTATAAATATGAAAGTTTATAAAGTTTATTATATATTTTTTACTCGTGCTTAAATGGCTGATTGTATTTAGATAATATTTAGTAAGCGGGTAAACCTACCCGCTTACTAAATATATAACCATATAGGATACTGATTACGCGACTAATGGATTGAATGTCCGTAACAATTAGTACATTATATTACTAACAGTACTAAAATCTTTAATCAGTATGTAACATGAGAATTAGCAACTATAGTTAGTAGTTAATGCGACAAAAATTTAGATTTATTATAATTACACGCGCAGATATAACAAGGTGTCGCAAAAATTCTTTGGCAGTTACTTGCCACCATTTGCAAATAATATAGCAAGTTCTAATAAAGTGATGAATCTTACGCCCACCTGTATAAAATAGACGCTAACAAATGGTAATTAACTAAAACGCAAATAACGAAGTTTTGCACTTATATATAAATGCAAATTTTTTGATGATGTAAATACTTACTTTACATTATCACGTTCTTTCGTAATTCGTACATTATGTTGTATTATAATAAATGCTTTCTTACACGAAACATACCATTAATACAAGTTTATTCTCCATTAGGCTTTCTTCTTTCCTCTGCTGTTTTAATTATTGATTAATTATTAATTTGAATTATCTGCTTTATGTATTTATTAGAATGAAATTGTAATTGTATTTATTTATGTAAAGTTGTTTTAAATATAGGAGTCGCTACCTCAGATTATTTTTAATAGATAGCATTGTAGGTGATACGAAATTCATTAGGTTATCTAGTATACATATGTATTAGTGCATGTGTTTTTATAGTTTCCCTTTTATTATAAAGTAGATAATATTTTTATTTTTATTATTTTCAATTGTACCGGCAATGAACCTTCATGCTTAACCCATGATTGACTGGTAGATAACGTTTTTGTTATGTCCGTCATGCGTACCTTTGTTATATACATTAAAAATAATAAATAAATAAGCAACTTTTGTCGAACGCATATATCAGTTCCGATTGTTCTCCACAGGAATTTTGCGACTTACTCCATCTTAACAAATCTTCTAAAGAGGAACTACGAGCCATCATGCAAGAATGTTCGACGTACCACAGTGAACTGGTGAAAGAGGCGGCCATGGGGCAAGGTTTCGACCGCCATTTGTTTGCCTTAATGAAAGTAGCTGAAGAAAACAATTTGCCGAGACCAGAGCTATACGACTCTTATGAATATAAATACCTAAATAAATCCATTTTAAGTACGAGCACCCTGTCCGCCCCAAGTGTTATGGCTGGAGGGTTTGGACCTGTCGTTAAAGAAGGATTTGGTATAGGGTATGTATTATTTTGCAAATTATATTAATTATCAAATGCATAGTTATAACTACTACATCTATTCATCATCAGATTTTTTTTTCATAAGATTCATTCATTTCATAAGATTACAAGATATACAAAAGAAACAATGTAAAATAATTTTAAATATTTTGCAGTTACTCAGCGTTTCCAGACAAGCTGGGTGCAGCAGTAACGAGCTACAAAAACTACAATGACAGTACACAATTCATTGAAGCACTCCACAAATCGTTTTTAGATATAACAAAAATCTTATCTGGTTAATATAAACTATGTGCATATCGAATTTTTTGGTGCATATGTTAAGTGCCTATTTATTTTTATACTTCTATAAATAATTAAATCGAATCATATAGGATCTGGTTTACCAGTATACATTTTTATTACTGTAGTCAAATGGGATAGGTTAGGAAAGTTCTAACATAATATTTTTATTATTTATTTTATTTACGCAAAGTCAACGTAAAACGTCGCGTTTAAATTTTTTAGCATTTTGTTATTAATATAGAAAATAGAAAAGACTATTTTTTATATTTAATATAGGGAACAGAAATAGTAAATTTTCACAAGATTCACAAAAAAATACCTAATTACTAAATATTTATTTTTGCTTGTGATTGCACTACTAAAATATAATTAATGTTTAATTTTCGCGTGTTTGTTTGGATGATTACCAATCTCGAATAAAAGATTTCCTTTTGATTTTTAATTGGCATAATAATTTATGTATTTTGTATAACTGGATAGGGAAATATAATAGTTGTATTGCGATGATAATTTAATAAATTAAAAAAATCTGATGGAAAATGGCAACCATCACTAGTAGACATGAATACTACAATTATACAGCAGTAGTATCATGATAATTTTTATAGTTATGACAGGCAGACGGTGGTCATCACTTGAATGAAAGTATTAGCCGCTTTCAATAGACATTAACTTTACCAGTGACATTTGAGAAAGCTATAACGCCCTTAGAACCACTCATGCATTGCCATTCTTAAAAATTTAGGTATTATGACCCCATACCTTGAAATTATACTCATTTATCCCACCTTAGAATTAAAAACACTGATATGTGAATATAGCTGATTGTGCAAATAATATTAGAGTAGAGATACATATAATTTTTGTACAGTCTCCCTCTAGATGTCTACCGCTCCTTTGTATTGCTAATCTTGATGATTTGCCCCCCTTCCCCTTCGCTCACGAATCGTAATGTATCAGTAACTGTATAGAATACATGTAGGTCAAGACGATAAGAACTTCGTTCTACGTGCGTTTTATACTATTATATCAATAATTATACTTATAAATGTTTAAGTGTAGACTTGAATATGTGTATGTTTTTTACTCAATCATATGTACAAGTACGCAGGAAAAGCCGCAGGAAACCGTTAATATTGTATATTGCATTTAAAAATACAGCAATACTTATTTTATAAAAACATGTTAAATTGTTTATTAAATATGCCAAATATAAAAAAATATAATATAAAATTATATGTTACGACCCACGTCGCACGTCATGCGTCGTACACACTAAATTGTTATAGCTCTTATGTTAAAGATTACACTAGATGAATAGGGTAATAATCATTATTTTTAACACGCATTATTGCGTATTAAAATTATTACCATTGGTACTAGTGTGTGTCTTGTAGCGTACTAAAAGGCACAGAGACATTTAAGAGGGTGCTATAAGTCAAAATCTTATGAAGTCTCTATTTACATAAACTAGGTCTATATAGACATCAGGAAATCACTGTGAATCTCAATCCTCTAAAGTAGTGATTCAATCATTGATAAATATAAAATAATTTCAACATCCTCAAAATCCAAATAATTATGATGGAAAAATTATAAGTAAAATTTTTGCCATCGTTATATATTTATTGACAATAAAACAATGCTAGTTAAAAAAGCCCAATACCAAGCCACTTGGCCATAGTCTTATTAAATACTTAGTAAGCATCGTTCTTCCTTTTATGAAAACTAATTCGTGGTTATTAATAATGGATTTATAAATACAAGACGTTATTTTAATTTGTTTTATTTTTATTAGAAAAAATATAAATTTGCAGTTATGGGCTTGTTTCAGAGGATTTCAGTGATTTAATAAAGACCTGTATTGTAGTTTAGAATAATTGTTAAATAGCTCGTAAGTACTGGTGTTATATTTTTTTATAAAAGCATATTCTGTTTTATAAATTTTATTAATACAATAATATAATTTTTAAAAGTGTTCCGTTTTATTTACAAATATTTGTAATACAATAAAATTAACAAACTTGACTGGTATACCTAAACACTTTTCAAGTGACTGGTAAGCAGATTTTTAATTCACCTTTTTCTACGCTTCTGTACCAAATGTAACAGAGGAACCTTTATTCCCAGGGCGTTATATGAACACCTATTAATGGTAATAATTTGAAACTTAGAAAAAGTAGATTTTGATATTGCTGGCCTATGCAAGGTGAAAGTTTTGAAATTTTTTATTATCTTTGCCGGGGGGCCAAAAGGAATATTTAAATTTCAAAACTCAGGACTCAGTCCAAGTTAGATTATTCTAAAATAAGGAAGTACTTTGACCTCACAGAGTTTATAAAAAATCTACTAGATGGCATTAGTATCAATTTATACGATGGACGAAGTATTGGGCTCAGGTTTTAATGCTTAAAATAATGAGAGATGATAAGTAAGGATGAAACAGATCAGTTTCCTATAGTGACAAATTTCAATTGACCAAATTTATTACTCAAAGGAACCGCGTGGAGGTCGATCTGATAGAGTATATTACTACCAATTGGGTTGTTAGGGGGGAAAGAGATGGTAATTAATGCGGACTACCAGTCTAATTTCTAGAAATATACCCTGTCCGGTCGACCTCCAAGTGGTCTCTCCTGGAAACTTGTGCTAAATTCAAGATGCATTCATCACGATGGGCTAACTAATCTGCCTTTTCAGGGGGGAAAGGGATTGTTAGTAATGGGATCTAATAGTTCCATTGCTAGCAATGTACCCTCATCAGGTCGACCTCCACGCGATTCCCCCTGGAAATCATCGTGGTTAATTCTTACGGAATTCTTCACGATGGGCTAACTGACCTGCTTTCACCCTCACCTATCACTAATCACTAGTGCCCCGCCAGCGTATACCAATAGCGCAGGTGGGATTAGCATTCTATTTTCACCCATTAAAAAAAGACCTCCCTTTTTATTCTCACCTATCATTCCTCACTGATATCCCGTCAACGTATGCCGTTAGCACAGGCCGGGATTACCATTCCATTATCACCCATTATAAAAAATGGGGCTGTTAGACCACTATTACTAACATTTCCTTTCTCCCCTATTATCTTGAGCTCAGATATGTATGTAGACTTTAAAAAACATACATAATAATATAGAAAATTGAATAGAATGTCTTCTACCAATTTCAAGGCGGGTTAGAGAAGCATCATTTGAATGAAAAGATCCTGGGCACAACTCTGGAGGCTTTCATGATGTCTATGATATTATGCTCTCGCCAAAAATAATACAAATCTTACTACCCTTGCAGTGCTCATAAACTCTACCAGCACAATCTTTGAACCCCTACAAATTATTTTATAAGCACAACCACTGCTCCTTTTTAAATCAGCTTGCCTTTGTCAATCATTAAAATAAGTTTCGCACTTCACACATTTATTCGTAAAAACTAATGAGACAAGATAAATAGGTAGCCAATTTTAATTAACATGAAGAGCTTAAATATGATCTAACCTTGTTTAAGAAAAGAATAAATTAATAAGTTTATAATGTAGTCTAACTACATACTTCAGGTTATTGAAAAAGTACCTATATGTTCCATTATGGAAAACATATTTTTCTATATTTAAGAAGGTGCTTAATCAATATTTAGTACTTGAACCTAGTCTCTGTTATCATACTTAGCATCCACGATTTTTTTAGGTAATATAAATATGATAAAGGTATGGCATGAATGATCCAATATCTACAACTTGCACTGAAAGTAGATTTATTTACAAATGACAACGACAGTTCTGTATTTTACAGACGACTGTTATCGATTTTCCGGTATCCATCTTGTGAGGAGAGCTTTATTCATAGTCTGCGCCAGTAGAACAATATTTAAAGTACCAATAAATTAAAACTATGATTTACCATAGATTGATCACTTATAACTAGGTATAATTGTAAGAAAAACAAATATCTAATTCGCAGTTAGACAGTTAGTTCAATCTAATATAATATATGAATACTGTTTACTACGTAATTTAGTACCCTACATTGAATTGTGTAAATAGAACTTGTTTGACACTAAGACCATAATTGTTACCAGATGCACGGCTTTTTCGACAATAATTTAGAGAAAATGTACCCACCTCAAAATTGCCTGATGCACACCTCAGGATACGAATGAAGCTCCACAAAGACGTTTAAAAGTATGTATGCGCCTTTATAAGGGATCAAGCTCCTGAAATGTAATAAATACGCCAATGATAGGCTAATTGTTGCAATTTTGGCAAATATCTCGTGTTTTTTATGTAACTTATAATGCCAAACCTACTGACGGCCCACTTGATAGAAAATAGTAATCGTCGTTTATAGACATAAGCAGTACCATAGAGATAACAGAATATATTGTTTCGGCCACGAAATCCCCATGCGTTGCCATTTCTGAGGACTAAAGCGGTATAACTTTTCCTCTCTCTCTCTCTCTTCGTTTACTTCATTACTGAAGGTCGGTTCATTGAAAAGTATTTGTTGTCTCTCTTATGATGTTATTCCATTTTGCACGGACTTCAGCTTCTCGCAGGGCAGCTGCAATTGACAGGCCCGTAACGGCGGTTACTTGGTCCGACCATCGACTAGGCGATCGTCCGCGTGGTCTTTTTCTCTCTGTCTTGCCTACAACCATTAGTTTTTTCAGATTGTCGGACTGTCGTTGACCAATATGACTGAAGTATCCAAGAATCCTCCGATAGCAGATTGTCCAGAGGCTATCTTTTATGTGGAGTTGCGTCAGGATAGATATATTTGTGCGCTTTGCTGTCCATAGAATTCGCAACATCCTTCGCTAGCATCACATCTCAAGAGCATCAATCTTTTTCCTCTCCTTTACTCTTATTGTCCATGACTCAACTCCATACAAAAATATCCTGTTCTGCCAAATGCACGTTAATTTATTTATTGTGGTGTTAGCTATTGAGTCCTTCTTCTGTTTTCTCGCTCGCTTCCTCCTTCGTTGGTTAATAGAGATCCTAGGTCGACGAACTCACTCACAAACTCTAGATCAGAGAGTTCACCAGTCTATCTGCTTTAGTTGGCTGGTTCTATCGACGATGAATGAATTTTGTCTTTGATATGTTGATATGCTTTTATATCCTGTAAATTCACTACCATATCTCATTCTTCAAACCGAAACAGCCATGCAAACACAACTGCTTTACGGTTTAAACACGAATGCGACAGTGGTATGCAAACGACTTTTGTATAAAATTTCACTCTGGTAGTGTTGAGAAACCGATTAAACCATACGATAGCATTAATTGAATTTAAAGCTCAGATTTAGATGTAAACTCTCCTAGAACATAGGAATGACTATAAATACGAGTCAATTGTATCCACCTACGTTTACACAGTTTCGTTCCGGGAATATCCTTGTGACTCTTATGTGCTACAACATAAGGGATAAATTTGATTTTTAGATCTGCAATATAACATTTGTACTACTATACGACTGTACGCAGAATCAACAGCGTTCCAATCCAACTTACAATCGCGTAATATCTATCTACTTTGATAGGACTCAGTTTGTATATGTATATTTATTTACTTTATTTTATTCTGTGGGTTAACTGGATTGTTAATCGTTAATTTCATTCAAGATATTTATAACTGAATAAATACATCGTGTATCAAATATAAAATATAATTGCGAAGGTTAATATCTCGATACTTGCGTACAACATGAAAAGGAATGGCAGTTATGCCATTTTTGTATTGCGAATGTGAAAATGTCAAAGTTCGTTCGTCCTTTGGATAGTGGTGGTGGTGTTGTGTTGTTTTGTGACGATAAATATTGAATTAAAATTGTACATTTACGAAAAGGTGCTGTGTGAAATGGTGAAATATTATGGAGTTTCAGGTATCATTTTCTTTTTTCCAAACTAAACGTAAACTATCTACCTATCTATTTACGTAAATTTTGTGTTAGAAAAACCAGTTTTTAATCGGTATAATTATATATTTTTTTTATTATTTTGTATTAAGTTATATATACAATAACAACCATTTAATTTCTCAATATTGAGCACATCTTACTCTTACTAGGTTGACCAGCGGTTTGTTATAGGATTTTGAGGTGCCCTAACACTATTGAATTAATATGCTTTATTATTAAATTCTTGTAGGTAGGCATATTGGTGTTCATACTTTTACTATCAGTATGCTTAATTGTGTCGAATAAGATGATAAGTCATATTTATTTGTCAGTTCTTGAAATGATCTAAAATAAATGTTTACATGATTAATTAGTATTTATCTGCATGATGGATATATACTGGATCTAACTCTGAGGTATCATCCTATAAATTTATGCCTTAAATTTTAATTTAATAGTTTAGCAAAATTTATATGGTATGGACCATCGTGTAGCAGTTGTAATGCAATTTACTAAAAATTATGTTTATACTTGTTCTCAGAATAACTATTTTGCTGTAATATACAATGAAATTAAATGTTATTTCAAGACATAAAGAGTGCTTTGGAATCAATTTCATTGATTACCTGGGCTAAATAGAAACTTTATTAATTTGATGATAGTCAAGGTTAAGGTACTAAGAGGTAATATTTATAATATTGCTAAGGAATACTAGGGATTATGATTACAATCTAGATTGTATTGGCTTGACAATATTTATAATATTGGCAGTGATTACTAGGGATTATGACTTTAATTCATTCAGTCAATTAATTTTTAGCAAGTGTTACTGCTATCAATGTTTTTAATTTGGCACAATATGGCATCGTTTTATATTATTGTATGTAAGTTATTAATATAATCCTAAACTTTCATTGTTATAGTAATTGCTTTATGTATTCATATGGAATTTTATATACACAATTTCATATTTGAATAATAATACTAAAAATATGTGTGCAGATAATTGTGATAAAATTATCTGCACTTAAACCTTGTTTTTCATAATAGAATTAATACTATAAACATTAATTTTTAAAATACAAAATATATTTTATTTTTACTTATGGTCTCTGTTTTTAAACTTCAATACATATTTTAAATTAATTTTTTTTTTTGTTACAGATAATGCATAAAATTTGGGAATGGGGAATAAGTAAATAAAAACAAGATGCTTATAAAAGAGTACAGAATACCTCTGCCTCTTACGGTGGAGGAATATCGCATTGCACAGCTTTATATGATAGCAAAAAAAAGTAGGGAAGAAAGTTCTGGTGAAGGAAGTGGTGTGGAGATTCTTGTCAATGAACCTTATGAAGATGGCCCTGGAGGTAAAGGTCAGTATACTCAGAAAATATACCATGTCGGAAGTCACTTACCTGGTTGGTTTAAAAGCTTACTTCCAAAATCAGCCTTAACAGTTTCTGAGGAGGCTTGGAATGCCTACCCATATACCAAAACAAGATATACATGTCCATTTGTTGAAAAATTTTCATTAGAAATAGAGACTTACTATTATGCTGACAATGGCCACCAAGAAAATGTCTTCAAATTAACTGGAAGTGATTTAAAAAATAGAATAGTTGATATCATAGATGTTGTTAAAGATCAGTTGTATGGTGCAGATTACATAAAAGAAGAAGATCCCAAGTTGTTTGTTTCACAAAAATGTAATAGAGGGCCTTTAACAGACACATGGTTAGATGATTATTGGAAAGAAGTTCGAGATAAACCACAACCTCTTCCAAATGGAAAGTCACTTATGTGTGCATACAAACTCTGCAGAGTAGAATTTCGATATTGGGGTATGCAGACAAAATTAGAGAAATTTATACATGATGTAGCATTGAGGAAAACTATGTTAAGAGCTCATCGACAGGCTTGGGCATGGCAGGATGAATGGCATGGTCTGACAATGGAAGACATTCGCGAAATAGAGAGACAGACACAGTTAGCTCTTCAGAAGAAAATGGCAGGAGAGACAAGTGATGAGTTAGATCTCTCTGAAGATAATTCGAAATCACTTGCAGCTACAATGAGCAGTCTAGAAAAAAATGAAGATGTACCAACTCCTATGGTTACAAAAAAGAACAATGCTGAAAAACGGATTCAAAAACATTTGACTCCTGAAGGTACACCACCATCTGAACACAAAAATTCTAAATCAAATCTTAGATCATCTTCTTCTGGTTCAATAAAAAGTTTGCAGGCTCAAGTTGCCAACTGGCGAATGGAAACATTAGTTAGAGAATCAGAAACTGAGACGGGTTCTGAAGACGAGTTTTATGATTGTGAATCATCATTTAATAAGTGGTCCTCATTATGTTCTCTTGATGAAGCGGATATTGATATATCTCCAACTCAAGGAGATCAATCTAATGAAGATAGTATATTTAATCCTACATTTTTGAAGAGAGTTACTTCAGAAAGGGGATCTCGAAGATTAGTTACTTTACAAAGTCATCAAAGTATAGATGGTTGCCCTGATACTCCAGTGCATAGTTCTTGCCCAATTACTGTATTGATATTGGTATTTCATGCTGGAAGCGTTTTGGATGCGAATGTCGATATGACAGCTAAAAAATCTGATGTAACTACATTCAAAGGTGCATTTGAATCTGTGATGCGTCAGCATTATCCGACATTGGTAGGTCATGTTACAATGAAATTAGTCGCGTGTCCTTCTGTTTGCACAGAAGCCCTTGGTGTTCTCTCCACTTTAAGCCCATATAGTTTTGATTGTTCTCCATCCTCCTTGGAGACACCATCACTAACAAATGATCTCATACCTATTGGTGCTATACCATTAATTGCTACATCCTCTCTTGAATATGCAGAATCTGTAACAAAAACAATAAATTCCGCCAATGCTGTATTCAACGAATTTATTAAATCTGATGATGGTAAAGGATTTAATGGTCAAGTTTGTATTGTAGGTGATAGTATGGGATCAGTGTTAGCTTATGACGCTCTATGTCGAACTGTACAGTATCAATCACGACATGACAGTGAAAACAGTATTTTAGATACTGAAATAACTATTCCAAGTGATCCAACTGAACACTATTTAAATAAATCTCATTTACAAGCACCAACACCTAGAAGAAGATCTTCTTCCACTAGCGAAAATCATGTGAAATTCGAATTCGAGGTTAGTGATTTTTTTACATTCGGTAGTCCTCTATCGCTTATATTAGCTTCAAGAAAAATATCTGATGACAAAACACGTGACATTATTAAACCCCCTGTTCAACAGGTATTTAATTTATTTCACCCTACTGATCCAGTTGCTTCAAGGTTAGAACCCTTACTGTCTGCGAGATTTACTAATTTACCACCCATAAACGTTGCTCGTTACGCCAAATACCCATTAGGTAATGGTCAACCATATCATTTAATGGAATTAATTCAAAGTCATCCTCAACTATTTGGAGATCATTTACAAATGCCACCGACACCAGTTTTACGTAGGCTTTCAGAAGCATCTGTTCAAAGTACAGTTAGTGGTTTGGTGGATAACATTCCTTTAATTACAATGAATGCCTTGCAACAAAAGTGGTGGGGTTCGAAACGATTAGATTATGCTCTGTATTGTCCAGAAGGTTTAACTAATTTTCCCACAAATGCTCTACCACATTTATTCCATGCTAGTTATTGGGAAAGTTCAGATGTCATAGCATTCATTCTACGTCAAATAGGTCATTTTGATTTAGCCTTGTACGGTCATTCGGAAGACAAAGAATGCCCAATGTTTAAGCCTGGGCAGGAAAGAGAAAAGTGGATGAGAAAAAGAACGTCTGTAAAATTGAAAAATGTTGCTGCCAATCACAGAGCAAATGATGTAATCGTTAAAGAGAATACTCCACAAACTTTCATAGCTAGATTTATGTATGGGCCTTTAGATATGATAACATTGACCGGAGAAAAGGTTGATATCTATATGATGAAAGATCCGCCAGCTGGTGAGTGGACATTGATGTCTACTGCAGTTACAGATAAGACAGGAAGGGTTTTGTATACAATACCAGAAAAGCAAAGTGTAGGTTGTGGTATATATCCTATTAGGGCCGTGGTAAGAGGCGATCATACTAGTTGCAATTTTCATCTCGCTGTAGTTCCTCCACAAACGGAATGTATTGTTTTCAGTATTGATGGTTCATTTACAGCCAGCGTTTCTGTTACTGGTCGAGATCCAAAAGTTAGAGCTGGTGCCGTAGACGTGGTGCGTTTCTGGCAAGACTTGGGTTATCTTATACTTTACATAACTGGTAGACCTGACATGCAACAGAGAAAAGTTGTGTCTTGGTTAGCTGAACATAACTTTCCACATGGATTAGTCTTTTTCTCTGACGGGTTTTCAACCGACCCATTAGGACACAAAGCTGCACATTTGAATAGTCTTATTAATGATCATGGTATAATTTTGCATGCGGCTTACGGTTCAGGGAAAGATATAAGCGTTTATCATAATTGCGGGTTGTCTCCAAAGCAAATATACGCCATAGGCCGGATCAGTAAAAAATATATTAATTTAGCAACTACTTTGAATGATGGCTATGCGTCTCATTTAGCTGATCTAAAACAGCCGGGCGCTGTCAGAGCCGCTAGAGGTAATGCTCGGCTTCTTGTACCACGTCGGTTACTCGCGCCTGTCAGCAATACCGCTGTTAACCGTAATCGGCGCTAATTGCATTTATGCAGTAGTTTCTTTTTTTTTTTCTTACTAAAAAGTACACTCCTTGAATGTTGTGCTTATTGTTATCGAGTGAGAATATTGTTTTTAAAATTTTCTTTCGAAATATCTACAAAAGTTATTTGATGTACAAATTATTCTGTGTATAACAACTTCCCAGCTAATAGACCTAGCATTATTAGACGGATTAATTGTTTTCAACATTTTCTTACAGAAGTTTTATATTCATTGTAGAACTACATACAATGTTGGTAAGCTAATGTGCTTATCAATTAGTAGTCACTGTGTACCTAACTATTCATAAATTTAAGCAAAAATATTGCTTGTTTAATACCTGTTTTGACTTACATATTTTAAGATCTTGTTACATCTCTATTATAATAATTAATAATTAGACTACTTTGGTACATACAGACATGTTTGGAGGATAATGAATCTCTTTACTATCATGAACAATGCTCTATCTAGTCTTGTAAATTCCTAATTACATGTAACATGTACATAATTTAATCTTATATTCTGTCGTTTTAGAATGACGTGCGTTCGATTCTAATGCTAAAAAATGTAAAGAATATTAAACTATTTCGACTACTATTTCGAATTTTACATACAACCGAATGTCTATAATCTCAATTGTACTTAATATTTTATAAAGTTATTTAAGTGAAAATTATTTAATAACATACTTCATTAAAATAAATTTAAAAAGATATCATATAATATCTGATATTGTCATTGTAGCTATTTTTTTTTCCTAAGAATTATATTAAATAATATTTTATTAAAAATTAAGCGCATTACATTTTTTTATATTTATATATATATATTATATTTATATATATATATATATATATATATATATATATATATATATATTTTGAATTTATATTAGTTGTAAAACAAATCGCAATATTAATTTTATATATCTCGTATCGCATCCTAAATATTTGTTTATATAATATTTATATTATTATTGTTATTATACCTACTGCAAAATGGTGTTTAATGCAAACAACATTCATATGAAACGACGTGAGTCGGCGCACATTGGAGCATATTTTATAGTGGGATAAAGTAAAACTGTGTATAGATACGTGTTTTCCTCGGAATCCGGTCAGCAACACGCACATTGCACTGACATCTAATTTGTTGCACGGATGGATTGGCACGTATACACTGGGAATCACTACATTGTAGGTACTTGGCACTATTAGTTATACGATTTCGGCACGTCCCTTTTATCGAAAATAACAATGCTGTAAGTAAATAACTAAACTAAAAATTATACACTAGCGATCGGCCCCAGCTTCGTTAGTTTATATTTACATTAGTTTATATTATTACTGTATTTCTAAATAACCTAACTTAAAAAAGTCATGTTACCTAAAACTACTAATTGTGCCAAAAACACCTAAATGTATTTTTTATAGACGTGGTTGGCTGTCGACGAATACTTGTGCATCGACGCAGTGCGACGCGCACTGAAACGCGTATTTTGTAAAATAAATTTCGTGCATCATGCAAAATGCCGTATACCTAAAATAAAAAAAAACTACCTAATCATAAAAAAATAATAACTAACTAACTAACTAATAAATAACTAAATATAAATAAAAAGAGACAACTCAAGACAGACAGTAAAAATTGTAGAACAAAAAAAAAAATTGATTTAATAATTGAATGTTTCGATTTGTTACTAATTTAATTTAGAAACTATTTCTGTGATAATTTCAACAAAACTTGTTTATTTTATGTTCTATAAAAACTGACAATACTGTTGAAGTTCAGCAGTAAAAATTTTTTATACCGTGAATGTGAAAGTGTATTAACCTCATACAAGTCCGAAAACCAGCAATATTGTATTAATAATGGTATTCTATTACTGCCTCTATATGTGTAGTGAATTTTACTCATTTGGCATTGTAGAATACGCTCTAATTTATTTTTTAGGCATTTTTTATTGCGTAGGTATGATAGTCCGAAATTTAATGATAGTATTTATATAAAAAGTTACTTAAAATCATTATAACTGTATTTATAATGAAATTGAACAATATTTCCCAAGGAGCGTAGTCGAAATCCTTATTTTCTTACGAAAATTATGAATGTAAATTAGTTAGTTTCCTATGTGTTACTTCTTAGCAACTTCACAGCTTAATTAAAATAGAAATTTGGCTTTCACGTAATATTTGTCGTGAAAGAGAACAAAAGCCACTTTTTGCTATAGTATTGCTGACAAAGTTGTGGGCACAGCTAGTATGATTTTTTAATATTACATACAAAATTCATTACCCAAATACATAACGACGCAGTTTGTATTAACAATATTGAAAATTAATTTCATATTTCGACTATGAATGTACCCTGGTGTATTGTTCGGTTTCATAAGATACTGTCACTGGGTTTCCCTTTCAGTTTCACCTTTATACATTAGAGATGTGAATTGTATCTATTCATTCATACCACAACGTTTATACAGTATTATACCTATCATCAAATAACTTGAACACAATCACATTATTTGCGCAGTAACCATTTTAAGTAAGAGTACTTACATACTTATAAAAGTATCTTCTGTGCAAACTCCATTGTCTATGATTTTGTTCAAGTCGTTTGTCGCTAACTTTAATCTGTTATATAAGAAATTGATATTATATAGTTAGTATTATTAATCTAAGATTTATTTAATATATTATTATTTAATCGATGTATGTATTTAAATAAGAAGTAACTTAGTAATTTTTGGTGGTTATAAATAAAGCATTCCGGATTCAAATGTCACAAAATGCATTACATTTGTATTAAATAGTTATATAGTAATAGTTCCCTAAGTCATTAACTAAATGGGCAATATCATGTTCAATTTTATAATTGAATATTATATATTGTTAATATTATATACATAATCCAAATGTGAAATTATTTTTCTAGTTTACCATTTTAGTTCTGGAAGAACTTTAAATAAGTAAATTATATTAATTACCTACATAATAATAATCATAAAATATAATTATTATTATATATATATATATAAATGTTCGTTGTAAGTACATTCCTGTTTCAGAGATATTTCTATTGTTATGATGATTATTAAATTTTTAATTAATTGTGGTTATAAATTTAATGATAGTATTAGACCGTAGTTTGTGGATAATGTAATTTGTATTCACATTAGGCGTTAAGTATTATGTATTATTAATTTTGAAATATCTATGTTTCTATGAAATTTTATTACATAGGTTACTTATTTGGCATTTACGAGTATATATTATATTAATTCAACTCGAATATTTGCAACGTTCTTTCCCATTTTACTTTCCTAATAACTATTGGCTTAAATATATTTCTTATGAAATGTAAAGGCTGTGTCAAAGTGAATGCACCTAACTAAATTTATATTGCAGTACATCGTCTTTTAAATTAAGTTTATTATAGGTGAGGTAACTAAAATATTTGCCTATCTATCTCTCGATCGTATTTTCTGCAATATTCACATATTGCAAACTGTGGATGCTTCCCCTATTCCGTTCCAGTGACGTACAGCGATGTTATTGTAGTATTACGCCTTGTGTAGGCAGATACCTATCTACGATTTTACTTGACACGTGTGATTTGTAACTCTATATCATTATATGTGTTCCTTACGTAACTACGGGGTAGTAGGAGAGTAGTGAATAAATCTATTTTCTTGTTTAGTACATAATCTATCTAATCTTATTTCGTACCTCTAAGTGGATTTCTCCAATGCTTGCATCGTATCGTCATCTATATGGGGTACGTTTTATCGAGTTTGTTTCATTTACTATAAAGATTTATTCCGATAAAATATTTCAAATTATCTTATAAAATATTAATAATTAGTAACATCATTTATATCGAAATTACCAACATCTGCATCTCAGTTGCTACGGCTATAATAGTTTATTAAAACTCCTGAAAATTGGCTATGTTCCCAAGATAACAACCTTGGACAATGCTCTTGGGAAATTTGCTTCCACGCACAGCTTAATCTATTTAACAGCAAGTAATTTGTTGGCCGTACATTATAAAGTCTGTAGTCATCCATATAACCATCCCTGTGCTACATAAGCCAGAATATAGGATATAACTGCAACTGAAACTTTATGTGGCTTCCCGCGAGGCCAGCCTGTCTTCTAAATTTATCTGATTGCCGATGATTCAGTGACGATGTTCAAACTGTTATAATTTATAATTGGAAAAAGTTATAAATTTAAATCGTAAATAAATTTAAAAACGTAGCAGGCAGTAGGTCGGACAGTTCATCTGTAAACAACTCTTAAACGAACGAACTAAAGAAATAATAAATAGATTAATCACATAGAGATCAATAGATATTAAATTATGAAATTTTGTACACAGGTGCTCTTTGTTTGTGTAGGAAAATACTAAGGTAGAATTTTTTTAAATATCATTCCTAAGTTGGCGGTGAGTACAGGTACCTTACCTAGCCTGCATTAGTGACAGTAACGTTGTCTACTTGGTTTTACTGCTAAAAACCAAACATAGATTGTCTGATAAAATCTCGAGAAACAGGTTTTAAGTGAAGGGTTGATTTTAATGTCCCCGAAGGAATGAGATATAAGAATGTGTAGACAATTTATATAATCTGGCAATGAAAAATAACCGTAATATTAAAAAAAAAATGGTACTGATTATATCCTGTAATTAGATATTTGTTTGTATATGCAAAACGCATATGCTGTAGAGCTAATGTACCTAGATATCTGCAAGTTATAGACGCTGTAAGATAATAAAAGCGACGGAATAGCTGGAGTCCACAGATCACTAAATGTTTAGATATCTATTTATGAGCCTGTTAGTAGTAATTCGTCTTCTTTCATCTTAGTAAAAATATAATTAAAGATTATGTATAAATTTTCCATATTTACTTAATTTACACACTTGTGTACGTCATCGGTCGTGTGCAGTTTCCATGCTAATAAAAGCCTGAAGTCTATTTTGGTGATACTATAAAAGTATAATCGATCTTCATTCGCCTTCAATGTAATAGGTACCTATTTATTATAATACTGTGCTCGTACATTGTAACTGTAGTAATTTACTCGTATTACAATTACATAGTACAAGCTTTACATTGTTTGGATGACACTGTATGTCCAATGGTATTTATACACATGCCTACATATTAGCTGTCAAGTTCGATATGGCGTTCACACAGCCAATTTGTATTTTCTCATGGGACTGAACTATCTTACCACAGTAAAAATATATTCTATTTAAGCCCCAGGTACTAAGTCGTTAATCAAGTTTTTGCGTATTGTGTGCACAGACATATTCTAGTGAGTTTTTTTTTATTAATTATAAGTATGTATTTACCAATTAATTATTATGGTTGCCCTTTTTAATTCAATATTTAAAATTTACAACAATATAAACATTGTCAGTATTCTACTTTTATTTAATTTGAAAATGTATTATTGTGTAGGGTTCTTCAAATACGGTAGGTACCTAATGTAAATGTTGAATTAGATATACTTATTTGGAAACTTGTTAATTTGACGTCCTACTTACCTAGTGCTGTGCTAGCTTAAAATTATTTTCTATTTATGTGCGTGTACCTAAATGTGTGGGTAAAATAAATTATTGTTGTTGGCCATTGTTGTTTCATTATTCTATAGAAATAACATTATATAAAATACTTAGCAATTTTAATCTTCATTAATAAATGGTGAATTTAAGCTCTTGTGTGGCTAGAGGCGTGGGTTCGAAATTCTTTTTTTTTTTCAATAATCTGAGGTTTTAACCATTCGTTAAAATAGTACAACTATTTTATCAACGGTTTAGGCTGCGTCGATTCAAATAAATATTATTTCTATTTAACAAAAAGAAAAAATATTTATTCGATAATATATATTCGAATAATAATCTGTTACATATTCCGTCCATATACAAAATTTTATTTAAATCAGTTAAACTTTTTATTTCTGGTGTCCATTGACCGGGACAAAAGTAAAAGCCTTGTCGTTATCCATTCTAAGCAGGACGTGTATACCAAATTTCATATTGATTGGCTGCCACCAAAAAATAACAAACTTACTTTCACATTTATAATAATAGATATACCTAAGTAAGGATAGCTCACATTGATAAGAACTGCGGATATTCGCTCAATTTTTTTAAAAAGCTTACTCTAAGCCTATTTTATGGTCTGGTTTATGAGTACTTGGCCTCTATTGACACCAACTTTCAATAGTACTCAGTCCCCGCTTTATTTCCGCCCTAGAACGTAACGTACTATTCTCTGCATGTTGATTAACATGCAGAGTAACTATATACTTATATTCGATAATACACTATAATCAACAGATATTTTACGTACGTTTACATAGATTTATATACCTTCATTCCAGCATTGCGATTGCGGTCTCATCTGAAACTGTAATGCTACTCTCGCCTGCGCTACCGGCATAACTAGCAGAGTATAGATATAGCTGAGAATGAAATCAGGTACTTTAGCCTAGTGACAAATATATCAGGAATCAACCACGACGGGTTATAGGAACGACTACGTAAAGATCGACCTGATCACTTCCTTTCCCATCCCCCTGCATTGAATTTGGCGACCCCATATTCCCTCAACCTCTACAGTCTCCATTGGAAAGTGTGGAGTCAGCGTAAGAAAGAGCTGCACTCTTTCTTACTGTGACTCCACAGTTTTGATGATTATCTTCATACATTTTAAAACGCCTTCATTCTATCTTTCTCGTTTATAAGCATACACATCGAGGTATTATAAATATATATTATACCTATATCATTATCAAATAACACTAAATCGATAAGTATAGTAATGAAGTGATTTATCATATGTGGTCTAATGAGGCTGCTTGCGGTGTTAATACAGGACCACATACATGTAGCTAGCTGTATACATTTTCAGCAGTTATAAAAATGTGGAGATTTCAAATTTTCAATTCTGAATGGATTTTGACGATTAATTTTTTGCAAACCCTTTGTCCACTCCTGTGTTGGTCTTAGGTATAATAATTTTATCAAAATTAGAATCGGTCGTTCTTTTGAAACAAAAATTGTACATATTTTCGTGTATCATCAGTTTAATTCGATGTAGGTGTTCCTTGTTTGTTGTTAACGAGTGATGGAAAAAGTACTAATCACTTGGTTACAATTATTTTCAATCGACTTCAAAATGGTTCTCAATTCGGTTATATTTTTTTTTCTATGTTTGTCACTTCATATTATAAGTCCATCGGTTATAAACCGATTTGGATATTTTTATCTGAAAGGTTATTATTATTTTGAATTTTTACAAACTGGTTCTATAGAAATTCTATCAAAATCGGTTCAGGAGTTGACTGGTTTCGTCACAATTGAAATATTTTTTTGGAACACATATTAATTACAATTATTCCGTTATCGGACGCACACTAATATGTGACTACGAACATACTATTGTATATTAAGGTTTGACTTATTATTAGTACTGTATTTGTCATTAATCTTTGACCGTTATTCTATAGCTATATTGTGACGTGTTTCACCTTTAAACGAGGCACCATTGGGCAATTAATCGATCGTAGGTTAGAGACGCCTAGTTTTGACAAAATAAAATAGTTAATTAGCTAGCATGGATATGTAAAGATTTTACTGATAAGGGCTAACGGGTTTATCTAGGCACTATACACCTAATACAAGATGAAAATCAATAATAATATGGAGTTTATTTACATTTTTTTCACAGCTACAAAGGGACTTAGAAAATATTTAGGTATAATACAAACAATACAAAAATGGAATCATACAAATGACTAATTGTAAATGACAACTTGTTTATCTTATACATAGAATGAAAATATGGATACAGTAAATATTAACTTTGACAATAATAGTTATGCTACACCTATAGTCATGTACACAAATATTAACATAAGTTTTAGGTAGATACTCGTATAGATTGTTTAAGTTAACATGGCACGCCCCTTCAACTTTACATTTCAATGTGTGTGACCATATACTGACGTGGTGTTTGTTTGTGAGAAAACGTTTTGAGTAGCGGTCCGACTAGAGTCGAAATCTTTTAAATATTTTTGCTTACACATTTTTAATTATTTGGATTTTGGAGAGGCGTACCATATTAATGTAGACAATTTATACTTACAATGTGGTAAACGATTTACGTATATAAACGACGTCATCATTTTACAAACTGCTATTCGATATTTTTGAAGCCAGTGGGATTGTATCGTTAGTGAAGAATACTAGCCAATAGTAAATTTTACAAATCTTCATAAAGATAGTGAAAAGGGACTTCGACTAGAGAAAAGATATAAGGTTGAGATTTGAAGAAACATAAAAACCAATTATGATAGTTTGACTCAGATTAAAGCCTAGGCAGATTTTAATCTGATACAGGTGTGATCAAAAAGTTTACCTACAATTAAACAAACCGAAAAAGTCCGAATATCCCTACGATATTTAAAAAATAATTAATCAGTGGATCTTTGTAGAACACCAAGGATCTTTACGAGGAAATAACAGTTACGAGCAGGTTATACCATGTTAAAAATGTGTGAAGAGGAAAATATACTGTGCTGACCCCAAATAATGGGATAAATAAGGTATCATAATAGTATTTAATTACTGGTGAAAAAAAAAAACCATTAGGTTATTTGTTAACTTAAGTCAGTAGTATGAAACTCTGCCAAAGTGTAACATTTACGTTTTAATTATCTATTGACATCACAGACTAGTACCTAATGAATTTTTATTTTTATCTTTGGCCAATTGATTTGGTTACTCCTAAAAGAAACAAATCAGTTGAACATTACATATTAATATAATTAAATTAAATACAGATTTTTACAGTTTGTAAATGGATGAATTTTGTAATGTTCCTTCACCAGACATAAAAGCTTAGCCATAATGGGTATACCAGATCGACGTGCGTTAAATGTTTCGTAGTGTAGAAGAGACATAGCATAGATAACGTAATAGCGTACCATAGTCACAAAAAAATAGGAATTTATGTTGGCATCACTTATAAACTGCTTGAAGAAAGTTATTCTAGTTTCATAATATTCATGATAAATAATAATCATTGGGTATCACTTTCGTATACACATTATGACTAACCGTTATTGCGTGATAGTAAGAACATACCTAAGGTATGAGAAAATCATATATGCACATAACTATAATGGATATTGCTAAAATTTGTAAATGTAGGTAAGTATATGATGGTACATAGGTACAGTCACTTATCCATTTTTAAATTAAAAAATGATATTGACTTTGACAGAGTACTAGCGTGTTATACTTTTTATTACATGTGACCATACCTACTTTATAGGAATTTATAGACAGATATGTTGTAGCGATTTATGTGAAGATAATTTTATAAAAACAAAAAAAAAAAAAAATTTATAAGAATTTCTACACAAACAATGACTTTAAAACATAACGTGATGGATTAGTTTCGCATATTATATACAAATGTTATGTATGCTTTAAAAGATACATAATCATTATGTATATATACATACATTTATAATCAAGATCCAACATAGGTAAATAAAACACTGAACCTATACTATACAATACTAATTCTAATCTATTATTCAAAAAAGTTTAAAATTGTGATGTAGTTCATACTTACATACTATTATAATGACATTCCCTCTTACTTATAAACGCTTTCATTTTGATTGAATTACCAAGTAGCACATCATAAGTAAGGGATGTACCTACTTGAGTTTTCTCTGTCTACCCAGTAACTCCTCATTGTAACGCATGAGTAATACCAATGGAAATAACAGAGTATTTTATAATGTTCATGGTGCTGTTCATGTGTATAGGTGACGATTACAGCTTTCCATTTGGTGGGCCGTCAGCTCGTTTGCTATTTAAAATATTATGAGAAAAACAAAACCCAAAATAATAGTTAATGAGTAAAAGAAAACAACACAATATATTATGGTAGTGTAGAGTGGGTAACAATGCCTTTTGCTAATCTATAGTAATATAACTTCATACATTCTAAAATGGTGTCGACAATAATCATTTGTAAAAAAAAATCAACTAAATACTTATCACCTACCAAGTGACTATGTGAGACTTATCGGATTGTTTATTATGAGCAATATAAGTTAAACTATTTTTAAAATAATAATCCCAAAAAAAACAAAGTACCACTGAGAGCCTAACGCTCTTACAGCTTTATTGATAATAAGATGTTACCACATCTTTTAATTCAATTAGTAGTAGTGCTAACACGAAAAAATTAAAAGAGGTGGCCTGTAAAAGAAAATAAAGTAATTAATTCTGAGAATATTTTGGATTTCTAAATCACTGGTCAAGATTTCTAATATTATTATTAATTTAAAATATTACTTATTCATGGCGCAAAAATTGAATAAACTAATAATTAATTTTAATAAACGTTGGCTATATTTGTCCAAGATATTGCATTGATATATTACTCATCTACAAGAAACATTATAATAGACTTAGTTACCACTTGAGATACTATGTAAAACATATTTATCAAATCACTTTGAACATGAATAGGTAAATTTATGAAAAATAAATCAATTTCAGTAATATTTATGGCAAGAATATCAGTTAGTTTCGCTTGGCACAACAACTACACTTGTGGCTGGACCCACTTAAAATTATGCTTTAATGTTTTGACAACTACACTACCATATAGTGATAATAAAATTCTATTATTCTATTAATAAGCACTGGGGAACTGGAAAATATAATGTTGACTCTTTCTATTTAACCACACTGTCAAATGATAAAATCCAATTGAGATCTACTTGTACTATCTCATGTGATACATTATCTTATAAATCACTGTACATTATGAAAAATTGATCTATCTTAACAACTGCATAACTATTTGTATACAAAATGTATAATAGTATTTCTTTCATAAGATTGTTCATTTCAATAGTGCATATTACAAAATAAAATTCACAACTGTAGATATTAACAATTAAAATAATGCATAATTTTTTTCTATTTCTCGTACTTTTGACTATTAAAATTATTCAAAATAAAAATATATTTAATATTATATTTTGACGATTTCCAATTGTAATCATCTGTTTAAACATTAAGTACGTATATGACGACTAAAAAAGCTATAAACATATTAACCTTTAAATAATTAAAAAGTCTGCTTAATAACTGTATAAATAATTAAATAAAGTGATAACCTTCTACTCGCAGAAAAGAACAATCTGTTATTTAGACATGTAATATATATATATATATATATATATATATATATATATATATAATTGATAGGTATTCATTTAATAAGTTATCAGAAAATAATAACACAAAGATGTATAAGAAAAAAAAAAATACGTTAATTAAAAAAAAATCTATTATCCAAAATAAATATTATTTTGAAAAAATAAACATGTGGTTACATTTATAAAAACGACTACCAACAAATCATTACGCAATGAAAATTTAAAAATAAATATACTTTGTTATATTTTTTTTCATGAAAAGAAAAAAAATATATAACATTATATTAGTAATTTATGTAATACTGAGTTTCTTTTATCTTTCAAATTATTATGTATACATTATAGTAATAAAAACACAACAGAATTTTAACACTAATCATCATCAACTTATTGACCAAATGTACTTGTGTCTATTTCACAGATACAGAAAGATATAGACGCCGTAAATGCCTTATCCTCCTATATAAGAACTAGGTGTGACACTCAAAGATACGTAATTTATCTGAGTGGCACTATACTACTTACCTTGACGTTACCTACCTACGAGTACATTCTTATTTAAAAGATATTTATTGATAGCAAACGTCCTCTTGCACTAAACAGCGAAAATACCGTTTTGTAACGCTAGTACGTTTTTCAACGACTATTTGACGCTCGAGTCTATTAGGTACTTAATTTGGAATAAAAAAAAGTATAGGCAGTTATGACGTCTATTTCAGTCCATATCTATGGTCTATTTCTTTAGGCAGTTCCCAAAATTACTACTAATTATGTGACTAATAATAATATAAATACTTTTCCAAGTTAACTATCAGTAAGAAAACTAGGAATACAGCTGTTAATGCTAGTAAGAATAGAGGATTTTTATTTCTAGGTATTTTAATAGTAAAGATATTAACTACTACTTCATAATACATATGTAATAGCAAAACCATTATATTAATAGGAATACATAATCTCTACCTAAAGATTATGAATATTATACTTTAGCTGAAGTTAGTTTTTCACATAATATGTCAACCTTTATCAAAGAATGTGTACAGCTACATTTATTCTGAAATTGCATATAATTCCAAATACCAGTATACAATAAAAGATACATCTGCCTTATTGGCTATATATTTTAATACAAACAACTAATATTAATTATTTTATAAAATTATTTCAGTTATTTATTAAAAAAAACAAACTACTGTCTCATAAATTAAAGTATATAAAAATATAAAATAATCGTTAAGCATAAAATCCCACTTACTGGTGTTAATATTAAGACAATAAGTATGTTCCAAATTTTCTTAGGAATAAAAATTTGAAAAATGTATTCAATTGTTTTTATTAGTAATAGTAATTATAGGAAATGCCCATTTATTTCAGTCTTGAATATAATAAGTAAGCTTCAGCATTGTAAAATATTGTTGCTGGACCACACTCCACCATAATAATCTTATGTCATCATAACAACAGAGACCAGTCATACCATGAATCTTAGTTCATAATAAATTCTTTAACATTTTACGACTTTAACATTACCTTAGGTACTTATATATTTTATGCTATCTAGCTTGTCTCTTTATAATTGATAATAAAGGTTGGCACCTTACACAATGTAACCCAGCAATATCATATCTGATTATGTCGTGAAAATTTTCAAAATTGTACATTGGCTTTTTGTGCTTTCAAATTACTTACATTAAAATATTCACTTTGACATATAATTCACTAAGTTGACTTAGAAAATACGTAACATGCATTTTCTTGCACTAAAACTTCATATGCATTTTTATTAGGTACGTTGACTAAATTCGACATACAGATCTATAATCCGCTTGAAATTCGTTATTGAATTGATCAAGCGATCAGAACTGAAAGGAATATCTTGGCATTCGTTTGAATTTCGAGAGAACTCCCCAAAACATAGGCTGTGAGCTCTCGAGGTAATAATACCTAATCACGTTCAAAGTTGGATCTATTCACATTGCTATGAGAAGGCAGTGCCATTTTTGTGCGCTGCTCGGGTGAATATCACTTCCTCTTCATCCGCATTGACACTTTCGGCGGTCGTCAACGCTACCGTATCACTATGTACCACATGAGGGGATTCGTTGAACTCGTCCAGTTCTTCTATCCCCGCTGCAATGAAACGAGTTAATATTTAAGTTTTACATACCAGATACTTGTTACCTATAATAACAAAATTTATATGCACGCATCAGACGAATTATGAAAACACAAGAAGCAAAAGTTGTATGTAAGGATAGAGGTTTTTTGCATTTGGTTCTCTCTGCCTACCCCGCAAGGCACTTGGCGTGAAAATAGAAAGATATCCATCATTAATATTGTTCTAATATAACATACGTTACTGCATTATAATATATAATTTTAGTAGTAGCTTATACTACTCGATATATATACATTTAATAAAACTATAGAGGTTGAATATCTGTACATAGAAAAAATGCTAAAAACCGTGTCAGGGGGATGTTAGGAGTGAAATAGAACACATCCATATTATTTTTTAATATTTTGTTTCTCTGTCTGTACGGGGTAATCTCCGAAACTGTTGGACCGATTTAAATGAAATTTTACATGATGGTACCTTACATCCCCGGTCAATATTTTAGATACTTTTAATAACGGAAAATTAAAGAGTTCCCGTAGAATAGTTAAAAAACTATAGTAACTTATACAGCTTAGTACACAAACTAAGTAAAATCATTTTAACCTAAGGCAAAGGGTGCGAGCGACGCATCATTTGATAATTTTGGTATAGTATACTAAATAGCCTCAGTCATAATAAATAGGTACATACATCGATACACACTAATCAGGAATAACAAATACTACGCGAGTCAAGTCACGGACAATCAGCTAGTTTTCACTAATTTTAAACCGATTTTGAAAATTGGGATTTGCAATCTATAGGCTTTACTTTCGTGTAAGTCCCATTAAAGCCACAATTTTTTTGCGACGCAAAATCTTAAATTACCTATAAGCTGATCTCTGACAATATCATCAACATTTTAAAAATATTTGTTTAAATTTTTGTTTTTGTATTATTTTATTATCTATATATGTTATCTATATTATAATCTATAATTGTATACCCCACCCACATTTTCCAGGTTTCCAGACTACTGCTGAGTGGTCATGGGAACCATATAAGGAAAGGGAAACCAGCAGCTCGGACTGGGAAGTGGCAAACAGAGTTATAGATAAAGAAAAACTACTATGGGCAATCAGTACCTTTTTACCATTTAAAGCGGCAGGCCTGGATGGAATATTTCCAGCCCTTCTGAAATGGAGCGGGAGCATCATAGCTGACTATTTAGTACAGCTGTTCCGAGCGTGTATAGCTCACCGCTACATACCTTTGAAATGGCGTGAGGTAAAAATTATATTTATTCCTAAACCAGGTAGAGGAGATTACACCGTGGCCAAATCCTTTCGACCGATCAGTCTCACCTCGTTCTTTTTGAAAACTTTGGAGAGACTATGTGACAAAGAGATTAGATGCCAAGTCTCCTTGTGTAAACCTTTACACCCTAACCAACATGCTTACAGTGAAGGCAAGTCAACAGAATCGGCACTTCATAACGTAGTATCTCGAATAGGCAACGCATTGCAATCGAAGCAGCCAACCTTAGGTGCATTTATAGACATCGAAGGGGCATTCGACAAGACAAACTTTGCCAGTATAAGTCGGGCACGAGCTACACATGGAGTAGAAATAACACTTAGAGAATGGATACATAACATGCTTAAACAACGAGCTATACAATTTACTGTAAATACTACCACACGAGGAATCGTCGGTAGGGGCTGTCCACAAGGCGGCGTACTGTCACCACTATTGTGGAATATAGTCGTAAATGAACTCATAATAGAGCTCAACGATAACAGCCTCTACACGGTAGGTTATGCGGATGACATAGCTGTACTTTTAACAGGAAGCTTCGAAAGTACTCTGTGTGATCGCATGAGAGTAGCTTTTGACATAATTGAGAGATGGTGCGTACAGCATGAACTCTCTGTTAATCCTACAAAAACAGAATTAATCATGTTCACAAATAGAAGAGTTACATGTCCTTACAGGCTACCAAAACTCTTCAATACGGAACTGAAACTTAAGGAAGAAGTCAAGTATCTTGGCATAATACTAGACAGTAAATTGCTTTGGAATAAACATCTTGACTATAAACTTAACAAAAGCACAATTGCATTCTACCAGTGCAAAAAGATGCTAGGAAATAAATGGGGCCTTTCACCAAAAATAACTCTATGGCTGTACAGGGCTGTAATCAGGCCAATGTTGGTCTATGGTGCACTAGTTTGGTGGCCGAGGACAAAACTATCGACCACTGCCGCCAAACTAAAAAGCTTTCAGAGACTGGTTTGCTCCTCTGTCAGCGGCTGCATGAAAACAGCTCCTACAACAGCAATAGAGTTGGCCCTTAACATAACACCCCTAGACCTGCACATACAGCAGGAAGCGGCCTTAGCCGCTATCCGACTAATGCATCTGGATCTATGGGGTAAAAATCACTACAGTCCCCACACTGCTATTCTGAACCAGGCAATCGAATATCAACCTTTGATTGCGGCTCCGTGTGACAGGACTCATAATCATTATATATTTAACAAAAAATACCAAGTACAAATAAAAGAAGAGGAAAAGGATCAATCCGGTGTACATGAATTACGCATATACACCGATGGCTCCAAAACTGAGAACGGTTCAGGAGCTGGAGTCTTTTCCTTAGACCTTAATATAAACATGCACATACCGCTTGGCGACCACAGCTCAATTTTCCAATGCGAATGTGTTGCAATAACCGAGGCTGCTGCAGTTGTACATAAGCTAGGAATAAATGGTTATAGCATTAGATTCTTATCCGACAGCGCAGCAGTACTAAAAACATTAAGAAACAACAAGACAAACAACAAACTAATAATTGAATGCCACCATTCACTGGATAGGATATCTTCCAATAACCGTATTATCCTCCAATGGATAAGAGGGCACAGTGGATCTTATGGTAACGATGCCGCAGACGAACTAGCTAGGAAAGGCTCAGGAACGAGGGTGGTAGGCCCGTATCCACTCCTTCCTCTTCCATTCTCACAATTTCGAATGTGGATTCGTCAAAGATCCTCTGACATACAAAACCAAAGATGGATACAGGCTACTGATTGCAGACAATCAAAATTGGCCGTACCTATGTTGAATCAACGACTATCAAAACGTTTATTACATCTAGACAGAAAAAACCTCAAAACAATGATAGGGACAATAACGGGTCATTGTCCATTAAACAAACATCTATACACAATAGGAGCCACAGACAGCCCTCTATGTCGAGGCTGTTTCAACGCCGAAGAAACGGCAGCTCACGTAATCCTGGAATGTGAGGCTGTGGCCCATCAACGTTTAGAAATCCTCGGAACGGTGAGGTCGCTCCGTGAGGCCTGTGAAGAACCCAGGAAGCTTCTGCGCTTCTGGACGGAGCTAGGTTGGCTGCACTAGCCACGACTCATACGCACAATGGCCCAAATGAGAGGCTAAGTTCGGAAAATGGAGTCCCTTTCACATTCACATTCACACATACCCCACCCACCGATCAAACGTCTCCTCTCAATCTTTTACCATCTCAGCTATCAACCTTTGGAATGCACTGCCTATTGATATCAAAAAGTACCTAACCAAATTTTCCTTCAAAAAGTCCCTTCGTGAACATTACTTCAATTTATCACAACAATGGAAAGCCTTAATCTGTTATATAATTAGTTATTATTTATATATTTATTAATTTAGTATATATTATGTATGGTTATTTATATATGTATTGTATGTGATTTATGTGTGTATATTTTTGTAAGTATATTATTCTACAAAAAACACAATACAACTGTATGTTTGTATATTTATTTATCTTAAAATATTTATTTAATTTAATATTTTCTTAAATCTGTGCACCGCCATTTGCTCTCTCTGTTTCGCGTGGCGGTTGTCCGGTAGAGAATGCGATCAGGCATTAAGTCTGCCCTGTAGACATTTTACAATATGTGCAAAAGTATAAATAAATAAATATTTTTTGAAGAATAATATTTTTTAAACATTCTATTAACTAAAATACCAATATGGAACTTAACCACTTCCATTATAATAATAATGGTAATAAAATTAATATTCACCTGTGTAATCTGACGGTGTCAGCAATAAGTACTGCTCAGAGCGCGTAGGCCACAACAAGTGCGCCATAACACAAAATGCTAGACAATCCGCTGAATATGTTATACCTAAAACATTATATTGCACATAAATGCATGTCAAGTTATAATTAACAATAACAATATGAGACAGAAAATAACCAGACAGTTAAAGTGATAAACAGATGATAAGCCGGATGGTCTACTTGTTGGGAAATATAGGTACTGAATCAAACTATACTTTATTTTTGTAGAAAAAATCCTACTATAAATGTGTAAATTTGTAAAAATATTTGTTACTCATACTTGAGCAGATTTGAATGAAATAACCTATCCATCCACCAAACACAGGTTATAACCCAACTTAACTATAACTTAGCATATTTTATATAATGTTGTTGAATATACAATTAAAACTTTGCATTTTTTGTATTTTTTTCTTAGACAAAAATTATAGATAATACGTTATCTATGATTACTTTTTATCTTTTACTATTTCATTTACTGTTCGAGATTTATCACTTTGACGAATTGAGCGATAATCGTTGCGACCTATTTTTCTATAACATTTTTACAATACATTGAAATTATTTCATGAAAAACTTCAAACAGAATTGTTGTACAACACTAAGCTACATACCCAAAAGGAATTTGAATCTCCACAGCGGGCTGATCTGCAGCGCTATAAGCGCAATGATTGGCAAATACACGAACCATACCAAACTTGAAGCACCAAAATGTAGGAGGAAATTCAGTTTTGGCATGTTGTGCTCATACATCATAGTGTTCCGTAGTTCCAATACGAACCACGTCATAATAGCCACACGCAGTGTCAATATCAGCCAGCCAGGCCACGTCTGGTATTCGTCTATCTCTTCTATTATGTCCACTTCAGTCTACAATCAATGTGTTTAATATGTAAATGAATAAATTATTAAAAAAGGGTAATTTTATAGTGGGCTCAGCAGCTGTGTAGTATCTCAAAAAAACAAATGGACGCAATTTATTAATTTTAGAGTTTATTTTGTACCAAAAAAGCAAAAAAATATAAAGATTTAGTATCTAGAAATATATGTTAAATTTAAATATTTTTTAGTTTCATTTTACAAAAGTGTGCATTGACTGGGCCTGTTATCCATATACATACATATATATTACCTTATTGTTTTAATTATAGATATGTAGGGGATAATCTTCGGAACTAGGGTAAACTCTAAAAATACCTATATTAATAACATTTCATTACCCATAAGTAATAAACATGCTATAACAGGGAAATTCCCACAAGTACGGAAGATAAAGGTTTCGCGTGGGCAGCAGCGCGAAATATTCGTCTCTATCGATAGGAAATTCATCCACATACAAATTTTTGTCATTTAATTAATCACCTAATTTTAAAATATATTTATAAAAATCCTTTCTTAATACACAATAATTTCTTAATACTTAAGGCCGCCTCGCCTTACTGTACTTATACAATTTACTCACTCACTCACAAATTTATGGGACTAAGCAAATTTTCTTAATTTTAGACCCACCAGTTTAAGTTTTATCTGTTCATAGTGTAGAAATTTTTATAAAGTCCATTAAAAAGTCTTTATAGACGAGTACACAGCACTTACAGTGTTCCACACATAGAGTAGTATGTGCACAATTCCATAACCAAGCCAGACTCCAAATACCAGAGGTTTATAAGTCAGCTCCAGTCTCGTCACTGCCCAGCCTTTTGCCAGCAGTAGCAGAAGTAACATGAATAGTGTCTAAAAACATATTAAGATATGTTATGAAGATGTACATATTTCTTTTTTATAATAAGTAATAATAAGCTGGCCATGTTTAGTGTTATATTTTCTAGAAAAGTTGTCATTTTGACAAATGCCTTGGACTACCCCAAAATGAAGTGTTATACAATAGTATCACCTACATGAATAAATTATTTCTTCATTTTATAAAATACAGTCACTGTGAGCCATCATGAGAAAGTTAGAGAAAATATGTGAAGTGTTGCTGTTCATGTAAATGTAACACTTGAGATGGCTACTTTTTGCCTAACATAATGTGGCAAGAACATAAAAAGTTATAGACTTATAAGTCTAAGAATATAAGATGTTTAGCATCATTGGAGAATTAGTCAGAAATTAAAATTGACTTTTTCTGTACTTGTAAATGCTGATTAAACTTACCCTACTCATAATGTCTAGTATATCTCCGGCTACTGCTAATCCAGCAAAGCCGACACCATCTGCTGCAAATTTAACTGTATGAAGGACATTGAAGCAAAGTGCAATGAATTCCAGGACAAGACTGAATGTAAACAATTTTGTGACTGGATGTTTTTGAGTTCTGAAACAAAAAAAAAATACTTTTACACTATTGTTGTTTACATACCAAAACAATGCATTTCCTATAATCCACTCATGAAACATCAACTAGTTTATTAATGTGAGATGTGAGTCTTCAATATAAGGTGCTAAGTTAATGAAAGGGAAGAAACAGAATATACATGGAGGGACAATAAATCATCACCATCAGACAAGGTGTTGCAAATTAGATGCTAATTGGCTTTTAAGTACCTCTTTCAATTAATTGAATTTATTCTCATTTATAACTGATGCTGTAAAGTCCACAGAAGATGGAAACTAATCAGAGCAAAGTTAATTTATTCTACTTAGTCACACTTTTGTCATATTAAAAGGTAAAAAGACTTGCAGAAAATTTTTGTGAGTGGCAAGAGCTCCACCGACAAGAATGCAGCTCTTAAATAGAATAGATACGATAGATAGTAACATTGGTCTGTCAATCTCTCACATATTTCATTTTCTCTCTTGCAAATTGTTTGATTATATCACACATATGAAACAAATATATATATATATATATTTGTATATATATATACATATATTTATTTAGATTTATATATGGTGCTTTATATAAATCTGTAAATTACACTGTTATCTGCAAATGATTACAACAAATATCATAGCATTTAAAATTCATATCTATTTGCATATTTCTAATACTTCGCTTCTATCACTAATCATCATTATACATCTTCAATAGCTATACTTATTAAATTTTGCTATTAAATACATTACATAAATTGATTTAGAATACATTTTAGGTCAAGACAGACAATTCCATTACCCTTGAATTTTTAATACTAGCATAATACATAGTTATTACGACATTAACATGGCTGCATGTGGTTGATATAAATTGCAAGCTCTCTAAAATAAGTTGAAACTTACCTGACAGCATATATTTGTACTGGCAGTAGAATAATGTAACATAGCCAAAAGACTAAATACAACTCAAGTGTATTTTGACGATCAAATGAAAATTGGTACAGTAATGTGTTGTAGAAAGATAAGTTTGGACTTCCATTAACCAGCCAAAAGTCATACTGCAAATTTTGTGGTATGTCCGTCAATGTCTTGTTGTCTTTGGATGGTGTTCCACTATAGTGATGCCAAGTGCATGTAGTCTCATCTAAGTAACATGCCACCATTGACACATACCAAAATCTGCAGACATAAAATTACATAATTATGATAAGGGCAGTGATTGTTAATTTTTTTCTTTACTAGTTCTTTCTTTTAAAGCACATAGACAGTAATGAAGCACAAAGCTCCTGTCTAAAATTGCAACTATTAAAATAATTCAATTAGGTTTTTTCAATTGGTAATGAAATAATTTAGCATAATAGAAAATATTCACATTGCACAGATTATAAGAGACAGGAATTAACATAATCATTTAAAAATACTTTCTTAATTTACTTAATAATCATGTCTTATCTCTTATAAACCATAAGTCAATAATTTATTAGAAATACAAACTTACCTAGGTTGACCTGAGTTTTGGATAACATAAGTAAACTGATTTTTTTTTACCACATTCCATGGTGTATCTTCATCAACACATAATTTGTCTTTGGGGCATGGTATTCTTCTAAATAAATCTTGACCATTTGCATTGCATTTAGGATGATAAGCAGAATTATTTAATTTCTGAAACATTTCCTGACATGCCTTTTCTTTGTTCTCTATATTACGGCTGTTGTAATAATGTAAAAAGTGTCTTCTATCTAAAACTGCGAATGTAATCGGATATTTAAATTGTTTGTTAGATGTTATGTTTCCAAAAATGTAGCCATATGTTTCCTTTTGGTAATGGATGTCAGTTTTCTGAAAACCAAATTTCACCAAAAACTTGAAAAAATCTTCTGTTGAGAATTCTCCTTTAATGTGTGTTGAAGATACGCCGAAGATTAAACAGAAATAGAATAATATTTTTATTTGACAACACATTTTGTCAATGATAATTTTCCAAATGAAGCATTTCTATTACACTAGTTTTCGTCTTTTACGTTTTAATTTAAACATTTATATTACACATGATTTTCTGAAATAATTATTACTATAACAATTTTAAATTAAGCGGGACTACATGGAACAATTAGAAAAATATATTTTAAGTCAAATAAAACGTAACAAGGGATTTGTAATTTAATACAGCCATTTGTTGCCAAAAAAATATTCATTTGCCATTTGCTTTTCATTCGCTTTCCGTCAGCGTTAGTCACGGTTGTCAAAAATTACGTTAATGTCAAATTACAGAGTACATAAACGGTGAAGTAAATTTCTGAGTAATTAAACATTTTTTATATCGTGTACTAGTGGTATCTAAAAATAAGGAATTACGGAATTTTTAGACATATCTTGATGAATTAGACCACTATGGATTATTCAGAATTATATGATTATCCCTCTCTAATACATTGGCAATGTCGTAAATATGATGCGCAAGACACTATATGGATTCCATCTATTTTATTCAGAAATCTTTATGACGACACTTGTTCTTAGACGCCGACAGCCGATACCCATACAAAATGTTTAACATTATCTATTGCCTCTATTTAAATATCTATGGCGTTGTATATCTTTCATAGATCAAGAATATTACCTGCCACTATAAATGACTACATAATGCTTTTCCTAGTTTATTATATACACAGTATAAAAGTACTCTGTACAGTTTTACAATTTGTTGTCTGTTCTGTTGTAATGTCAGCTGTCAATCATTCGTCACAGTGATGGCGGATCGTTTTTGGCAGTGCTAAATGGATACCTTTAATTTTTATAAACTGTTTTTAAACTATTTTTGTATTAATTATAATTATTATCTACTTATAATTTATGTATTTTCATGAACTGAACTAACTAAGATGGCATTACCTTGAAGATTTAGGACACGTCAAGTGCCATAGCAACAGTCCACAAACTCGCCCATTTCCTTTGTGATCTAGTTAGCTTCAGTTGTGAACTTTTATATATTAACTTGATTAGAAGTGTATTGTTATTTTAAAATAAAAATGTTTAATTTGACTCAAATATACAAATGATGTTTAAAGTATACATTGAAGAGAATGTTAGATGTGTAACCTCAAAAAACGCGGAAGTCTGTTATCGAAGCCGCTCTGAATTTGTGGAACCTTGATCATTAATATCGTTAAATTTCTTTGATATTTATTGATTATAATTTCGTTTCGAAGCCAATTAAACGTTTTAATAGCGTAAGAATAAAAAAAATAATGAAACAATGGTCGAAATAGGTGCTCCTCATGATTCGGCCGACGACAGTCTGGAGAACGCCGAATGGTACTGGGGCGATATTACTCGGTAAGTTTTTATGATTTTAGAAATCTTAATTAGTATTCACTGATCTTAATTCATTCTCATTCATAAATAGAACTAGATTACTTCCCATTTCCAAGCATTCCCAATCTTATAAAAGTTAACTCATTACTATTAGCTGTATTTATAATTGACATCCAATAAGGACCTAGAGTCTAGTGTAACTGCTCATTTTTTTTATAATAATAATATAGAATTGTAACTTGGAACATCTGACATACTTTTATGAATCATTATTAACATGAAATATTTGTAAATTCCAAATATATTGCAGTGTTTATAAGAAATTTATAATTTGAGAAATATCCTGATTTTTAAAATTATTTATATAAATTAGTTTATTATACATATAATATTTATTAAACACATAGTAACTTTGTTGTAAATGCTTGCCTTTTTAAATTCTTCATTTATTACTAATTATATATACACTTATTTTTATAATAAAACATAAATATCTATGTACTAAGATTGTTTATGCTATTATTATAATTATTAAAATATGCTAGCTGATTTCCATGGCTTTCCTTATTTATATATATTATACACTAATGGAAAAAATGAAGTGTTAAAAAAAAATTCAAATAGGTGATTTTGAATTTTTTTCATTCTTGACATGTTTTTGAAAATGCAACAATAATAGGGCTTTTAGTGGTTTTTTTGGAAAGTAAAGAGCTAAATCGAAAATATTGAGGAAACCCCTAATATTACGTATAACTTTTACAGTTCAATATACCCACAAAAACCTCACAAAGTTTCACTTTAATCCATTCAGCCGTTTCTTTGTTTTACTCGATAAATTTTTTGGAAAAAATTAAAGGATCACATTTTTCGAGTTTAGACCCAAAAACTAGACACTTAGCTACAGTTAGCTTTTTCAAATGTCTATACGATGATTTTTCTCCAAGTTACAGCCTATTGAAAATCACCTAAAAATTGGATTTTTTTTGATCAATTAATTTTTTCCATTAGTGTATTATTATGTGTTAAATTATAATGTAACTTACCTGTATGCTAAATTTTCTTTAAATCTGCCTAGCTATTTAAGTGTGATTGAATAATATGTACTATTGTATATATTAACAGACAAAATATTCACTTATACAAATTTTCACATTTATAATATTAGTAGGATTGCAGAAAACTAATAGATAAGAGTACTCTGTATTTTACTGAACACAGCAGGTGACAATGAAAAGTTCTCCTTAATAGATAGTATTAAATGAAGATAGATAATATAAGTGACATCATTATCAGTGTGTAATTTTTTTTCACTATAATATTATAAAAGCTATTTTTTTAGAAGGAAATCTTTAGCAATAACCTGTTTCAAAAATGCTAATCATTGCTATAGTTATTAATTCTTTATTGTTTTTAGGGTTCCATGTTAAAATAATGTAAAAGATCCTTTATGGTGTTATTTTATCTGTCTATCCATCTGTTTGTTTGTCACAGAGCAATATCTCTGCAATTATTAAAGCTGTCAATATGAAATTTTGGATAGTTTTGAATATTGTGGGCTGACTTTTATTACAATAGAAATGTATTGTTAATTGAAAACTTTGTTTATTGATTATGATAAAAAAGTAGCCTATATTCTTCTCCATCTTGAGTAGTCTGTGTACACCAAAATTCATAGTGATTGATTTAGCCCTTAAGGTACTATAAAGTAACAAACAAACTCACATTCACATTTGCAATATTAGGACGGATGCCAAGGATTGCATTCATTGCAGTTATAATTATTATTAAATATATATTTAATTTATTTCATATAAGAAATACAATAAACATATTTTTACATAAGTTCTCTTTATCTCATAATTTCTAATTTAAATAAATTTAAATTATTAATGAAATCAAAAACCGTTTTATAAATTATTTTATCTGTAGAACATTCGGCGTGAGAGTATTGGATCATTTACATATTTCCTCATATTTAACTGGTTCACATATTTCCACAATAAACCATCTTCAAATGTTTTCCACTTCCGAAAGTTTCACTCCTTTTTATCCTTATTGATTAAGATTTTTTTTAAGTGTATGATCCACATAACCTTTTGCAGATTGTCTTACTAATCATGTGAATTATGTTGGTTACTATGTTTTTTTTTGGGGTAGTCATCATTTTGAATTTTATAATTCATTTAGTGAAATTCCAACCGTATTTCTATCCATATCTCATCAATAATCAATTTGCTTTTTCATAAATCTTGCAATGCAAGACTAAATTTCAGTACCATGATTTATCATTGGTTGGCACTCATTGATTGAACTTGATATCTATTTATAATTTTTGAAGTATTTTGAAGCTGTAGTTTTTCAGATTTTTTTTTCTTTTTTGGATGAAAATAGAATGATAACCATCCTACTATTAATTTACGCTGATCTCTATCAGTTAGGGATCAGCGTAAATTAATACGCGAGATATGGGTAAATCACATGTGAAAACGAAGTCATTTGGTTCATTGTAACAAATTATCTAGTATATAGTATTAAGTTCGAGGGCCATGTGAAAGTTGACCGAACAAAAGCTATATTACTAGTAATGGTTCCGCACACCATTTCTTGCAATTCCTCCTCCGCTTTTGTCCTGATTAGATATCATGACACAAGTTCTCCTAGTTACACATATTAGTGGATACTTTCTAGTTTTCTCAAGCTAATCAATATGGGTGTGACAATAATGTAAGAAATACGATTGATGAGGTCGTTGAGGATGTTGTTGACGTCATTTAGAGTTCATATATAATATGGGGAAATTGTGTCGTTTATTTATATATAAAAATTAATGCCACTTTTCGTTGTAATTTTATAACTCAAGAACGGGCTCATCTATCCAAACCAAATGTTTAGACTTCACATAAACCATCTAGTAAATAGTCCGATATTTACTAGATGGTTTATGTGAAGTTTGCACAAAATCGGTCGAGCGGTTCTTCATTTATCACATTTTTTGTAACAAATGAATTTAATAAATGGCGGATCATTTTGTAATAGGGATTTTTGTGTCAAATTCAATTTTTTTTTAAAATGGGATTTGTGCTGTCAAATTGAAACTTTTTTCAACAAATTGCCTCTATTTATTTAGTTCTTTTATTAGCTGTGTGATCCCGGCGTAGAATGAGTTACTCCTAACTACTACTTCCTTAATTGTCGAGGAATAGGTAGCAGCGTTCCTTTTAAAACATCATGAAAGCCTAACTGTGTAACAACTACTGGCAAAACTCTCCTTATGCGGAAGGCCTATGTATACAGTGGATAGTTAACGGTTGATATATTGTATTAATAATTTAATTCTTCTATCCTTTCTCTTAGCGACTGCCAGAAGATGGAGGTTCTCAATTGCTCTGAATCTTTCTGTGACTATGTTACGCCATCATATCGCAAATTCTGAACCAATTTGCTTCGTTTGTGTTCCCACATTATTAATTAATTTTAATTTTATTTCGATTGAAATAACTTTAATCATAGAAGAGATCGCTTTTTATTGTTAAATGTTTACGACATGATAAATGGTGGGGGAAGGGAAAGGATTTTGTTTCCCTTGAATAAAAAAGACTATGATAATACTCTATACACGATTACATCTACCCAAGTCCATTATATTTACATTTATGACATCTCATAGCTTTATTGTGTATTACTTTCGTACTACGAAATTAACAGCAATCTGATATCATCTGATGAATAGCAGCATTGCCCCCAACTCGTCTGAATAAAAAAATTTATAATTTTTTTTTTATACAACTTAGAATGGCAAACAAGCTGACGGCCCACCTCATAGAAAGTAGTAACCGTCGCCTATAGACATGACCAGTGCCATGGACATAACAGAGTGTACTGTTTCGCCCATGATACCCCCCAAGCGTTGCCATTCCTGAGGACTCAGGTGTTATTCCTCTGTACCCTGTAAATTCACGCCATATCCCACCCTTCAAACCGAAACACAGCCATGCAAACACAACTGCTTCACGGTAGAAACACGAACAAAGAGATGAACAGCATTTAAAAAAAAATCTACCTGATATATATGTTTTAATTATATGCAAGGTATACTTCATTTTTCTGATTTAGCACTTTTTGTTGCAGAGATGAAGCTGCGGAAAAACTTCGGGATTCTTGTGATGGTACATTTTTAGTTCGTAATGCATCAAATAAAGATGGCGGATACACATTGACTGTTCGTAAAGGAGGCACAAACAAACTGATTAAAATATATAATCAAGATGGCCGATATGGATTTTGTGAACCTTTTGAGTTCAAATCTGTTGTGGATCTTGTCAAATTTTATACAGAATACTCATTGGGACACTGTAACAACAGTCTGGACATCAAACTTATGTATCCACTATCCAGACTACCAGAATATGATGGTGGTGAAAATGTGAGTGATGAGAATCTAGAAGCTGAATATAAAAGAGTACATGAAGAATATATGGCTAAAACTAAAGACTTTCATGATCGTTCTTGTAAGTACATGAAGCTAAGAGAAGAAGTTAAATGTAAAAGACAAGCTCTCGATTCTTTTAAAGAAAGTCTCAGGATTTGTGACGATCACCTTAAGTTACAAGAGAAAATGATGGCAGATGTCCAACCACATGAAAGGAATGATTTAATAGAGAATAACAAGCTGTTACTATTACGAGTGTCTGAATTAACAAGAGCAAAATTAAAACTTAACGACATATTAAAAGAGGCAGTGCATTCTAATTTGGATCTTGAACGACAAATTTATAAGCTTAAATCAAAAATTATAATCCTTTATCGAATGAAAGAACGTTGTAAAATGTAAGTATATTTTTCATTGTTCTGTTTTCTATTATTATTATTTCTTTTTATTAGATATAGTGAAGATCAGTCACATCTTTTGTTTAGTACGCATATTTATAACCCTAAAAATATCAACAAATATGAAATAATTATATAAATTAGACATAAAATAACGAAATTTTAGTGCTTTTGATACAGCAGGATGAAAAACGCGCGATACGTGAGCGAACGTATACCTATAACGTATTTTGTTACAACTCACTACATTTAAATACGAATATAGGTAGGTATGTAAAAAGGCTCATATGAACACATAATATTCCTGAATATGGTTGAGAACTGCTGCTGGTACACTGCTGGACTATTAAAGATATTGCGATTGTTGGTAGTCTTTATTAATATGCTATTTGTAATAGTTATTATATACAAGAAAATTATAACTTGTGTAACTCAACTTATTTCATTACATACAGTAATGCTATAAACACTATAAAATGGCGTCTATTAAATTTCTTAAGCTTGGTTTGATTAACGTAGGTTCCCTAGGGACGGGGCAAGACAAATCTATTCATATTCCGGTTTCTCTTTTTCAATTAACATTAATTGAAAAACAGAAACCGGACATTGTAGCCATAAACGAGACCTGGTTGCGCAAGGGAGAAGAGTTACTTGCCCCACGCGTAGGCGGGTATCGAATGCGTCACGTTCCGCGGCCGACCACCACCGGGCGTAGCCGTGGCAGTGGGGTAGGGTTTTATATTCACCGAAATTTGACAGAATGTGTAGTTGCGCATCTGCCCGCCAGTATTGAGCAGATGTGGATTTCTTTAACTATGAATGGCAAACGAATAGTAGTTGGTACTGCTTACCGTCCCGATTGGGTTGCAGTCGACATATTTCTTGACGCTATCACTGCGTCTATCTTTAGTTTTGGTTATTGTGACAGTCTTGTTTTGTTGAGAGATTTTAACATTAACTTGCTTAACACGAATAATGTCTCTGCTATAAAATTTAATGACTTTATGTATTACACGCAGCTGCAACAGTTAGTCAAGTCAAGTGTTTGTTGGACCTATTTAATACCCATGCCCCTATTAGGAAAAGATTTATTAAACAAAAAAAATACCCGTCGATAACGGACACAATACTACAAATGATACAAATGAGGAATGAGACTCACGCTAAATACAGAAAAACAAAATTGGACGCACATAAATATTATTTAGATTTGAAAAAATTGATGGCATCTAGTCTTGAAAGAGAGAAACAAGCTTATTTTACGCACTGTATCAACAATAACAAATATAAAGATCCCAAAAAAATTTGGAAATCTGTTAAAGAGAATATAGTGCTTAATAATGATAAGAATGAACTGCCTGATCACCTATTAGATCCTGGTGACATCAATTACTTCTTTCTAAAATTACCTGGTTCTAATTCTGTTTCACTTTCCGATTTAACATTTTTTGAGTTTCATCGTTTTAATAAATTTAGTTTTGAAATTAAACGGGTCAGTGAAGATACGATTGCTAAACATATAATGAGTATTAAATCAAATGCTCAGGGAATTGATGGTATTTCTCTAGATATTTTAATACTAACTTTGCCACAAACTCTACGGATTATTATAGCCATCATTAATAGGTCCTTGTCCACTGGTGTATTCCCAACGCTTTGGAAAAATGCAATTGTAAATCCAATACCTAAGACGTCTGCACTTATGGGATTTAAGGACTTAAGAGGAATTAGTATCTTACCATTATTATCAAAAATACTAGAAAAAGAAGTGCATTCACAATTAATGAATTACCTCCAAAAGAATAATATCTTGCTAATCGTGCAATCTGGATTTCGCAAGGGTCATAGTACTTCAACTGTGCTCCTTGAATGCGTGCGTGCGTGCGTGAGGGCGGGCGGGCGGGCGGGTTAGCGTGCGTGCGTGAGTGCGTGCGTGCGTGCGTGCATGTGTGTGTGTGTGTGTATATGTATATATATTGTGTATGGTATAATATGTTTATATTATGCTTATAGATTTTGTATTTAAAAATAATGTAATTTGTGAATTTTCGTACAGCTATTGTCAAGGCTTGGATATTTGTTTTATTCTACACATAGGGTCGAAAACTTTTTTGTTCTTGTTTTTCTTTGTTTACTGATATTTTTGTTTTTTACCTATTGTTTTGCGCATGTTTGTATATTGTGTTACTCTGAATGTCGATTCACGATCTTGATGGACCGGACTAGGTGATGAGGTGCTAATTGAAAATCAGCGTTTCTGCTTTTGCAGGAACTTTAAGCTGAATTGGCATCCTTTTTCATTACCATAACACTGACTGATTTCAACTACTCTTTATATATAAATGTAAACTTTCTTTTTCTATATATATATTTTTTTTATGTTGTTATTACTTGTAAGCTAAGTATATGTAAGTGTTATGGATAATTGAAATACATTTTCAGTCATTCATTCATTCATTCATTAATGGCTTCCCCATTTTTCTTAGCTGAAATTGCAATTCGTATTAGGCGATAGAATCTTAAAAAATACTATTAAACATGCTTACGCTAAACGTATTAATAAAAATATTTTTCTTTATTTATTTAATACAAATATTTGTTTTATGTGGGGTTCCAATCTGCATTTATCCATATCAAATTTATCCAGCCGCTGAAAATACAGGGATGCTATGAGACAATAACAAATCATACAAATAAAAAAACACTAAAGAACATTTAGTATTGTTATTATCCTCAATGTAATAAGAGTGTTTTATTTATATTATTTATCATTTTATACTTAGGCTGTCATGACTAATCTAATGATATTAAAAATCCATTTTTGAATAATATAAGCGAATAAGGAAACCGATCCAGCTTGTTTTCGTATGAGACCGCACGAGTTATAAACTAGCGATCAGAAAATCAAGCTTGAGCGATCGTTTAAAAGTAGTATAACTAGAAATCAAAATGTCTTTTTATGTAAACTATCCTCATTAATGTTATTAATACAAGCTATTACAATCAACTTTAAACTTGACTAAATTAGTGTCCGACCCAACTTTCTATTTGGGTTTTGGTTTCACCCACTTGCGGTACAAATTTTGACTGAACTGTAACAAACCGAAACTACATTTTGGAATGTTGGTTTTTAAAATAGATTTGTACAATCTAAGAATCAAGAAACTAAATGAGAAAATATTGTTTTCAGGTCATTATTAAAACGTGGCAAAACTGTTGAATATTTACAAGCTCTTGAAAATGATAACACAGAAGAATTGGAAGAATTATATGCTCACCGTGAACCAATTACATGGAAAGTAGAAAACTGTTCAAGAGAAAAAGCGGAGAAACTTCTTCAAGGAAAACCTCAAGGCACATTCTTAATTCGTCCAAATTCTACAGGCCAACTAGCTCTTTCGATATGCTGCAATAATATGGTGTATCACTGCATTATATTTAGGACTGAAAGAGGTTTTGGATTTGCGGAACCTTATAATGTATATAAGTAAGTAATATAAAAAACTAAGTGGTTGAATTTTTCTTTATTAATTGTAGAAATGGTACATAAACTGACAACTCGCGGAATTACCACGGAAAGTGGTAATCGTTGCATATGCTATAGATATGAATAATTCGACACCTACGTCACTTATTAACCCGCTAATGTACATCGTTCGCGTTCTCTAAGTCAAAGGATGAGTATTAAGGCGTTGTCATAAGGTACATTTTACCGTGCAAAACCTGTGAATATTTTTGTATACTTACACATTTTATTCCATGAATTACGAACACAAATGTTACACTTATGGCACTCTTCATGTTTTGCTTCTTCCAAAAACTGAGTGTCACAGCTTTAATTAATTAATATTGATTTAAATTGTATGCATGATATATTCAAGTGACTTTCAGCTAGTCATGCTCACTATAAAGTCCAGACTGGTGGTGGCGTGGTAGGCCAGCTCATTGAACTCTCTAAAATATGGTTGAGCGCAATGTTGCCTAGCTTATTCGTCATAGTCGTGAACGGGTGCTTCTTCTAAATACTGGTCTGATTATAGTCACAGTACCCATATAAACGTAAAATGATTTTGTACATAAACAAATTAAAAAGAGTTACTATTGAGTTTCTTGTGGGTTCTCAACGGATATATTCAGAACTCAGCAATAAAATCGTAAAAAAAATCCATTTAAAAGAGCTTGTAAACAAATCTATTTGAATAAAGATGATTTCTATTCTATTTGTTTACAAAAATAATGAGTGATGTTGATGCCTGTTGTTACTGTGTGTTTATTGTATGGTTGTAACCAACATATTTTTTATTCATTTTTTTATAATACCGGTCATCATTTTTACTGTCATGATAGGTATTATAAAAATAATTACTAATTTTATTTTTATTATTGGCATTATAAATTTTTGGGCATTTTTTGTAAAAATTATGTATTATTCATTTTTGTTTACATACAGTTATTAAGTTTGCAAAATTAATATCAAGACTCCTCATAAAAGTGATTAATTTTTCCAATTTGGATAATATTTAAATAGTGAAAATGCAAAAAATCCACATATTGAGGTTGTGGTTATAATATTACAATAACATTTAGTTGGTAGGTTTAGTTAATAACATATTTATGTTTAATTGATTTATGTATTCCTGTACAAAAAGGAATTATCTCATACTTATTATTCTATATATTTCAGAACGTTAAATGAGCTTGTACTACATTACGCTGTAAATTCACTGGAAGAACACAATGAACAGTTGAAAACAACTTTGAAGTATCCTGTGTATGCTGATTTGGTAAAAAAACCAGATAAAGAGAAGGCCCAAGGTACAACAGTAAGAGCACAAGGTACAAATATGGATACTTGACATTATGTGAAAAGAGATAGTGTTGCTCCCAATTATACCGCGTACTTCTCTTCTCTTCTATTCTGTGAATAGAATGATTGGCGGAAGTCGATTATGTCGCGTCTTTGGATTGTCAGATTTTGTCTGCGTATTTATGAAAAAACCAAAGGTGTATGGATTTTTAAATTTAAAAAGAAATCCCAGTGTCCTATAAATATTCATATCTAGAATTTTTATTGGTTTAAAACAAAAAGTTTATAATATTTACTTTATTTACCATTATGTATAATAATATATTTCCTGTGAGATTATACTTCTATTCTATATTTAATATATTAAACAAAAACTATATTTTGCAATATAAAATGAAATGTAAAGATTTATTAAAACTACAGCATATTTTGATCTGAATGGTTTAATTGGATGGGGGTGCAAATTGTACACATTTTGATCTAACAGAGTTTGTGTGCAGAGTATGCATGTTACATCAATGTGATTTACATAATTGTAAGGTGTGTTTTGATAATATGCTGGAGTGCTGTATAAAATATGACAGGGCATCTGGATGGTATGTCACAATGCCCTATGTCGTATATCTGTATTTTTATTTATCAATAGAGAGCCAATATAACATATTTTGTGTGTACCTCTGTGCACACAGTATACGGTGACTGCTGGGTAAGGTTGATCTAAGTAGATGATAGTTATTGTTCATAATGGTTTATGTGGGGCATTCAATTGTAATAACTATCAAACAGACTGATTAGCTTTCCCCAAGCAGAGCTGCGGGCACTAATTTTGAATTGTAATTATGGCATAAATATTATCTTTTTAGTTCTTCATATTTGTGATAATAATGTGATAATTTCGTTTTTGTTAATCAGATTTTGGAAAAAGGCCTTTATATCGAAAACATTTTTTTACATATATGTATGTACCTATAGGATTTATTAGAATTTCTATTAATTGATTCAGAAATATATTCTAAATTATGATTACTATCTTATTACAATCTAAATTGATCTTCCTTAAGGATAAAAGGACAGAAAGTGGTTAAAATGCACAGATTATAAAAACTACATAGTAAAGTGTATTTGATTATTATATACAATATTCTGATTTATAATATTAATATTATGAACTTGTCAACAAGTACTTAATATAATAATTATACATATTAATGTTTAATATGTAATGTCACAATTATTTAAAATTCAACTTTCAATCGATTATAAACAAAGATGTTGACTATTTGTCTGCAATTGTTTGCTGGTTATTCGATTAGAATTTCTTTGTTTAATATCACCATTAGTATGTGTGTAACTGCCAACACTCAAAGATTGACTACTATTCTTATATTGGTAGTCATATACACACTAATAGTAGCAGAATTAAACAAAATAATTTTATTCGAATAACTAGTGATATTGGCTTCCGCAAGATAACACCCATTACAGTAAAATATTAGCATTAGTTTAAAGATATTTTAATGTGTATCCCTAAATTTGGGAATTCTAAATTATTACTAAGTTGAAAAAATACTTTCTGTGTTTTTGACAACTCGTTTCAATGGGATTTGAACGCTTTGCGGTGTGGGTATGTTACCATTTACAACATGGAAGGAATGTTAACAATATTTTGTTGAGCTACTGTCTCTATACCCGATTGATTGAATATACGGCAATGCGGCCGATAATGAATTATGCGCAGTCTGGGCGCCGAACAGTCAACACTAGGCTATGAGCAACAATGTATTAATTGCCTGATGATTCCCCGTTTAAAGGTGAAAGACGTGTCGCAACATGAGCGTAAAGTAAATAATAGTCGGAGATTTATGACTACTAGGGAAAGTTGCAGAACTTCTACTAATATTAATACTCGTAGTAACCTAACGTCGTATATTGTTACGGTCGCTTTGTACACTGTCTAGGTCTATTGAAGTTCAATAAATAGTAGCCAGCCCTCAAATGTTGGCAGTCACATGCATACAGTAACGAAATTAACAAAATAATTTTAATCAACTAGCTAGTTATATCAATCTGTGAAATTATGCAATCATCAAAGTTCGTTTTTAGTTATTCACTATTAGTCTTTTATTAATTGTGTACCGTTTAAAGTTGGTTCTTTTTTTGATAGAACAAAATCTTGTAATCATTTATCTGTTTAGTTGTTTATCATTTCGTAAAATTGTCCCCATTATTATATATTTTTTATTATAATTCAATTCAAGTACGTATTATAATCCACTTTTTGTCTTTTTTGTCTATATATTATAGCATTAGCTTTGTGGTAGAAGGATTAGGGGCCTTTGTGGATCAAATGATTCGAAAATGATAAGTGATGATTATACAATGGTCAAAATGGAGACTGTCGAGAGTGTTATTTTGAATGGATTCCCATTCAAAGTAGTCAATCTTCCTCTATTTATAACCTTGTATTGAGTCTGTAATCTACCACATACTTAATAATAATCATGTTATAAATTACATAATATGTAGATTTAATGTGCTTAATATAAAGTAGTTCTGTAGTTAAGGATCACAAGTTGTATGTATAGTGATATATTTATTTTGTTCATTCCAAGCTTACCATGTTGATCAGGTTCCATAGACAAATATGGGGTCCGAATTATAAAAATACAGACTCAATACTGGGTAATTAGTGGTCACGAATATATTATATGTGATAGTAATTAATAATTGTGTATGTTGCATACACTTGATAACTGTACCCAGATGTATTATGTAGTTTACGATATAATGTATCCAGAACATTTTCTGGTTTTGTGTGTGATAGAGAGAGAGAGAGCGAGAGAAAGAAAGAGCCTATTATTCGCATGATAGGCCTAATATAAGGTGTTGCGGAGAGGAAGGATTTTTGACCATGAAAGATCAAGTTTCGCAAAGCAATTATGTGAATGCTTTTATAATTTACCGTAATATGGCACGGCAGATTTTTAGCATAACTTATCTAATTGAATGGAGACATTTTTAGTTTTCCGTCCAAGATATCGTCATGCCGTGTACGTCTATGTAATTGTGCACAGAAATTAAAAACGTCTTCATAAATTGCTTCGCCGTGACATCGTAACGATAACTTCGTGTTGTGCCGTTTCACGGCAAAATAAAAGTGTCGTTCATATGTGTTCTATTTTGATGAGCAAAACATTTGTCTAAAATCGCCCCTCATCTACACAGGTCCATATTACACAATGAAGTTATTTTGCTTCCTCGTCATCTCCGAGTCAGTTAAATGAATTTGTCATATTTTTTATCGTTGTTGCTTCAGATAAATTGTTCTACTTTTGGAAAGACTAAAGATGCCAGGCTTTTTGAATTCTGAAGACGACAGAATTTGCATACATTTTATACATATATATATTGTCGATTATGATAATTCACTGTTCTGAGACGCCATATCTCTAAATATATCGCTAAAATTTAAATTTGATACTACAGCGAAATTTTTGTTCAAAGAATCAATATAAACTAATATTCTAATAGATATAAATCAACATAATTATAATTTTAGTTTTATAAAACAATAATTCCGCGAAATTATCAAATTAAATTATTGGATTTAGTTTACGCCTCAGAATCGGCCCCATTGTCTTGCATATGTCTAAGATTGCGTGGATATCAAAAATGTTTTCATTAATCTAATACAACAACAAAAATTGTTTAGTTTATTTCAATTCCCAATTGGTATAATGTCTACCAAAATTTTGTTTGAAACATTGGTGCAAAAATTACGTGTTTTACTAAAATGGCCGTCTTTGTAAGTACTATTTAGAGTTCCGTAGTCAATAATCAAAACCCACTTTCACTCATATAATTTTGAGTAAATAACTTTTACGAAACAATTTAAATTAACAGATTCCACAAAGATGAAATTTTCAGACAAAAAATCTCCAATTATCGTAATTAAAATGACATTCAATAGGGTAAATGCGTCACATGATAAATTCAATGATAACAGAAGTTTTTAACAGACTTTTGAGTTTAGCATCTATGAATTAATAATTTTTGACTGATTTTGATGGTAAATTTTTTAGTCAAATTATTTATTCCCGCCCACCTTGGTCGCATAATTTTAAAAAGATTTGATCTTAGATATTTCTGTATTTTTTCTAATTATTTAATGAATTTCCAGACAGCAAAATAGAATTTCGGAATCAGCATTGAGTATCTTTTATAGTAATTTAGAGCTTAACGTTTAAAAAATTTTATTATATTACGATTAAATAAAAATCTTATAAAATGGCTACGGAACCTTAATTACAGTTTTTTATTTTGGTTTTGGTAAAACATACAACAAAACTATTATAGACTTACGTCTGAAAGCGTCATTATTATGGTACGTTTAAGTACTGATATTTTTTATAATTATAACTTATGGTTCGTCAATTAATTGTATTTGTGTATTTAACTGTTTGGAATTATTGAATTGCCTTTAACGAGGGAGGAGCATGGTACGAGTAAGTTTGTAAATGTAGAATAGGTAGGACTAACAAATTTAATTCATAAAATATACCAACATAACCTTAAGTACCTTATTTTCAAAATCATTCTACAACTATGCATGCATTCGTACATTTTATCCCAACACTGAAAGTATTATTTCCTTACAATGATGCAATCATTTATTGCCAACAACAATATTAAACTAGTGCTGTAAGTATTGTAAGTAAATAATCACTTGACGTCTGACTGAAAATATAAACATTTTCATGGTCTATGTTTCTGTAGGTCTGATTTCCAGTAATTACTATTGCTCTAGACTTGACAAATGAAACATTTGTAAATTTTCTATTTTTTAAGAAAAGAAAATAATTATTTTTTTAAAAAGTTGTAATTCGAGTATTGGGCCTGAATTTGTATAATAATATTGAAAACATAAAATTGAAATAACGTCTTGTCGTGCAAAGAAATATCGCTAAAAATAGAACACTTTATGATTCTCAAACCTTAGAAAGGTCGTCCATCGCGATTTTTTTGCAGCGATTCAATACAGACAAAAAGGACCGCGATACAGTTGCGATGCTGTCGCTGGTTGTATGCTTTCACCCACGTAATTACGATTTTGCATCGCGACCATCGCGATACGGTATCGATATAGACGCAGTGCAGCACGGGTCCTCTAGACAAGTGGCAAGCGAATTCGTCGATGGAATCGATATCGCTAGTGAGTCCGTGAGATAGAACTGATGTCTCATTTCAACTCACGGACTCGCTAGCGATGTCGATTCCATCGACGAATTTGCTTGACATTTGTCTAGAGGATCTAATACAGTAACGATGCCGCTCGCAATCGATAAATCGCAGAAGATCGATGGATTGTATCGCTACTGAATGGCAGCAAATGTCGCTGTAGGCGATCTCCTTTGAGGTTCTTTCACATGATACTGCACGCAGGGCGCGCTTCTTCAATTAATTGCATTAAGATATCTATGGGTATTTGTATATAACGCTATGTATAAAACATATGCGGTCCTGCTAACGTTGTGTGAAAAAACCTTGGCATACAGCTAAATCCACTCAAATCGTCCAAACTTTAAACTGAAGAGAAGGCTTATAGTCCTTCATATCAGTCTGAATTAAGTATTGTAAGTACAATTATACGACGGTTGCGGAATGTATTATATTAAGTTCAGATTTGAAGAATCACAAAGTGCCTGATTTTTTATAATAATTTTGAACATAAATAAGATTTTTAAGCAACTTAATAATTTGGCAAAATTTTAAGAATTTCATCTCTATGAAAATATTTATATAATTATTATTTAAATTTTGAGCTGTATTACAACCTTTATTTTTACAGAATGTTATGTATTTATTTTCTAAATTAAATATCTGATTTACAAGGTCTTACAGTAAGGTCTACAGCTGATATGATCCGTTTCTGTCGTCATCCATCATTATTACTTCATATAATATAAAGAGTATCTATCTATCTATCTATCTATAATATACAACGAATCTAATATCCACTTTCCTTGAGGTATGTTTAGAATCACTGAGCAAGTAATCACTAAGAGATATCACGCCATGATCTGGGAATTGAAATATTCGCTTGCAGCGTCTAGTCTTGTGGAGTGAGAGAGGAGAGGGTGCGTGTGTGTACGCTGTAGAAATTTAATATATTTATACTTGACTAATAACAAATACGCGTCCAAACATTCAACGGTCGTGCGAATTCGCTCGTTGCGAATTTCATTATAATTTGCAGTGTTGTTGTGTGGTTCTTTACGGTTTAACACATATATTCGTGTCGGTCAATGCTGACTCTTATGGCGCAGTGCAAAATATTAATGAGTGCGCAGATAAGGCGCTTGATACAGTATGCAATAGACGGCTGTGGAACATTTCACTAGATTGTACGTAAATCGCCGAATTTTTGTATACCAGATGCATCAACTAAGTGGCTCCCGCCCGCGGTTTGCCGCGAATCTGCCATGAGGGCATAAGATACAAACGAATTTATCGATAGAATTGCGTCGGTCAGCGTCCACATGGGAAAAAACAAGACGGCGCACGTCGCTATCAAATTCTATTTCATTATGGACTCATTAGCGATAAGAATATATATTTCTATATATAGTTCTATCAATACATTCGTTTGTACTTTGTCTAGAAGGTATGGATCTATTCTTTGGCAAAGCACGGCACCGAAATCACCCTGTGTTAAACACCTTATCACTGAAGAATACCGCACATTGAGAACTCACAATATTTATTGCCTTATAAAATTTTTGGTTTATGAACTTTTATTTATTGAGCAATTTCTTTTTATTTTATTCAACTGGAATGGAAATGCTCATATTATTAAAACATAATTATTATGTACTACTTAATATCACAAATACATGCCCAAATGTTAATATAAATATTGTTCTTAAGAATGAAATAAATAGTTCTTTAGATATGTACGTTATTATGTATCATATAAATAAGTATATTATTTACGTTATTATTAGATTTAAGGGTCAGTAAGTTGCTCGGCTGAGACTCATTGGATCTATGATATGTTATACAAGGAGGTCTGATTGTGAACTGAATTTTGAGAGTGATATATAGCGTGAGCAATTATAAAGATTATTTTATGTTGTTATGAGTATTTAAAAAATTGTGGATAGTAATGGAGTCCCCAAGTAAAATACTTTTGCCTCATAAACAAGTCTACGAGCATGTAAATATAAGAAGTGAGTTAAATTATGAGATTGGAATTATTTTTGCATTAATTTTGATGTACGAATGCTAATTAGAATGCAGAATTATAAATTATTGTTTCGAGTTTTAGTTCAATATAAGTCGCTTAGTAATAAAATTATAGGTGGTTATCGCAAATATTGATCTCATGAGTTGTTTGTTTTCTAACCTGTATGTTTTTATGCAATTTATCGTGGTTGTAGAAGCTCGTACTTGCTAATTTAAAATCGACGATAACTAAATCTGAATGCATAATTCATAGGTAAGACAAACTGTCGCCATTTTGTAACAATTGTAATAGTAGCATTTTAATAAGTGTTAATAAAGAAAGATACTGTGGATGAGCAATAGGTATTTTGTTTAATTTCTTGCCTGCCAGGCGTGGCGACTATTCAAAAAATACGGCCCCCAATCACAGTGACGGTGAATTAGCTTATGATTGTTAATTGAATGGTAGCTCTGCCTGAGTTATCGGTTTACACTGGCAAGACACCAGTGAGTGATTATAGGTGAGGATGAAAGCAGGTTACTTAGCCCATCGTGAAGAATTCAAGAATTAACCACTATGGTTTCCAGGGGGAACCGTGTGGAGTTCGACCTGATAGAGTATTGTGTTAGCAATGGGGTTATTAGACCCCATTATTATGCATAACAAACCCTTCCTTCAAAGTAATGGTGGACTAGGGGCGCTAAGAAATCTAGAGATGATAAAATGACTGCGTTGTACGATGGATAGTTTTTTTAATGGGTTAAAATGAAATCAACCCTACTTTCGCTATCAGTATACACTGGTGGAGCATCAGTAAGAGATGATAGGTGAATATGAATACAGGTTAATTGGTTATTATATTTCTTATTCTGTCGCAAGTAGATACCCATCCACCGAGTTAAATCAACTTGAGTAATAAAAATGCAAGTTGATCTATTTATATCCGAGAATTTTTTAATCTAATAAATTGCAACATTGAAAAATGGCGCGCATTATAAAAAAAATATTAAAATTTAGTCAGCGAAACGAAGCTCCGCTTGGACGGATTTCCCAATTTCTTCTAGATGAAAATTTTAGTACTTAAAGTAATTTTGATTCACCGGCCGGCAGGTAAATATTACGTTGTGTGTTGCCAACTTAATCCTTTTGTAGTTTGATTAGCCTGTCATCAAATATACACTACTCGCGAAAATTAAGGAATAGATATTAAAATTCCAAATTTTGGGTGATTTTCAACAAGAAATATCAATAAATCTGAAAATACAGGTTTTTTTTAACTGCAATATTATCTGTGTACCTACATTTACCTGTCTCTAAATGGTAAAATTCAATACTATAAATAATGAACATAAAGTTTAAACTGAAAGCTTTATTTACTGTCCAACCTTGCTAAAACAGCAGAATATTAATGTAAATTGACATTGAGAACGAAATGTAAAGTATCACACACAAGCCCAAGAGGTTCAAGTGGTACTAAAAAATCCAGTTTTTTTAATGTTTTTAATTAAATAAAAAAAAATCAAAGAATAAATAAATGAAAAAAATTAATATTTTTTTAACTGTTTTGCTAGTTTATAATGTGTATTTCAACGATAAAATTAGTCGACCTTATGAAGGGGGCTGGAGTATATTTATTTATTTAACTCTTTATTGCACCATAATATATATTAACTACATGATATATAGATATATCAACTTTATTAAAATTAATTTTTAAAATGACATTAAAAATAAAAGTGATTAAACTGGACAAAATATCAACAATTTTTTTATAAAAGTAGAATATTGTTAAGACGTAAAAAATTTCTTTTAATTAAAAAGTACTAAATTTATTTATAACTTTAAATAAAAGAAATGTTATTATTATTAATCATTATCGCTAAAAAAACATTTTGGACTTGAAAAAATGAATACAAATAAAAAAGTTGCTTGTTCGGTAATTTCTGACAGAAATCAATGTTTTTCGAGTAAAAAACCATTGTCAAACTTAAAATCGTGTTATTTCCTTTGATCGACGATATCTCTGCATCAAATCATTAAAAATTTTTTTGAAGTCCATAGATCATTTTAAAGACAAGTAAAAATTTGCAAATCTGTATACCCCTTAAGATATTTAAATATAAAACTTAAATAACTGGGTGTCGTAAGAGGCGACTAAGGGAACTTATGGTCGAGGGATGGGCAACAATGTCTTGTAACGTCAACACAGATCTAACTGTGGCTGCCAACCCGCCTGCCAAGCGTGGCAAAATCCCCCAACGGTAAACACCTAGAGAAAACGGCCCTTAGTCCTCGGCGGCTCCGTAATTCCTGACCAAAGTACCGGACACGGTAACGGCGGAGCTAAGAATCTCCGGTAGAGGTTCCGCTACCAACCAAGACGATTGGACCTGGCAAGATACAATACGCGAACTTTGAGGACTGATGCCGAAAGGGCTTAGCACCATAGACAACATACATTAGCTACGGCAGATTATATTTTACATAGAAGACCAAAGAGTGTAATCTGCCACTGTCTGGTGTTTGTGAACTATGAAAAAGCTTTTGATTCGATCGAGACATGAACGGTCTGTAGTCCCTCCATTAGTATTAAATAGACCATACGTATATTAAAGTGTGGATGTGTATTTATATTATTTATTATTATTATTATTTATATTATATTATAATATTAAATCATCTCAGTGCAGAAAGGTGTAAGACAAGGCCAGGGTAAAGATATGCTATAAATATTAATGAGGAGTACATCATTCATCTTCGTTTTGCCGATGACATAGTAGTGATGGCGGAATCTTTGAAGGATTTGAATACTATGCTTAATGACCTCAATGGTGCTTCTAAACAGGTAGGTGTTAAGATAAATATGGACAAGATTAAAATCATGTCTAACGTCCATATACCTATACTGGTTACAATTGAAAACACTACACTCGAAATTGTCGACAAGTATGTATACCTGGCAGAAGTTGTACGAACAGGTAAGTCCAATTTGGACCAAGAGGTCAACCAACAAATCCAATTCGGCCGGGCAGCCTTCGAAAAACTACGCTACATCTTCTCATTCAAAATACCTTAAAGTTTGTAGATGAAGGTTTTATAACAGTGCGCGTTATCAGTGATGATTTATGGAGCCGAAACATGGTTGTATACGATTACCCGTATTGCATACGGGCTATAAGCTTCAAATTACTCAGCGGGCTACAGAGAATGCTCAGAGTTTCTTCGCCTAATAGAATTCAAAACGAGGATATCTGCAAAAGAATCAAAGTAACCAAGCACCTCTGTCGCATGCGTGTTTCACCCTGAAGCAGTTGTGTTTGAATTGCTGTGTTTCGGTTTGAAGGATGGGATGTAGCAGTGAATTTACAAGGTACAGAGGCATAACACCTGAGTCCTCAGGAATGGCAACGAATGGGAGGTATAATAGACGAAACAGTATACTCTGTTATGTCCATGATATGACCAGTACGGTCATGTCTATAAGCGACGGTTACCCTTTGCTATTAGGCGGGTCGTCAACTTGTTTGCCATTCGAAGTAGTATAAAAAAAAGTCCGAAGGATAAGCAAGATAAAGTAGCAATGAGCTGCGCACATAATTCGAAGAACCGATAACCGATGGGAAAGAAAGATTCTTGAGAAGCGACCTCGTACTGCCAAACGCAGGGTAGGACAACTTCTTACTAGATGACGTGTGACCTTAAATGCATTGCAGGAAGTTAGTGGATGCAGGTGGCTCAGGACCGTTATTTATGGCAGACTATGGGGGAGTCTATGTCTAGCAGTAAATGGATAATGGCTGACATGATAATGATGATTTATATAATAATTGAAAGATTGTATCAAGTTGACTACTGTCCTATGACAAATTAATGACGACGTCCGGTCCTAATGCAAAACACTGAACATTTTCTTCACTTAAAAATCTATGATTTATTCAAAAATTTTCTTTAATTTTTATTCATTCAATGTTATTTTTAGGGGAGCAAATCCAAATTTTGTAAAAAAATTTAACGTTTGGGTACTAAGTTTCATTTTACTGTAATAAATTTTTGTTCTATGATAACCAGTCGCTTTTCAGCCTAATTTTTTGTAAGTTTAGAATTTAACTATATCTAATCAGCCCCTTTTTTAATTAAATAATTTTAATCATTCCTAAAATCTGATACAGAGTTGGCAACACTGATTGCACGCGTACCCGACTCGACCCTCCCACCGCTTCATTCCGCCATTTTGTTTAGTTATTGGACTGTAGCGTACTACGTTTATATTATTTTAATATTGTAATTGTAATTGAGACGTTTGAAAACAGTGTAACGTTAAAATTGTTGGAATGTAAAACAATTTAATAACATCAAAATTTCTACAACATAGGTATGTTGCGAGTCTTATTAATACGGCCAGTTTTGTTGTAAACCAACATGGTCATTTTGAAATTTAAAACGCAATATAGCACATAACTTCTCGTCTTGTTTCAGTAAACATGTCTCGATACGGTGATTGCAAAGTTTATGTAGGCGATTTGGGTAACAATGCAAGTAAACCCGAGTTGGAAGACGCTTTTTCATATTATGGTCCCTTGAGGAATGTTTGGGTAGCACGGAACCCGCCAGGATTCGCATTTGTAGAATTTGAAGATCCTCGTGACGCTGAAGATGCTGTGAGTATCAATATGATTTTTAATATCTTAAAATTCTCATGTTAATTGTCAATGTTGTGTTAAAATATGATTATTACATGTAATCAGACCAAATGCTTTTTAATATGTTTGCAGATAAGAGGTTTAGATGGACGAACAATATGTGGTCGTAGAGCTCGCGTGGAAATGTCTAATGGAAGCCGTGGCTATGGTGGCCGTGGTCCACCACCACGTTCCCGTCTGCCACCGCGCCCATATGACGATCGCTGCTATGATTGTGGTGATAGGGGCCACTATGCCAGAGATTGCACTCGCCGTCGTCGCCGCAGGTAACCAATATTTATTCCTGATAATGACTTTTGGCTGTAAATGTGTTATGGATATATTCCATGGCTTGGAATCTTTATAACACAAACATATCATGTTTATAGTATATTTTAAAATCTTTGTTTACTTCAAAACATTGTTTTTAAAATTATTAGTATTAAGAGGAAAGAAGATTAAGGTAAAGATTCCATTCCAATGTTTTGGACTCACATATACCAATGATAACTATGTTATAGGTTATCATTGGCCTGTGCGCCGAGAACGAACTCGTCAGTGTCTGCACTTCTTATTGTCTGCGCTACGTAGCTTTCACTTCGCGGCGTGAACCCCGCTAAAGTCGGCCGCATCGGTAACTTCGTTCTGCGAACTACGTAGCTACAGCCTACGTGCACACTTCACTTGTCGGGAACTACATTGAGCATTATGTTCGTTCTGCGCGTCGCAACGCACCTCTATTGTAATCACTGCGTGCACTCAGTGAGTTACACATTATTATCCTGTCTTTGTGTACAGAGAAGACCTGCTATATTTTACAGTTTTATTAGTTTTCAGTTTTATAAGTAATTTTTAGTGGTAATGATTTACAGTCTGCTCTCGTTATTCACATTAATTGGGATTGAAAATTAAGAAGGTACAACATATACTCAATATATATATTTATGAAATAATAATTGGTACTGAAATATTGCAACGTGCTGTCATTGTCAATAGTAGTACTAATTATTCATTGTAATTGACAATGGATAATATTTTTAAAATTTATGTTAAATTTTTATTTAATGTCTATATACATATATAAATAAGAAATTAATGAACTCACACTGTTTTTTGCCATTTCTGACAATTGTTAACTTCATCTGGAAGTCTTCTTCAGGAGGCATTTAGCACTTTGCACCACTGCAAAGTAAGATGTCAGAAATGGCAAAAAACTTGAGTTCATTAATTTTCTGTTTATATATGTATAAAGACATTACAATGGATAAATTTATTTATAAATATATATAGGGAGAGTTTTTGAATGTGCTGTTCAATTTGATACCAACTTTAAGAGATTGTTCATTAAATGCAATTGTGTTGTATTTGCTCTGAGAGTAATACAAGTCTGTAACTAATATGTTTGGTGTTGGAAAAGATATCTGGGTTCTTCAAGTTTATCTAATGTTTTTATGATAATGCTTTTTTGACTTTATTTTTGAGTTGAGTGAACCTCAGGTCGAAGGTATGTCTTCTGACAAACATGTCTCAAGCCTCTATTCACTCTAAGAGTCCTTATTGTTTCACATCTGTTCTATTACATTAAATATATACCAATTGGATTGTAAATGGAAATAGTTATCTGGTTTTTATATTCCACAAGATATGCCAGTAGTAAGGTAGGTAAATATAATATTTGAGTATGTTGATGATCTAGCAGAGTAATACATTGTTTTAACTTCATTATGTCTACAGTTCAACCCTGCACAATACAAATATTTGTATTTAGGTATGTCCAAGTATTATCTAGTACCCACAGCTCTACTTAATTTGGAACTAAATGTGTGTTGTATGTCTAGTAATCTTTATTTATAAATTGTTAACAATCATTTTACCAGGTGATATATACTCATATCTCTCATGGCCTTAGTTTCAGTTTTCTCTGCCTACTGCATGAGAGACCTGGTGTAATGGTAAATAGAATATAAGCATGCCAGAAAATAACACAATAATTAAAAAAAAACATGTCTATATTTTTGCTCGTGTTTCCATTTATTGGGAGACCACAGATACCACAGCGACATTCCAAACTGCAATCATTGACAACACAGAAATGTTTACATTAATTAATATTGCTTTGCTCCAGTAGAAACCTGCTCTAGGTCTAATCTGTCTTGGCACACAGGTCTAAGGAAAAATGTAGAATTTATTTCATATTTTTTCATAAAAATTTTATCAATAACTATCACCAGCCAGTCTGGTATGCAACATTTATATATATGCCATACCATATCAGTCATGACTTCCCACTGCTGAACATAGGGGGTTTTGTCAGTAATTGCCACACTTGGTAAGCGGGTGGGTAGCATTAGTTAGACTTTGGTAATGTTTAAAGAGGGACACTGCTGGATATTTCTCGACCGTTAAGTTACCTTAGTCTCCTCTAACGATATCCACGGGAAAGGAAGGGGTGGCTCACTCTATTCTGGAACCACACAGCAATATATAATAAAACATTATTTTTGGTTGTGTAAACGTCAATATAAACATTTCGTTTGCCTTGTGAGAAGTTTTGCATGCATTTGCATTTATTTTGGTTCAAAAAAGGTTATAGCTAAGTCGGCAAATATGGATGGTTACCGTAAGTTTTTTAGGATAAATAATATTAATTCTTTAGAAGATTATTGGTGAGATGAATTCGCACTTAATGTGATGTTGTTTCATTTTGAGTTTACCCCTTCCTATCAGTGAGTACTGAGAGTTGACTGTAAAGGTAGCAGTTAATGGCACTTCAAAGAAAATCATTAAAAGACTGGAAATAATGGATAATAACAATTATTAGCAGACTACGATAGCTTTTTGTTACATTTGTATCAAAATTTTCAGCAAGCTGTTTTAAGAAACGCGCGGGGAATTTATTTTAAATTAGCAATTCACGATAATATTGACGAGTGTGTTTTTCAGAAAGATCAAATTATCTATTTTATAATACCTAGATATTTTGATTCAATTATTTAGATTAAAATAGATATGTACCTATCAGATATATAGATAAATACACAACTTTTTAATGTAAGTATAGTAATAGAGTGCAGAATCTAAGTTTTCGGAGATGTGTACTGTAATTAAAATATATTTATCAATTTTTGCATTATGATATGTTCACAGCCGGTCGAGGTCTCGCCGCCGCACACGCTCCCGCTCGCCGCGGTCGGGCTCCCGTTCCCGTAGCCGTAGCCGCTCTCGTTCTCGTTCCAAGGGGCGCTCCATGTCACGATCTCGGTCTCGATCACCATCTAAAGATTCTAAAAAATCCAACTAAATGTATTAGTAGTACATTGAACAATCAAACACTCCATTATTTTTTTTAATAATTTCTAATATCCTTATTTCTAAGTTATAAGATATAACTTAACATGCGGTTATATCTTTAAATGAGATATTGTCATTCCTGTGCATTCATATTGTAAGTATAGATACAATACAACAATGGAAATTGATTTTCAATCAATAAACTGTCATTTTGATATTCATTTTTTTATTATGTTTTTTTTTTTTAATGGATCATAATGGAATGGTAACCCACGCTAACTGTATAAGCTGGTAGGTCACCAGTGAGTGATGACAGGTAAGAATAAATAGGCATGTCAGTTAGCCTATCCTGATAAATACACCTGCTATTCTATGATTTTCAGGGGGACCATGTGGAAGTCAACCTGACATGGAATATTGTTAGCAATGGGACTGGTAGGGAGGAAAGGGATTGTTAGTAATGGAGACTGAGAATCCCATTGCTAGCAATATACCCAACTAGGTCGACCTCCTCGCGGTTCACCCTGGAAACTATCTTGGTTAATTCCTGATGAATTCATCATGATGAGCTAACTGGCCTGTTTTCATTCTCATCTATCACCCTTCACTGGTGCTCCGCCAGCGAATCCCCTTAGCGCAGGCGGGGTTACCATACCATTTTCACACATCAAAAAATGTGACTGGTAATCCGCATTACTAACCTTATATTTTGTTATGTTAGTCCTATTTTGTTTATAAAAATACTGAAGGATACTCTACTCTCCTAATTTTCATTTAAATGGTCTGGCTTGAAATAAACATTCAATCGGTACCTACATAATTTTTAGAATTTGATTTGTTGATAAACCGGGCACAACGCTCATTTCCATTATTAGGAACCAGAGTGTTATACTTTGTATAAGGTCATATAAACATTGTTAAATGGACATCTCAGTTTAACTGTTTGCCTGCTGTGATATTCGGTGTCATTCATGTTTATATACGTGTTGGTTACTGTAATCAAATGTAGCTAATTTAAAAACATTCGGTATCTGATCAGCTGGTCGGTTGCTCTTTTTGAGTAAAATCCTTTGTTATAACAAAGTTTTTTGATACAGACTGACTTGTAAATAAAATTAGTAAAGACAAATTTTATTTTGGTGTGTTTTATACCGTTAAATAGTTACTTTTATATATATATATATATATATATATATATATATATATATATATATATATATATATATATATATATATATATATATATATATACAAGATAATCTAATAAATCTGAACTTGATTTTTTATTTCTTTTAGACAAAGGTTTTAGACGACACAACATTAATTAGTGTTGCAAGTATTGAATTATTGATAGTAAATAGTAAGTTGGGAAGAAATCATACACAGCCATAGATCTACTGCACCATAAATTACATTAAAATTTAACTTGTCGCAGAATACATTCTCTGTAATACAGTACGTAATAAAATATTTAAAGGAAATAATATTTAAAAATTAGTCTTCTGTAAGACTCCATTCATTAGGTTATGGGTCCAAGAGCAGAGATGGAGAATTCGAAAATTCAAGCTGGTTTCGAACTACTAAATAAAACAATTTATATATATGATAAATATAGGTAGGTGCCAAACTTATAAAAGCAGGGCTTGTTCACTAGTGTATCTTTAAGTAATATTGATACAGAAAAGTATTTATTGGTTAAAATTGAATTACTGCTTTTGATTTCACCATCCAAGACTCTAAGCATTGACTTAAATTAAAGCCATTCAAAATAGCAAGATATTTGGAAAATCCTTAAAAATGCTTGTGAAAATAGGTGGCTTACTTGTAATCTGCAAGAAAAAGAAAAAGTTGTTATATAAGAAAATAATGAATCTGTCAGAGATCACATAAATGAATTTATTCCTTATAGATAGTTTTTTCCAATTTTTACTAGTGTCAATAAAATAACACAGTTTTAAACATTTAGTAATGCTAATAGATCATCTACGTTAAATAAAGATTGAGAAACCTGGCATTATTAGAGATAAATAGGTATTCACGATCGGAATACACCATTTAGTTCAGGTTTTAGTATTACATATAGATAAGTAAAAAAAATGGATTAACAATTTTATTAAATATTCATATCTATGGTCTTGGTTCTTAATTTTTGTTCGGATCCCAAAAGATGGCAACATTGGAAAAAAAAAACAAAAAAGCAATGTAGCGGACGGACGTCGTTTTCGACTTTTCTATTCCGTCATGCAATAATTTTTGTCATTCATGAGTTCGTCGATAAAAAATATTTTATATGGTGTCACCTTCGTGAACATTAGTTGAAATAATAGATAATAATGTGTTAGTATTTTATTTCGCGTAGTTCATCTTCATAGTTCTATAAGATAGGTGTGTGACAAGTTCGGTAATGGTGGCCATGTCATGAAAATCCCAACAGCCATGGATGATAGCTCCGTGTCTCATCACAACGGAGGGCAAGTGGGATCTCAAATTGGAGTGAATGTAAATAACAAACAGAATGACGAACCTAGCCAAAGTGTCCAGTATTCGATACCGGGCATCTTGCATTTTATTCAACACGAATGGGCGAGATTCGAGCTCGAGAGATCACAATGGGAGGTGGACAGAGCTGAGTTTGAGGTGATATTTTTGTGTCTTTTTTCTTATAAAATTTATCTTTTTAGTATTTAAGATTCGCATGGGTATTGACTACTATCCTCTCTACTCTAATACGCCTTTAAATTTGAAATTGCACATTTAAACTTACATACATTTTTATACTTTCCATAATATTGACATTTTGCATAGCATATAGACTTTTAATTGGGTTATAGGAGAATTATAAAAAATATGCCTATTGTTTTTAGATATTTTTAGATTAAAGTAACACACATTATTGACATTGATTTTTTTTGTTGTCATATAAAACAATGATGATTGATCATTTTTCTATTTATAATAGCAGATTATATTTGTAACTTGTAACTTTGTTATATTAAAATGAAATAAAATATATGTTGATCTAGAACATTATTATCTGTGTACCAAGTTACTGTAAAATCTGTTTAACATAATCAAGTAACATCTAAACATCTTTAAGTACTTTCACATTTATAACAGGTAATTAATAGGATATAACAATAAATACAGATTAAGCAGTTATAATTTAAAATGTAAACATAAGAGAAAATGTGATTCTTTATGTATTTATATATATTTGTTATTAATATTTATTTATGCTATATTGTCCCATTTTTAGTGCTGCAACTTATTTCAATATATAAAAATCATATTAACTTATTTTAATAAAATTTTGTAAATGCATGTTGTGCACTCTAATTTGAGGGTTTCAATTTCAAAGTCTTTATTAATTGACTTTAATATTATTTCTTTTTAATAATGAATGGTAATCCTGACTACGCTAAAGGGACCTCCTCTAATATTTTGGTATTCACCAAAGCTCTTATTAGAAAGTTAGAAGTATGCTAGAGAGTTATGAAGAGGAGTTTATTTGGGGAAAGAAGATCAAATAAAAAAGAAATGACACCAAGAGATCTACAAAAATGATCTATAATAATTAATCTATAATAATCTATAATGATACATCTACAATAATCATCAATCAATGATCAATCAGTGCAAAAACTTTTATTTCTTTTTTACTAAATTCCCTTGACTCGGTACCAATATTCCTTTCTTTTCTTCAATTCTTTCTTCTAAATATGGTGGATACCACTAATAAATGCATCCTCAAGGGGGGTTGATGTTTGGCAGGTTACCAGTTGTAATATAAAATTTTGCAGTTAAAAAGCCAAAACTTTGAGTACCATTTATAAAAACATATTACACCAATCCCAAATAATTGGAATAAGGGCAGGAAGAAGAAAGTCCTTGATACTTGAAAAGGAATAAAGGGTGATAGACTAGTAGATGTGTGAATGAATTAAAAAAAGTTGCTGGAAATTCATGGAGCAGAATTGCTAGATATAGAGAAGTTTAGAGGTTGGAGGAAGTTTTTGCTAACAGATATCAATGAGATAATGCAAAATTTATAGTTGATAATATTTTCCCATTACTTTCTATATATGGATTTTAGAAGTAGGAAAACCAGTGAAGTAGACCACTTTTAGACGGCATATCAAGATAAAACATACATCCATTTTTAAGTTCGATCATCAGAAACACAACTGTGAAAACTGCATCCAATTTGGTAAAGTAGTTTCTGCATGACACCAAAACAAACAGACAGAGAAAAATTCTAATAATTATCTTTTTGACATCTGTTGGTCTTATTAACACCCTCATATAAATTTTCCTTGAATAATTTCTATGTAGCCATTGTGTAGTTACAATATTATTATATAAGATCAGTATAATCAGTATTTTATAAATATCAGTATCTGAATAAAGGTTATTTCTATTCTTGCTATATTAACCCATAAAGAACTTCAGAAATAGGGTAGTCTTATTCCTGATAAAAAACCCTACAGGTGGCAGTTGGAGGCAAAACAAAGTTTGCTGAGTTAGTTCTTATATATATAAAGTATTTCAACAATATTTAGTCATTTACAAAAGTGTATATTTGGAATGTCAGTTAAGTGTATTTATGTACTTACAGTCTTAGTTTTGAGATCAGGATGAAATAATATTTCTTTGATATAGAAGAAAAAGATATATATAAATTCGATATCTATCAAAATAAGCCTTTTATCCCAGTGCATATACACTTGAACATGACTAGGTAATTATTTTATAATATTTTTATCATCATGACATCTATATTTACATATTATTATATTGTACTGTTTTTTATTAACTAGATCTGCCTATGACTTAATGTGTAAAAAGGTGCTAAGAAGTATCCCATGCCTTCATGTTAAATATGCCAACTTTTATATTGAACTATAAGTGTGTGAGCTATAAGTAAAATTGAGAAATAAATAAGTGTGTTTGATTGTAATAATTGTCAAATTGAAAAATTTTATTAATCAATTTTTTCATTTCGGCTGTTGTTGGACATGAGACTTTTTTATGGTCAGGTTAATTATTCATTTGTTTATAATTTCATTATGTTATATTGAAATAAAGTATAAAAGATAAACAAACAAACTTCCTCTCATAATTTTTAAATATTAATAAGTATAACTATAAATAGCTATGTAATTCACTTCTTATCCTTTTAGCTAACTATTAATACCAGTATAAAATATAGAGTCGTAATGACATTTAGGTCTGTGAATGAAGAGAATTTTCCCAATATATCTTACTGAAACAACTTGATATAAAGGTATAACAATTTAAGATGCTGTTTGTTGAAGATTGCATGTGTATTAGTTAGGATTTGTCAGATTGTTTAACATTATTATTATGCAAGATCTCTATGTAAGAAATGGTGTGTGAAGCCTGTTGAATGTTGTTGTTCATAAAAAACTGGCATTGGCTCTTTATTAGAGATGCATATGTATGCTAAGACATGTCTGAGAAGCTTTATTCACATACTTTCTATTTTTATTGTACATTTAACAGCTGAATTTTTCATTTACAAGTATTGCATAAAATTATTGCATTAACCCACAGCATTAACTGTATATCATAGTGGATGAGTAGGTTTGTAGGTAAATAAGATTAGGCAGTTTACTTCACATTTTAGCTGACTTTCACAAAATGCTTACAACAAATGCATATTGAACAGTCAAGAAGTAAATAAACAAAGTGTGCTAAATTTTTATATAATTTTTATAACATTATACCATTTGTATGACTTAACATAAATAGTGTAACTTTATAAAATCAGTTGTAATAAGTGATTTATAAGTTTGTATTAGTTTAATATTGTTATAATTTTAAGGTTTTCCTACTTACCTACCTAATGTCTATGTTGAGGTCATGAGTATTTAACAAAAATCTTATATAATAAAACATGTTTTTATGATACAGGCACGGATCGCCTTCCTCCAGGGTGAGAGGAAGGGTCAAGAGAATCTAAAGAATGACCTCGTGAGGCGGATCAAGATGCTGGAATATGCTTTAAAACAGGAAAGAGCTAAGCTCCACAAGCTCAAGTATGGAGTAGAGCTCCAACAAGGTGACATGCGTCCACCACCTGAGGAGCTTCCACCAGAACCTGAGCCAGCAGAGAGGGCACAGTGGAAGCAGGGGCAACAACTAATTAAACAGTACTTGCAGGTAAATATGATAAAAAAAATTAAAATTAGTTGTTTCACTCTTATAATTTTTTTCTGTGAAGTAAATTAATTTGAGTTATTTTATAAATGACATTGAAGAAGTGTGTTTTGTCTTGGATATTTTCTCTGCCTATCTCAAAGAAAAAAAAGCTTTATAATGATAATATTAAAGAATTTTAAAGACCTTGCCTTATTAACCTTTGATATTGGTATTAAATAATAAAAAAAGCAATATATTGTTACAGGAAATAGGTTATACAGATACAATCCTGGATGTGCGCTCAAACAGAGTGCGAACTTTGTTGGGACTGAACAATGAAGAGCAGGGAGAGGATCCTAATTACAGAAACTATGATAAACAACAGCGTGATAGATATGAAATTTGCAGTAGTCATGCCATGAATTCTATGGGTCGAAAATATGATTATGGTATGGTTTGCCCTAATTTTAATTTTTATATTTAAATAATATGAAATAGACACTGTCCTCATCTGTCTGTTTGTCCCATTACTTTTTCTAAACCTTGCGATGGATTTTATTATGGTTGTCCTTTAGATATTTTCTTTTAGAAGGTTTGTAGGTATAATTTGAATATTTTAAAGTTACACAAGTTATGTTTATAAATAATATTTATATGTTACTAAATGATTTAGTGGTTCTTACTTCATAGTATTTCTTGTATAAATTTTTACTTGCATAATCTGTTTGTATTCTTATGGTATATCATATCATGATAGTATAACGGTATTGTAATGAATTGTCCATTATTTAAGTTATTTTCAAAACTCTTTTGAGTATATGATGCAAGTTTATTATAATGTTTTTATTAATTAATATATCATTTAAAATGTCAATCAATATATTATCAAAACATATCTTTTAATATGGTATATTTTGCAGGTGGTAAAGAGCCACGCAAAAGTGGCGTGTCCACTGGTGGAGGATACAATGAAGAGGGACTCTCCGTGCAAGAAACTGCTGCTGTTTTTGCTAACTTTGAATTTCTAGCTAATCAGGAAATGGACATGGATGAGATTGACGATCTGGATGCGAAGCAACCACATCATGCAGCTAGCAAACAAGGTATTGATAATGATTATATATTTTGATACTTTTTGTACTTCTAATTTATAGCTTTGTAAATGACAAAACTGAAGAAGGGCTAAGTTGAAAATAGTGCACCAGTTTCACCTGAGAACTTTGTACAAAAGTCGTTTGCTCTGTCCTATTCGTGTTTCAATCGTAAAGCAGTTGTGTTTGCATGACTGTGTTTCGGTTTGAAGGGTGGGATGTGGCGTGAATTTACAGGGTACAGATGAATAACACCTGAGTCCTCAGGAATAGCAATGCATGGGCGTTATCATGGGTGAAACAGTATACTTTGTTATGTCCATGATATTGCTTATGTCTATAGGCGACGGTTACCACTTTCCATCAGGTGGGCCGTTAGCTTGTTTGTCATTCTAAGTTATATAAGAAAAATAGTTGTAACTGACAAGGCTGTATGAAATGGGTTTGAATACCTATTAAAAAAAATGAATGAGGTGTTTGATTTGGAGCATTTAATATTCTATTGTTTTATCTAAGAATATAAAATTGTCATCATAATAATTAGCATTGATAAAGGAACTATTTCGTTTTTTATTGAAACCAAACTTGTTCATTTTATAATTAATGACAAAATAATGAAGGTAAAAGGAGAATCACAAAGCTTCTAAATAATAATTTCGCTTGAATTTTGTGAATAAAAATGATTTATCAGTTACAATTTTTTTGTGTTTAGGCGAAGAGGTAGATCATGAAGCTGAAGAAGTCCTGAATGAACTAAACTCACTGACAGAAAGTGAAGCTGATGGTGGCGGACAAGGTGATGAATATCCAGTTGGTGAGTTATAATTACTCACTGCAAGTGTAGGTTTTTCTAAAAACGTAATTTAAGATCTTTTTTTTAGCTTATGGCCCATAAATATCTTTGGCGTTTTAGTTTTGTATCAAGTTTTATAATATTCAAATTAGAACTGTGGATAAAAGTGGTGAGTAGCCATTGCCACCTTTACAATTGTATGTTTTGTAATTAACGATAAATTTGTAAATGTAAACATTTTTGTGATTTATCTTTATCAATTAATCAGTAATTATCTTTGATAATTACAAAATTATATTTGTAAGGTACTTGAGTAAAGTTTACTGTTATAATCGCAGTATTTTTAATGCCCTGATAAATCATAAAATGAATATGATAATGCCTTTGGACGATTGTATATACCATATTCTAAGATAAACAAATTGAAAATGTAACCTAATAATAATATTGAAATTAATAAAATAGGCTTCATTTTTATAAGACACCAAAAAATCGTCCATGTGTATAATTTGATGATCTTTCAAGTGGATCTTTTATATAGAGTGTAGTATATTATGGTATGTGGAAATTATGTCTATGATCATTTTAATTATAGGGTTGTTGATCATCATTTTGTCCCCTTTCAGGAAGAGAGAACTTTTTCGGAAGTCCTAAATAAGATTTATATCTGTTTAATACATTGTATTGGTCCATATTAGAACAACTATTGTTACGATATTCACTGGTAACAACAAGTAAAACATTTTTTTTAAGGAAGTATCCAACAGATTATATGTATAGAGAGATTATTGAATGAGAATGTTGTAATTGAAACTATTTAGTCTGAATGACAATAATCAGCTCCTAATCTATTATTAGCGATTGGGTTTATTAAATCCATTTTTAAATTTAAGTCTGACATTGTGTTATATGTATTTAAAAGTGGTAATTCAAGTGTAAAGTCAATGTATTTTTGTCTAAAGTTAATTTACCATATATACTTTGATTTGATTAATAGGATGGTTTTCCAATTTATTTTTTCACAAGTATTAGTCAGTAATTTGTATGATGACATACGATTCATTTGTATATTGTGGACATTGCCCTACATGATGTTTGTGAGCGAGTTCAAGATGGTGTCGTATTATAGGTAAATTTGCAGGCGGTCCTGGTGTGGCGGCGGCGGGCGCCGGCGTGGTGGGTGCGGGCGTGGTAGGCGCGGGGGGCGCGGGCGGCGCGGGCGGCGAGGCGGATGAGGAGCCGCTGGCCCTGGGCGAGCTGGCGCAGCTCACCGTCAGCAACGAGCCGGAAGCGTACGATGTCGCCAGCGCCAACAAGGAGTCCTTCCGTAAAACGTGGAACTCCAAATACACGTTGCGCTCGCACTTCGACGGGGTTAGTATTGTTACCTACAGATATGTAATTATTATATATTTATTGGAGATAGAAACTTGTATTTTTTAGTTTGAATTATTACCTAGTTGTATATTCATATTCATAAAATTGGATAAATTTTTAGTCATATTATTATACGGTGTTAATTGCGGAATAAAGTTGAAATTTAATTATTGGTATTCTTTTAAGAAAGTCCTTGTCAGGGTAAATAATTTTTTTTTATCGTTTTATGACACAAACACGTGTTTCTTTAAGAAAACACTAAGAAATGTTTGTCTACCAACGTTACATTTTCAGCTGTCAAATTAACATGTGATAACATAGAAATTGTATATGATCATAATAGTATAGCATTTTTAATTTTAAATTATTACTGATTACTTAATACAATATCATATAAAAAAGTATCTTAGATGGCAGAAGTGAAAGAGATACGGTACGGTTTTGGGCCGTGTTACAGGTACGCGCGATCGCGTTCCACCCGACGGAGGCGGCGCTGGTGACTGCGTCGGAGGACCACACGCTGAAGCTGTGGAACCTGCAGCGCACCGTACCTGCCAAGAAGTCGGCCGGCCTCGACGTGGAGCCGCTGTACACGTTCCGCGCGCACACCGCGCCCGTACTGTGCCTGGCCATGGGCGCGCCGCGTTCCGAGGAGTGCTTCTCGGGCGGACTCGACGGCACCATCCGCGTCTGGAACCTGCCGCCACCCACCGCCGATCCCTACGACCCGTACGATCCCGCCGTGCAGGTGCGTTCCCGTTTATTCGGTCAATTTATAATGTTTCGTGTTTGACAAAAAGCAACAAGAAGCTCCTGATGTGATTGCTTGAAACAGTATTGGCAATGTGTCCAATGCTATTCTATTTGAATGCTACAATATGATTTCTTTTATAGGGTTTTTACAACTTATCATACTGCAGATATGTTTATGTAATGCTTATTAGTTATAAACTGCCCAAAAATAGACCAACTTTTTTATTATTTGGTGTGTGAATAGGTACCAAAACATATAGTTGGTACTCAGTAAGTGGAAGAAATGTGTAATGTAGGGTTAAGTAGAAAAAGAAAAACTATACAAAATTCTTACTTTTATATTTGAGAGAATAGTGTAATATTGTTTGTATCATCGTTCATTTTGAACAATATTTGAGAATAAAATAATTGTTGAAATCATTGATGTTTTGACTAATATATATTATAACGAAATTTGATCAGCGTCTTCGTTTGCGTGTCTGGGGTATGTTTATTGAGTAGGATAAAAAGTAGCCTATATTTTAATTCATCCCATACAGTATATCAAATTTTATAGTAATTGGTTAAGCAGTTGAGGTGCTATAAGTTAACAAACAAACTCATTACATTAATAAGTAAATAAAACATACTGCATGACAAAAATAGTTCCCAATTTATTTCAAATAATCCATCCGTTCTATGGAATTTTTAATTGAATTACATGCAACATCGATAAATTTATTTAAAAAAAATATGTACTACTCAGTGTCGGTCGACTATCTTGGTCCGTATTTTTGACATTTAATGCGATAAAGCGTACGATTTGGTGTCGCAGGGGCCGGTGCTGCGCGAGCACACGGACGCGGTGTGGTCGCTGTCGGCGGCGCACGGGCGGCTGCTGTCGTCGTCGGCCGACGGCACGGCGCGCCTGTGGGCGCCGCGTGCTGCGCGCCCGCTGCTCGCCACGCTGCGCGACGACGCGCCCGCGCACGCCGCGCACGCCGCCCACGCCGCGCACGCCGCGCCCGCCGCCGCAGACTTCGCGGACGCCGGTGCGCGCGCCGCCGTCGTCTACCGCGACGGCACGCTGCTGCTCTACGACCTCGAGACCACGCAGGTGAGCGCCTCGTGCTTATCCAATTTATAAGAAGTGTGTCAACGTCGGAGTTGTCTGTCGTTTGAGTTACTCAGTTTATGATTGATTATTTAGGCGTGAACTGAAACGTTGATTTTGTAATAATATTTTTATTAAGCTGTCTCTGGAAATTTAGATTTTAATGGCGAATATAATCTATTTGAAAAATTACAATATGCAGTAGGTTAAAAATGTCTAATGGTAGCTATATGCAACATATTCTATGTGTTAACATCCAATACTATATCTTAACATAAAATATTTTTTATTCTAAAACCATAAAGTAACATGTAAATTTTGTATATGGAAACATTGATTAATGTAACATTGTAACGTTTCGTGCTTCCTCCATCAACTTTCATACGAGTCACTGTGAATTTCTCATTCTTGTAAAATAAATAAATTAATTAAAATAATTTCAGCGCATTTTGATTTCAATACTATGATTGATAGTTTAGTTTGTTACCAGAGTATTTTTTAAACAATTAATCAGGAATATTGAAAACTGTTTTATTATTTTTGAGAATTGATTGATAATTCCACATTGTTACATTTTGGTGTGCTTTGGTTTAAACGTTATTAATAGGATAGTCTACGTGACCATCATACTAAGTTAAATAAATTCTTGCCATATTAGTGCTTATAGGGTACTGTACCACAATAGAAGATGAAATGAAGAGAATGAAATTAAATAATTTGACAAATCATGCATCACAATGCATTCTGTGGTGCTGTTAATGTCTATAAGAGATGGTTACCATTTTCCATTTGTTAGACTGTCAGTTGTTTACCATTCTAAGTATAAAAGTAACTATAAGTGAACAAAAAATGGTATATTGCAGGTGGTGATGCGCGTGTCGTGCGACAGTCCGATGACGCGTGTGCGGTCGCACCCGACGCTACCGCTGCTGGTGACGGCGCACGAGGACCGGCACATTCGGTTCTGGGACGGTGTGTCGGGCCGCTGCGCACACGCTATGGTAGCACACTTGGACGCCGTCACGGGGCTTGCGTTAGACCCCAACGGCCTGTTCCTACTATCTGGCTCGCATGATTGCTCTGTTCGCCTTTGGAACCTCGACACCAAGACCTGCGTGCAAGAGATCACTGCACACCGCAAGAAGTTCGACGAGAGCATCCTCGATGTCGCCTTCCATCCGCTTCGGCCCTACATCGCCAGCGCCGGCGCAGACGGCCTCGCGAAGGTCTTCGTCTGAGCTCTCCGACTATATATAGTATATATATATAATAATAAATACATGTAATTTTACTTTCGATACGAACTCTATGTTACGCAGTAGCGAGTCGCGTCATCGCTCGTAGACGGGCGACCGGTACTCTCGGATTATGTGTCTAGTCCCTTCGGTACGGTTACGAGTAGCGACGTAGCGACGTATCCGCGATTCGACGACTGCCGTGTGTACGGACGGAGCCGCCGGTTCGTTTTATCGTATTTAAATATTGTAACGTAATGGACGCGCTCGACGCTCGTTATAAGCGCGTAGTGAACACTCATCTATGTATAGACATTTGAAATCTATTATAATATATTTTTAGACTTTCAGTATGTGACTTTAGGTTTTTATCACGACTTTTTCACCGATTTTACGATACGCAGTGAGAATATTGTTCGTTTTTATGCATCTGTAAGCCATGCCTTGTAATAAATATCATGTGGATTCCGACAATGTTTCCGTGATACGTTTTTATGTTTTACGTGTCTGTACAGTTAGATGTTACGCAGTATTTGCTAATCTCACAGAGATCGAATAGTGTTTCTTTTTAGCTAGTATGATTTATTTAAATCGATTGGATTTCTATAGCCATATTATACTTTGTTTTGTGACATGTACGAATATGCTCTCGTTAATAATTTATGCAGATGAACAGATGATGAGCGATCGAACAAAATATATGATTGAGTAGAAGTACTATATCGAAAATAACATAAGTAATGTTTGTTCATATGAGTACTGCGATGTAGAATATATATTATAAAACATTACATATTCCTTTATTTTCTTCGATTTCTTGTACACATACATCCAAAATTGATAGTAAAAAGCAACATAACCGAGATGAATGTTGTTTTTTTAATTCTTCATTTCTTATTCCCCATAGATGTAAGTCACTGGTATATTCGATATTTTATTAATCTACAAAATGGATAGCTTGGATAAGAAGTATTTGAACAAAAATTGCATAATATAAACAATTTTCATTTTTATCTATGTTATCGAAGATTATATAAACGATCCATTATGATTCTGGGCTACCGTGTAGTATTACCATTACTGTAGTGGTAGTGCTTTGATACATTTCAATTTAGACTTTGCGTTATGCATATAAATACTATTCATTTTTAGAGAATTTGGATCGATGTGTCATTTATGCAAGACAATTTTCAACAAGTTTGTCCCTACATCGATATGAACCTTACGTAATTTGGATACAGTACTTTATGGTGTACTGTGGTGATAAAGTTTCCTAAACTAGGCTCTGGCTCGCGTTGTAATGTTACAGTTGGTTACTTATGTAACGACGCTATTTGATGAAATATTTTTATAAGCTTGATACAGTCTTTCAATGTCTATTCTGTATTTTATATTCATTTACAAGTTGACCTAAACCGAAAAATCTAATACAATGGAGGTGAATACGAAGCCTCATTATAAGTTTTTTTTAAACAATATTTAATATATGCGCCGTATATAACATTTTATATAATATTTTAAAATTATCAAATCGATTGTTTCTCACATAAAAATATTTTATTGAATGGAAAATTTAGTATGAATCGAGCTTAGTTTTGAAATAATCTTAATACTTGCATTATGATTTAGCGCAATTATTGTATTCATCATAAAAACTACCTCTCATAATGAATGCCAAGGCTAAAGCCCGGTTTATATTTTTAAAACTTTCGCTTCAAGTCCTTTAGTAGAGTACATATACATGTGTCTTTATATGAATGCAATCTTACTAAACTAAGTAGTAGATATTAAGTCAAAGCTACTGTTTACACACGTCTACTAAAGCACTTGTTTGCTAGTGTTTTTCTAATGTAAACCAGGCACTTGGAACTAATAACATAATCAGTTTATTTCACTTTTTGCCGATGTTTGCTTCTAGTACTAGTTAGAAATGAAGGAGTTAACGTGAAGGTGACAAAATTAGTCTTGTTTGTTGACTAAAGAGAGTACTAACTAGGCGCTAGAGTTGCTATGGTACACGTGAATTCATTAAAAATAACGCTGACGCTAAGTAACGCTCTAAAGACTGACATACGCGTGTTGTTATTTGGAAATATAACAACCAATGCGTTTTATAATCCACCTGCCTCAAACGTACAATAAATATAAATTAGCGAAGAGTCTGATTATGTTTGTTGGCAACTCTGAATTGAGCTGATCAAGTGTAATTAGTTCCTTAGCCAGACAATCTCTATAAAAACAAAATTTGTAAAGATTTGATTATGGTTAAATGAATAGAACCATGCAGTAAATTAGTCAATAAACATTACAAAATATTTCTACCGGTTTTTATCAATCAAAATTTGGCACCTTCAATTTGTTCCCTCAACAAGGTATTATGCATAGTAGCCACTTACATAAAATATATGCTTTATGGATACTCAGCAGTTTCTGAATACTCATAAATAATAAGATAAAAACTTTAGAAATGCAGTTAGCATCTAAAATCGATGACTACGCCTAGATTTCCAAAATTGTTATTTACCACTATGTCCTCTATAGTATACCTCGGGTACTAATTTGATTATGGATTTTTTATTGGATTACAAATATGTATGATAATTAATGTGGTTGTTCAGTGCCCCAGTTTATACTCAAGCAAATCAAACTCAAATCTTATGAATTGAGTTTTTGTTTTGAATATAAAGGTACAGTGCAAATAGTCATTGTAGTGAAAGTGCCCAGTATGGATGTTCAGTGAGTTAGAATAACGACAAGACAAACATATATAAATTGAGTTTGAAAATAAGAGGTATCTACTAGGAACTTGCTGGTATAAAAGTATAAGCTATAATATTTTGCCTGAATTATTTGACTGAAGTTACATAATATTTTTTTGTGTAAATGTTTTACTTGGATTATACTTGGTCTTCCACTCCTGCGCTGGAAATATGTACGGCGTTCATGGGTATTTGTGTATGTATACAAAAGGAATTACACAAATGCCGTACAGTAATAAATGACCTATTTTGCTTCTTCAATTATCGGCGGATTAAAAATTTTCACTGACTTCCGGCACCACCACTTTAGCATGGCACTAGGTTTTTCGACATTTATTTTAAATCATTTATAAATTAATAAGAAATCCGTACATTAATAATTAGTCGTAATTCCTCACTTGTACCTGGGAAATTCCATTTACACACGTACTCACCTGTACCGCTCAGAAATGACGGCATAGTGCTCAGAGTTATTTTCTGATATAGTAACAACCTTATAAGCGTTATTCATGTTGGGTCATTTCACAGCTTTTTTTTCCATGGGCTTATTGTCTATCAACATTTATGCTTTTCTACTTAAATACAATTTGATGAAGAATTGTGTGGTATTTCGGTTCTTAGTAGAGAAAACAGTATATGTATAGTCTACAAAGAGATTCCTTGTTCTACATATTAGCATTTGCTTCGCCATATACATATATAGTATTTTGAGTAACTTTTATGTATAGAGGTATGTGTACCTTACTAATGTTTAGAGGATAATATTTGCCGATAATATAATAATCATAGTGGAATCCCTGAAGGGCTTGAATGCTATGCCCGATTACCTAAATAGTGATATGTGCAGGACTAAAAACATATCTGACATCCATGTTACACTTATACCGGCTATGATTGAGAATACTACGCTCGAAGTTGTCGACGAGTATGTATACTTGGACCAGCTTGTCTGAATAGGTAAGATCAACTTTGAGCGAGAGGTCAACCGCCATCGCAGGGATAAAATAATGTAATTTTCACTGAAAATAAAGAGTATATTATCGGCACATACATACATACATACACACACACATATACACACATGCACGCACGCACGCATGTACGCACGCGCGCATGCACGCACCCACGTATATACATACGTATATTAGTTTTTATTCAGTGATTTAATCTAAATTTATTCATTTTACTTTTGTAAGAATATCCCACCACTTCAATTTTCCAACCTCGGGTCATCAGATGTTTTAAAACCTACCACGCATATATTTATTACAGTAGTAAGTTAATATTCTCCCTTCATATGGGGATAGATTCGTGTCAAATCATAGATTTAGTATAACACACTATACTATATAATCTAAGTTTCAAATAGTAGGAGATTCTACATTATTATGATTATGGAGAGATTTACAGACATAATAATGATGTCTGTGAGAGAGAGAGTGGAGAGATTATTGGGTTATATATTATGGTGTAGTTATTTTTCTAAGTATATTTATAAATAGTTTATTTTGGTTTCTGGCGAAATTTTTGGCTTAGTCATTTTTAGTTGTTTTTATCTAGACAATTAATTAATTTATACATAGATAGAAAGGTAATTTATTTGCATTACTTACAGCACACAAATAACAACAAACATATAAAGTAAAAAGAGATAAAAAAGCAAAATATATAAAACAAGTAACAGTTTTCATCTTTCATTCGTGTGCCATAGATCTTTTCGATTGTAAGTAAATACGTTATACTAAGTCTATGCTCCATCTAGTTGTGAATCGTCTATAACACTAAGTTGGTATGTATATGATTGTTATCGGAGAATTTTAATTCTGTATTAGGTATTGTTTTTTTTTTTAATAACGGAATTTAATTTACGGTAATTTATTTTACTAATTCCATCCTTCCTAATAGTTCCATTAAAATGTCTCTTTTTAATGGAACTGAATAGAAAATTCCAAACAAAAGCAGTCATTGAAATGATAAGTGATTATAATATTCTTTCATTTTTTTTACTGACTACAGTCTTTACAAATAAAAACACTTGTACTCTTCCATGGCCTTCATAGCTTTTAGTAGCGTTAGTACCAAAGAACTTCAATATATTTAACTGTTAAAATATGAGGTGTGAGCATAGTTTACACTGGCACTCTTGTAAAGAAGTGCTCACTTTGTAGCACAACGATTGTTGGGAGTGATAGCCCATCTCCCTGCATTCGTCTGTCCACTGGTAGCCGCACTGAAATATTTGAGACAGTTAAAATAGAACTGTTTTGTATATCACTGAACAGACATCGGACTCTGCGCTCTTGTGTAAAGAACTTGAGTGCGGTACGAACTATGATTAATTTATATAGATACAGGCTCTTTACGCACAAACTGCTACGGTGGTATTCACTGTCGTGACAGTGATTTTATAGTGCAGCTACTCTGTATAAAGACAGTCTAGATCTTTTTTTCAATGAAGTCAATATTGCCAACATTCCCGGGTCGCAAGTTTTGTGACGTGCACTTTACTTAAAAAAAGCCATTTAGGAGGTTAATATAAGAAGCTACACTAGCTACTTTCGTGTAATTCAAAGATTCAATATCTACCACATTTAATTAAATACAAAGTATATAAAACATAAAAGGTGAATTTACCGCTATAGCCATGTCCCTGCAGTGCTGACGCCTAGCACTAGGTGTGACAAGCTTTGCCAACAGCGCCCACGCTCGGCCAGCCCGTCTGTCCAATTTGAGGGCTTGCACGGCACACGCTGCTGCGCATGTCTTGGCTGACTTTTGTCCATCCGTTGTATCAGCATCACCACCCTCTCCCGTTGTTGCTCGCTATTATTATATAAGAAATTTTAGTATATATTAGAAGGGTAAGAAGAAGGAGCGATAGGTACCTGATAGGTAGATAGGTGTAAGTGGGGGGGGGGGGAGGAATTGTTGGTAATGCGGCGGACTACCAGTCCCATTGCTAGCAATATATCCTGCCAGGTCGACCTCCACATGGCCCCTCCTGGAAACCATCATGTATAATTCCAGATATATTCGTTACGATGGGCTAAATGACCTGCCTTTTCATTCTTACCAATCATTCCTCGCTGGTGCCACGCCAGTGTATATCGTTAGCATAAGAGGGGTTATCATTCCATCATTATTCATAAAAAAACCGTGTAAGTAAAGTAGATGATTAAAATATGTAGGTAGATATATGCGTGTAGAATTCGAGGCAGCCCACCAGCCAGATGTTCGGACAATATTGCCGAAGTAGTTATCACGAGATACATGATATTGGCATACGATCGTACGGCATGGCGTAACGGAGCGACTTACTTTTAATGGGTGATAATTAAATGATAACCCCGCCGTTTACGCTATCGGTACACGCTGGCGGGGCACCAGTAAGGAAGGATAGATGAGGATGAAAGCAGGTCAGTTAACCTATCGTGATGAATTTCATTAGAATTAACCACGATGGTTTCCAGGGGAACTATGCGGAGGTCGACCTGATTATGGTGTACTAATAGTAATGGGGTAATTAAATCCCCATTACTAGGAATCCCCTATTTAGTTTTGAACAATATTTACCTTCATCCAGTCGTCGGCGAGAGCCATCCAAGCGTATGCGTTAGGTTCCCGACGAATAAGATCCACTAGGACAGATCGAGCTCGCTGTGGGTCACAGTTGGGTATGGCTAGCAGGATACTATTTATGAAACAATAGATAAATAATAGGTAGGTATACGAGTTTAAAGAAAATTGGCTGTGCGTATTTAAAAAAAAAAAAATATTATTACCGGTACCGGTGTTTACATACATGGTATTATATTGTAGTATATCATAAAAAATCTGTTAAAGCTTTAAATTAATAGTAGTTGTAGTACCTGTAAGCACTAACACAGGTGCCTGCTTTTTCAAAACATGCATTGGCGCCATCGTAATCTTTATTTTTGTGTAGACATTCTGCTTCTAAACTTCTCATATAACTAATCTGTTAAAATAAATGTATTGTTATTCCTATTTAAACACAAAGAAATGAATTATGTTAGTTTACTTATAATCTATAAATGTGATATTAAGTCACTTATGAAATAATAAAAAAACGGGGCTTTTTTTTGCGAAGCCTTTGTAAAAAAAAGTTTTACTTGTAATGTTATGAAACTGAGATACATATGAGAGATGATAAGTCAATAATAATTTGACTACATACTTCGCCAAACTTCTGTATGCCTTGTCGGATGTGACATAGGGCTTCGTCGATATGCCCACGGAGTCGGCAACATAGTGCTACTAAGTGGAAGTAGGCCGCCGACTCACCCGCCTCGGATAGAGCTCTTGCCACACATACTTCTGCCAACTTTAATGGAAAAAAGTAGTAAGGAATTTAATAAATAATCAGCTGGAATTAGTATTCGTATATAGTAGATTCCTTATCGATTCATATGGTTTCATATACAGTCAATATAGGTTTATATTATTTTGACATAATTTATTCTTTGAATGATAGATAAAATCGATAATACCGATATTTATTTCCTATTTAAATGAGTTTCCGTTAACGATACTTTGATTCACGTCTACTTCAAAATTCACGGTTAGATACTTTTGTAGATTTGAAGTGTTGCATTGCGGCAGTAAACGGGTTGCCAATATCTCAGGGAAAGTGTTTAAATTTCGTAATGATTAACGGATGTAAATTGTAAGGCGCGTCATAGAGACTCCTGTAACTATTTCGGTAACGATTTACTTGTTATCATATTTAAAACAATGAAAAGAATTTCTAATATAATGTAAGTTTATAATATACTGCTACGATTATTTCATCTAATTGACTGTGTAACGCGTTTCTATAAGCAGATGAATGGGGTATTACAGGTCAATGCGTAATTATGCCGCCCCTTCAATGTTAAACTTATAGTCAGCGTAACAATTTATTAAGCTAGTCACTACTCGAGCAAAAAATTACTATGGCGAGCGAACGAGCCTACCTTATACCGCGATTAATAAATTCTCTACCTACCGACTTGTGAAACAATATCACTGTTAAAAACATAAAATTTAAACTGAAAGCTTATTTACTGATCAACCTTGGTAAAACAGCAGAATATTATTGTAAATATTGACATTTGAGAACCGAATGTAAAGTATCACACACAAGCCCAAGAGGTTTAAGTGGTACTAAAAATCCATTTTTTTTAATGTATTTATGCATGCTAATTAAAAAAAAAAATTTGTGCATTTAATTTTAATATACTTTAAGAAAAGAGTTAGTATAATACAATTTTACTAACCGTTATAGCCCGTAATCTTAATAGGAGGTCTGCCGCGTGGTAGTATGGACACATTCCTGGTAAAAGCGGTGTGTAGTCCCACCAATCACCAAGCTCATTATTCCATGATCTAGGGTAACCCAAAATATCTACGTAGCCTTTTGTTTGGTTCCTACAGTTCGTATATATGTAATATTATATATAGGATACAAAAAGATGGCAGAAAGAAAAAAATTTCATTCACAGAAAAAATCTTTTTACATGTTGCAAAACTGCACCGAAATATTAATGTGAAATTATTTAACTAGAGATTAGATACCTACAGTAAAAGGAAAAATAATATATTTATGAACCCAACTAGAGAACCATGGCTCTCTAATAGACATAATAATCTTATGTTAAATAAATTAATTGACACATCGAAAAAAAAACAGCGTTAGTAATATTATACCTATAAGCGTCAATAATTAGGTATAAAACGTCACGTGCTGTTATTGGTTCAGGAGCAGGCAGTGTAAGTGTCTGTGGTATTTTTTAGATACTTTACTTGTTTAGTGTAATAAAATATTTGTATAAACTTACTTTTTAAAATACATCATTATTTCATCCGCCAAATTAAAAAGTTCGCGTTCTGAATAGTAGGCATTAGCAACAATCCAGCCGGTTGACCAAAACGGGTGCAATGATAATAACGCTACGAAAAAGATTTCTGCTGCTTCGGGATCCTTTTCAAATACTATACATCCTTTTGATAAGAGGCTATAAAATATATATACCTAATATAACTAATATTTATAACTTACATCTACAAAAATTAAGGAATAATGTTAATTATTCCTTAATAATTAAAAAATCTGTCCCATAAAAGAAACCGACTTCAATTGTGACAAAACTAGTTATTTTGATCAAAAACTAAATTACTAAACCAAAATTGATAATTTTTTTATAGGACCAATCTGTATGTTCTTTTAGATAAAAAAAAATAGTTTAGAACTGACGGAGTTACGAGGTAACAAACATAGAAAAACATGCGACCGAATTGAGAACCTTCTTTTTGCAGTCGGTGGAAAAACCTAAAAATTAGATATTAATTAATAATATTGGTTTTAATAATTTTGTTTTTTTTTAATACACATGTATTTTGAAAATACACGGTGACACGCGTGACACTCCTCGTGAGTTGCCATTTTCGAGCATTATAGTTTTATGTTTCTGTATCCTATAATTTTATTTCATTATCTTATCTTTCAAACCGAAACATATCCATGTAAGCAATCGGATTAAATTTTACAAAATATTCGCTGACACTCACGTCAAAGGATGCCTTGGATTGAGCTCTATAGACTTGCTAATGCAGACATTGGCCCAGTCTCGATCTACATCTAATAAGCAGGTGCCCAATTCACGCCAACAGTCTGCATCGCGAGGTCTTTGGACAACTAACTAAAACACACAGAAGTTAAAACTCTTAAAAGTTTTTTAAACATTGCATTATGCCAATATAATGTAAATAAATAATGAAAACTACTACATATTTATATTATCGTTTTTACTTGAAGATAAAGTTCTGTAGCGTGAGGTATGTCCTGCAAGTAACGTGCGTGTCTTGCTGCCCTCAGTACTGGGTCTAGTTCGTGTGGATTGTCTATACCTACAAGGACGTCACAGGTGGTTTTCATGAGACACGCGTGGGCCATCATCAACATCTCCTAAAAAAATAAGAACTCTGTATTTGAAAGAAATTCTTGATTGATATATGCTAAAAAACATACATACCTAAAATGTTACACAAATGATGTGTCAAATTAATAAATAAATAAATAATAATTACCAGAGGGAGACTTCGTACAAAAGTCGATTGCTTGGGTACTTCTGTCTCATTCATGTTTCTACCTTGAAGCAGTTGTGTTTGCATGGCTGTGTTTCGGTTTGAAGGGTGGGATATCGAATGAATTTACAGGGTACAGAGGAATAACATCTGACTCCTCAGGAATGGCAACGCATGGGGGGTATCATGGGCGAAACAGTATACTTTGTTATGTCCATGGTACTGTTCATGTCTATAGGCGCCGGTTACCACTTTCCATCAGGTGGGCCGTCAGCTTGTTTGCCATTTTAAATTGTATGAATAAAAAAAAAGTTAATTACATCTATGTCGCTGGTTTTATTTACTTTTTGTGGTCAAAAATAAATACAAATTATAAGTACCTACTCTACTATAATACCTACTAGTATAATATCATCATCATCAGCATTTCAGCCATTATCCGTCCATTATACTATCTGTGAATAAAAAAATAATTTGCGGTTACAAATAATATTTGATTTAATTCTCGTCTAAAAATTATTATAAATAATCGTCAAAATCGGTTCAGAGTTAGTAAAGACATCACATAAGATATAAATAAAAAATGAAATAGCTGAAAATTTTAGGTTAGGACCACATAGGCGATCACACCTTTTTTAAATTACCATGCCATTTTAGCTATTTGTTGTCCACTGTTTCATATTGAGTCGATCTTTTTTATTAGATTAATTAAGAATAAATAAGGTTCTTCTTTTAATGATACCTCATAAAGTTCATCAGAGGAGAGGAAATCTTGGACGACAAAGTTATTATTTACGTATACGGCAGCGTCTTGCCAGCAGGACGTCGTAAGCTCTACACGAGTGCGCGTTTTACTAAACTGACGGTTGAAGTTACAAAATTCCGTCATACCTGAATAATGTAAAGATTTATTGTTCTTATTCATAGAGTTTTTAAAGACTATCAGGCTCGCCAAAGCGTAAGACATACGTTTGTTAAGCTAGCTACGACAGTTTTTGAAATCACAGATCATAGATATCATTTACTTTAGTCAGACAATTTAATTTATCTGCTTTCTGTTTGTGTAGTTTGTTTGTCGATTCTGTAGGTTAAGATAAGAGTAAAATAACCACCGGTTGATTGTTGACCGTCATTTTTTTTTATAGGACTACAAAACTATAATAGGGATTTTGTCACTACTTATTTGCACAAGGCGCATTTTTATTCAGTTAAAGAGGGGAAGTCTTCCTGATCTCCATATAACCTGCGGTCTTTAAAGGTCTTTTGCGGTCTTAAAGGAAATTTGAGTCTACGTGCAACACATTATAGATTGTGTTTATATTATATGGATAAACTAAATATAAAAAATACATAATATAAAATAGTCTGTTGATTTGACCAGGATTAGAAATTTCATAATTACCGTAATGGGGCACTTTACGTAATGAGTTGACAGCGGATCGAACAGTAGCGTGCCAATCTCTGTCCAGTTGGCCTCGTCCAGTACATTCCCTTTTATTAGCACCTCTTTCCATCTCTTTCAGCATCTCCTCTATTTCTGCACTAATATAATAAAGGTTCTTTTAATAAGGAAAGTGGGAGTAGAGCTGCAAAGGGAGAGAGTTAGCTTGTTTATAGCATCTACCATCGTTTTCAAACTTAATTATTGTGATAGTGCATGTCTTTAAGCACGTCTTTTACTACATTTAATTATTTAGTATACGGTAACAATTGCTAATGTACCACTGCGGTGTACTCAGTTTGCATTTCTGTGTCATATATAAATGTTAATATACCACATGATTGTTTAACATGAATTATCCTTTTAAGCTGGAAGTAGGTATGCCAGGTACCAGAACTGTCTAGATTACAAGTAGATTTTGTTCCATAAAAAAACTGACTTCAATCAAGGTGAAATCAGTTATTTTGATTTGAAGTTTCCATCAATTTAATCTGAAAGTACATCGTTTTAAATAAAAAAAAAAAAAATACAAATTGTTTTTTATTTTTTTTTATACAAATTAGAATGACAAACAAGCTGACGGCCCACCTGATGGAAAGTGGTAACCGTCGCTTATGAGCAGTACCATGGACATAACAGAGTGAGAACCTTCTCCTTTATTGAAGTCAGATGAAAATATTAAACTTATTAATATATTTGAATGCATTTTTAATGATTTTACTTAAGAGTAGTTTCTGAAATTTTGTTTTTATATTTTTAAGTTTTTCTATTATATATACGAGGAACAGAGAAATGAAATAAAAATAAATAAGGCAAAGCAAATTACAATATTTTATTGTTCACTTACTTAGTGATCTGAGGTGGTATAACAGCTTTCTTTAATGGTTTATCCAATTTAACTTCCACAATAACGAAGGCAGAGTTTTCATTACTTCCTGTTGGTCTTGCAATATATCCCACATCAGTGTTTGTGCTCGCTTGTGTAGAATCACCTGTGTTTCTAAATAATAAAGTCCGATGATCATTTATTACATAGATTTCTTTGTACGGCATTGAGAAATATTCACATTAATAAGTATTATACAATTATAAAATAAGATTATAAATGTGTAAAGGATATTATTTGCTTGTTTTAGTATATCTAGGATTTAGAGTGGAGGTGGAAAAACATAGGTTACTTTTTATACTAGTAAATTAAAACTGATCAATCCGATAAAAACTTGTAAAATTTATATTTTTACAAACATACTAATGCTCTTCTACAATTTATTACCCTAAAACCTGATATAAGCAATCTCGTGAATATAATATTGTAACTCCTATTAATAATATATATTTTTCTTTTTACTTGATAGGTTTTTGAGTACTGCCTGGTGTCGAGGGTCCCTTTTTATTGGATCTGAGCAGTAAATCACAGCCACAATTCTCCATCATTGCCTGACTGTTTATCCATTGCAATGGTGCAACCAAACGGATTGTGGTCTCTAAAATAGGATGATTTATGGTTATTAGTTATTTTAAAGATATTATATTTTGAAATTTAATTATCTGTTATATTTATATTGTAATATGATATGTTTGGGAACAATGATCAAAGTCAATACAATCATAGTATCTATTTAAATATTAAGAAGTAACCTAGAGATAAGTCTTTACGAACAGTATATATAGATATGATGGATAAACTAGCCATCAGTGTATCCAGTTATATTCTTGAAAGCTCAACGATTCAGTTCATCATATCGCTATTAATTATAAAATTATAATGAAATTCATTCAGTTATCTTCTCACTATGAGATTAGGAGGTTGAGGCACAGACCAATAAATATTTTACTTAAAATTTGAGGAAGAAAAAGGACTAAAAATTCGATAGCTGTTTCTGTTCATTTTGAAGATTTGATATATACATACTACCTATATGGGATGAAGAAGAATATAGACTTTATATTCCTCTCAGTAAATATAACCTGACCATGCGGACGAAGTCACGAGCAAAAACCAGTTATTTTATATAGTCAAAGGTATAAATGCTTAAATGTAACGACAGACTTAGAATGTCTTACCACCAGGGTAAAGTAATTGAAATAAGTCCAAAAAGGCCATGAAACTATAACCGTCCTGTTCTCCATACATATGCACTTCTAAAGGCCACTTATATTGTCGTAAATGTCTCCATAACCAGGTGTTAGAATCCTTTAACATCAGGGTACGATGAAATGAGCCCCACACTGTCGTATCTATAAATATAATTATAAAGAATAAATTTAAACAGGGAGATCCTCTACAAGAAGAGAGATAACTAACGAACATATATGTTAAGAGTATAATATAAAAAAAAATTAAAATTGATGATTAATATTATTAATTAAATTTAAAATATTAATTACTATAAATACTATTAAGTATTTCTAAATTGACATACAAGGGTCTGTCCTATTGTGAACGTAACGATTCACATCTATGTCGTGGTAATTTTGTAGGTCTTCTATATTAAAGTGAATTTTTTCGTCTCCCTTTGTAAATATATTATCACTTAGTCTGAGGCTCTCCCATTTAGGATAAAAACTCATGCATCTGTATTTTTTTGGTATTCTGTAACCTTGATTAAATGTTACCAAGCCGCAATTCTATAAAATAATTATTTGATAAACAGTGTTTTATTTATTATATTATTTATACTGCGAATATAATTGGCGAAAGCTTGTTATTAGATATTCTAGTTCTAATTTTTACGTGTTGGAATCTAAATTATAAATATATATTTTAATAACAATGCCAATAAACTTGCTTACAAAGTGTTAGTAATCGTTACTGAAATTGAAACAGAAAAAAAGTTGAAACTCCATTCTTACTCAAACTGTAGTCAGACCGATAAAAAGTAATTTTGTTAACCTAAAAATACAACAAATATTTAAATGCTTGTACACCTATCCCCCGATTTACACGGTAGATACGTTCCTGAGAAAAACGTGTAAATCGAAAATTAAAAATTTTCAACTCAAAACCGTGTAAATCGAAAAGCTTGCAGAAAATGCATAATTTTGCTATTTAACAGTTGTGATTTTTTTCAATATTTTTAGATGTACACAGAAATAAAAATAAAATGCATTGACAGGTTAAAATATGTAATATATTACGGAAACATTGTTTTTTTATTTAATTACAATACATTAAACGATCCAAAGCGATCCAAAATTTCGATTTTAGCATTTAGTAGAGTGCGATAAAAACAAAAAAAAAAAACTTATTTGGAAAACCGTGTAAAAGCGAAAACGTGTAAAACAAGTACCGTGTAAATCGGGGGATAGGTGTATTTCTAATAATGTAGAGCTCTGGCAGGATTTTATGTACCGATTCCTTCCTCAATCTTTATTGCAAGAAACATCTGTCTATAATGCTAAATATTTTAATTAATCAGAGATGACAAAATATAGAATAATTAATGCATAGATGAATTAAACTAACAGTTTCATTATGAAGAGGCATTTTAGAAGCAGCACTATATACGTATTCGTCATTATAAGGCACTATCATATTGTAAGATGCTATTAGTGTCAACTTCATGTAATTTGCTTCCTTGAGTAGTTTGTGATGGTGAGTGTTTAGCGGATTCCTCATCACCGAAAGTTCTATTGTAAGTAATGGTAAATTATCCCAACTTTTCTGATGTAAAATTGAAGGTTCAATCATTGGTTCCATTCGTTTTGTTATGCACATTTTGTCACGATCTGAAATAGTTATTATATATACCTTCACAATACACATCATACAGATAAATTATAATACACTGAATATAATGTTGAAGTAGTGGTATCTATTTTTTCGAGTAAAATAAAAAAAGGAAGTTAAGCAAACTAAGATGAAGAAGAAGATATAAGAAATGAGCGTTCTTCATTTGCCACGCGGAGTGTTAACATTTTTGTTTACAAATTTTTAAGAATATGACACTTTGGAGAGTTTATTCCTGGGAAATTACTCTCATGTATACTTTTGATTCTATTATATTAACTATTTTTATACTAGTTTGGAATTTTTAATTGTAAGAAATAAAATCTAAATATAGTTTTATAATTACAGGACTTACACAAAAAAATAGGTAAAATATCGATGTTACAACAACTTATGTTCTGGCAGGATGTGACAATGGAGCTTGATTTATTTAGAAACAATTTGTCTCCCGATTCACCAGATAAGTTGGTTTCTCCACTTTTAAGAGGCTGAGCATTTACTATAAAAATCCATAATAATTTATTGCGTATGAGTAGATACTTATTCAAAGAAAGATAAATATTTTTACTGATATATGTATATTACCTACTAACGGACAGTCAGCAAATAGACACATTTTTTCGTAATCAGATGGATCATAATTCATGTCACCGCTGGCTAATATTTTTTGTTCTTTTATAATTTCACGACTTCCTATAGACTTAATTATTGCTGTCAATAACAGCTGATCGTAAAACGTCATTTTAATAGCGAAGTGTTTGGGATCTTCGTCTGGAACTCGAAAACTTATCACTTTTATGGTCAACACATCGAATGGTGGAATATATACTTCCTCTTTAAATTGTATGTCAGGTTTTGTTATAGATATAGAGGCTTCCGACCGAATCTAAAAAATTTACAAGAGTCAGTTTTCAATATATTTTTGTTGTTTTAGTAAATAAATTAAAAAGTTACTTGTTTATACCTTCCCTTTTTTCATGATTCTGGTATTTATTTATTGTTTCTGTAATTACGTAATTTCATGGGATTGTAGTTATGACGTAAATTATAGATAGTATCTATATGCGAATTTTAGAGAAAAGCACACACAAATATACAATACTTGACAGTTCAACTGAAATAGTTTTTATGCAGAAGTTGTTAAATTTTTATATAATGAGGTTTAATTACAAATACTGTTATTAAGTTTTTACTTTTTAATTAGCAATTTACAATTAACATGCTTAAGTAGGTACTGTATAAAACAGTATAAAAGTTTGAAATTTATGCGCTGCTGTCGATATTTTAAAAATATTACCTTCTTACTCTAGACTACAATAAATTGTATTAATTACTGTGAAAAGGATTTTTATTAATTCAACGGATACTTATTTTTTTAGTCCTGTAGTACCAGTATCATCATTACTTATAAATATAGCTACTTATATATTTTGCAAAAATCTGTATGTATAATATAGTTAATCATTAAAATACAGTTTGGCTTAAAATTTTTGACGGTAGTAGGTATATATAAAAATGTACTCAAGTACTATAGATAGGTAATGCAGCTATTAAATAGAGATTTGTGAAAAAATATAATGGCCTAATGACATCTACTTTTGTGATATTACTATTAACGTTCAACAATTTAACATTTATAGCCAGATTGATATTATTATATTGATGAGGATAATGTGTACCGATACATATTTTTAAAAATGAATGTAATGTGTTATCTATTTAACATAATATTTATTTTGTTTGTATCCGTAGTATTTGCACAAATAGCGAAAAACACCGACAATTACGTAAGTACTTTTGTAAACTTAATGTAGAAAAGACGATCATTAGACCTTATCAATAAGTTTGAAGTTTTTATTATAGATTTGTGAGCCCTTAGCACTGCATCTGGTTATCAGCTTTTAAAGTCCTAGGAGATCCGTTACGTCAATTTTTTTTTGCGAAAGGAATCACTTTGTTTATTGATTTTTCTCCCCTTACGAAGTATCATAAAAGAGAATGACTTATTGTATTGTTAGCTGGTTTTCAATATCCATTCATGTTGTTAGCATAAATTCGAATACATTAAGATTTAAAAAAATTTATAATATGTAACATACACCATTCTATACAAGATTTAGCTAATTCTGCCCCCATTTAATATGCGTCCTATTATGGTGCCAATATTGTTAAGCTACTTTAAATTTAACGGTATTTACTGACTTTGTACATATACTAAATAGGTCTTCAAAGACTGCTGAAAATAAATCAACGAATTGTTCATATGTGTTTGTTGACAGGGTCCATATATAATCTCAAGATATGACCTTACCGTGTGCTCTGGTCCTAGACAGAAAAATTTAACAGAAATCGAAAGTCACGTATTGAAACAAGATAATTCTTTTGTGGGTGTTGTTAAACACATATTTTTAGAACGAAGTCGAATTGAAGAGGTAAGATTAAATATTAAAACTAGGTAAGTTATTTAAGACTATTTAAGGTAATTTTGAAAACAAATAATATTTGACTGTATCGACTTCTAGAGTATACATGAAAAAAAAATAAAAAAAATTACATAACATAAAATATTAGTCGAAAATTGCTATTGTGGTGAACATAACACTCGACATAGTTACACATTAGAATCCAACGTGGTATGAGGTAAGTTTACCATCGTCGCTCGGATTATTTAGATTTGTTGTCGGTGTTTTTTATCACCGGAGGAATAGTTGGAAATTTAAAGTCATACACAGTTTTTGATGTCAGCCATTCTCGAATTTACGACCTCTGCGGTCTGTAAAGTTTATTAGAACGCATATCATTAAACTAGGTTGCTCTAAGAACAGTGATAATTTATATTTTTAATATTTTCAGATGAAGGTAGACGTATTTGCTATAAATGATAATCGCAAAAAATTGTTATGGAGGCATAAAGTGAAAGACGTATGTAGCCATTTTGCTGCGGCAAGCTTGATTAAGGTTAATTTTAAATCTAAAAAAGATTGCGTCGTGGAAAAGGTTTGTATATTTCAAATAATCATATGACTAACTGTTTCTATTTGAACATATTAAAATATATATTTTAAACTGTATTTATCAAATGTTCGAACTAATAGTAAAAAAAATAAACTATTATCATATGTAATACTTATTTATAATAAATTTAAACTATTACAATTATTATGTAGGATATAAGATACTATTTGGCGTATAAGTATATGCCAATTTTGTATAATTTCAGGGCGAATATATCAGCAAAATGAATTTTACACAGCTGACGGAAAGCTTTTTGGGAGATTCATTCTTTTATGGCACATTCAGATATCATGCTGTATCATTTTCAAAGAAGGGAAATATATTTTGTTTTCAGATAAACACCATATTTACTAAGAAAACATGAGCCAAGACAAACATCATTATTATGTGTGAGCATTATTTGTATTGTATATTCCGTAAATAAAGTATTACGTGTGACATATGTTTAATTTGACGTGATCAAGTAATAAAGTTTTCAGTAATTTACACTAATGTTATAATTGAGAACTTGATTATTTATTTTTAAAGGATAAACTCTTCGTATATTATATAATATATAGAATAAATCTTTTCACCTATAGAAAGTTATATTATTAGCAAGTAACATGGGCTGTATTTTCGTATAGAGCGTGTGCTCCTGGTATTGAATAGGCCACCCCTTTCTTTCCCTTGGGTGTCGAAGAAGGAGGGCGAGAGATGGGCAGCAGCATTCCTCTTAAAACATTTCCAAAGCCTAACTGTGGTTGATAATCCGTCTGCCGAGCGTAGCGACTACTGGCAAAACATCTTAAGGCAAAACATACTGGCAAAACATCTTATGTTCAGCAGTGGACAGTTAAAAGCTGATACTCGTATGATGATGATATTTAAGAATGGAACTCGGCGTGTGAGTTCAACTCGCACCTGACCTGTTTTTTATTTTTTACTCATGTGTCTTGGGAAAAGTTTATTATTGTATATTATTGTCTACTACTGAATACAGGCCCTATAGACTGCTACAAATAATGGTCCTTAGCTAATTGGACGCATTGACTTATCGCAATGTTTTAAGGTCTTCATTCTATTGAATTTAATATACTTATATATTACATAATAACAGAATAGAATAGAAAACATTTATTAGCCATAAAACATGAAAAAAACATACACAATACAAATTCATAGGTATACAATAAAAATAAATGACCAAAGGATTGAGGAAAAAATTCATTATCTTAGTATTAAGGCAACAACCGCAGGCATATTACCCACACAACTGTCGCAAAAAATATACTCCAATATAAAGTAGTTTTTTTTTGTAATGGGTAATAACAGAATAGTATCACTGTCTGCACTAACAGTATACACTGGTGGGCCACCAGTGAGAGATGACAGGTGAGAAAGGCAGGTCAGTTAGCCCATCGTGATGAATATATCTGGGATTCAATACGATGTTTTCCAGGGTCATGGAGGTTGACCTGACAGGGTATATAACTGCATTGGGACTGTTAGTTCGTATTACTAACAATCTCTTTTCTCCTGTATATAATGTAGTAGGTACAAATATTATCAGAGGTAATGTCGACTATAACATTAAGCTTATTTATTTATATAGATTAACAATTAAGTCTTCACTAGTTGTATAATTTTTTTTACGCATCTTAGAATAGCAGACTAGTTGACGGCCCACCTGATAGAAAGCGGTACCTAACCGTCGCCAAGGGGGGGGGGGGAAGGGATTGTTAGTAATGGAGACTGAGAATCCCATTGCTAGCAATATACCCAACTAGGTCGACCTCCTTGCGGTTCCCCCTGGAAATTATCACTGATGCTCCGCCAGCGTATCCCGTTAGCGCAGGCGGGGTTACTATACCATTTTCACCCATAAAAAAAAAACTATCGCCAAGAGACATGAACAGTACCATAAACATAACAGAGTATACTATTTCGCCCATGATACCCTTCGTGCGTTGTTATTCCTGAGGAGGAAGGTGTTATGCCTCTGTACCCTGTAAACTCACTGCTATATCCCCCCACCCTTTAAACTGAAACATCCATGCGAACATAACTGCTTCACGGTTAATACACAAATGGGATAGAGGCACCCAATTGTTACTATAATATAAAATAAATAAACACTTACCTGTACGAGTAGTACCTATGCATTTCTAATTGATATGTTCATTTAACCTTAAGCGACTTATAGTGTTGTATTGTATTTATTTCGTTTAATTTTTATGAACATATTGTAGGTGTTCTTATATGAATACATTAATAAATTACCTGTGTTACATTCATAATTTTCACTAAGAATGTTTCCTTTTGTAACGACAATGTAACAAGGCGATTTCATACTACTAGGTACCCAAAAATAGATGCAGTGTGTTAGAGATTCGGATCGTCAACGCGTTCATTGTAATGTTCTTTTGTAAATGATCAAATCATTGACCTTCATCTAAGCTATTTTTGATTTACTTGTGCAACTTTTCTCTGATGTCGCAATGCTATGTGATTTTTTATACATACCACGGCTATGTATAAAAATACTTGTTAGAAACTACAATAAATAATAATTATTTAAAAAAATGTAGTTAGTGTCACTGTCGTCTATATTTGTTCAGGCGTTTAGAAATTGTAGTAGAAAAAAGAAACTCCTTTTTTAAATAGTTGAGAAACTGATTTAATTTAAAAAAAAATCCTTTAACGAAATACAATGCAATTAATAAAACGTTTTTAGTTAAAAAAGCTCACAGAGTTGCTATTTAGATAGTAAATAAGAGGGCGAAAATTATTAAAGTATACCCAATGATATATATTTTTGAACATTTTGATGTTATCTCAAAATCTTCATGTTTGTAGGTAACGACTAGTACTTTTCATAGCTAGCCATTTTCGCCAGCTTACTTGCCATTCTATGTTGCATAAAAAATAGTTAGACCCGTTTTTGCCAACTGAGAAATCATGCGTGTTAATTGTTAAATAATAAAATCTTTATGACAAATGGTTGTTCTTATCCTCACTAATATTCCTACCACAGTCTAAGGAGCCTCTATAAGAATTGTTTACATTATGCTACTACTGTTATGAGCGCGGCAGTTGCTGCGGATATATTTATGTATGGCTGAATGTTATTTACTCTTTCATGCAAAAATTACTAATCGGATCTGAATGAAATTTGATACATGGATAGATGCTTTTGTACGTTCACTTAAAGTATAAATATTAGATTATAACATATACAAAAATGTATACAGACGGACTTATCCCTTAAGGGATTTCTTCTAGTCAACCTTAAGAACTCGAAAGGAGAAAATGTCTATACGGGTTAAAGCATAAAATAGATGGTGTAAAAATAATAATATAAATGAATTATTAGTAGCTATATAGTTAGTAAGTAACGGCGTAATTATTATACATATAAGTTATTCAACTGTCAATTTTATTGTAAAATTGCGCAACCAATTCTCATTAAATTTGTCATACACATATTATTTGAAATGAAGTAGGATATATGGATATTTTTTATCCCGTGACTTCGTCCGTGTAATTGTCGCCGTCGCGGGTAAAAAAGAATATTGCATAAACTAAAATATGAGTATATCGATTTCATCTCATTACTCCATCTAGTAGCGGTCATCCTATATTGTTTGGCTACAAGAAACTTTTCTCTCTCGTCAATTGCCAGTTGTTTCAGTAATAATCAAGTATATTCGTATAATAGTATTAAATAATTTGAGCTTTTAATATATTAAGCACATAAGAAGACGACAAATAAGGTAAGAGTAGTGTTGCTTAGGTTATTGGGTAAGTAAAACAAAATGAAACGAAACATTTGTATATAAACATTGAAATCTTATTACAATTCAAAATAACGCAATAGAAAAATATTATTCAAATAAATTATAAGTAAAACCGCAACGGTGGGAAAATAAATTAAAAATAAATTAATAATTAAATAGCATTAATACGTCTCTACTTAACAAAACCTTATATTTATGTCTACTGCTCTTTATGTTTTATTTTAGAATAAAGTTACATAAAAGTTTGTTATTTTTTATATCCACCCATGTACCCTTTTGTTTTGTAGTTTGTTGAATATTATGTTTAAAATAAATAACATAATGCCTAATTCAATTAACTATTAAATTTTACAATAATACTGATTTAAATATGTTTAGTTTTTTTTTGTACAATTACATCAGTTTTAAAAAAATGGAATACATTTGAAAATCTAAGGAAAATTGTTTTGGTACATGATTTTAAAATTCCAATCTCTAAAATTGTTTACATAATGTTTATATAAAGTCTTCATATAAAAATTGTCACTATTCCAAGATCATATTATGTAAGAAAATACCACTCTTTATCTAAAAATCATTCTGTGTATAATATACACATTATAATGAATGTGACTATATACTAAATCGTTCAATTATTTAGTGCCGTAAACTGTGATTAGATTGTAACTAAACTTTATGATATCCAGTTCGTTGTTGTTTTCTTCCTTTAATTGTATCATATCGCGAAATGCCTCCATGTAATCATTGAAGTAATCATTGAAGACATCAAATGGTATTTTGAATGGATTGACCGCTTGAACTGCTTCTGAAAATACAATATATAGGTTTTATTTACTGGTAATATTAAAATATTTCTTTATATTTTAATTGAATTGCAAATACAAAACATCTATCAAGTATATTACAAAAAATATCTTTTTATATTAACTTTCATTAAATAATTATTTAAGGGTTTATTATAGATATTTTGATGATTAAAATATGGTATAGTAATGGAGTAATTTGTGTAACAAAAAGTCAAGTGAAGCATGGGATAATTCGACTATTGATTGATGAAAAAAAAAAAATAGTGAATTTGACAATTTTAGTCAGTTAGTAGAAAGCTTTAAGGAAAAAAAAAATACTTTTTAGGAGAACAATGTATTAGCAAAAAGGTGTAGTTAACCTATATGTGCGGCTTTTTATTTGCTAACTTAATGTCATGTGTCTGATTTTATAAGAGTATTTTCATAAATATTTTTTAATTATTTTTCACTTAGATGCGTTTATATAGCCTTTGCATTTTACAAAAGTAATTTATATAATTACTCATTATTTTTGTTTGCTAATCCAAGTCAAGTATAAAAATAAAATTGGAAAACGAATTTGAGTGGAAGTGTGTAAATGTTTAAGTAGTTATGGAGATTGAGCAAATATCTGAGGGGAAAGCCACTAGATGTACTTTTTACTTTTTAGCTAACAGAGTTATCATATTGTGAATAAAATATCAAAATGTAGGTACTTACTTTTTAGAGTCTCTGGACTATTGTAAATAAAGAATTTTTGTTTGGATGAGACTTCAATGTTGCTGAAGCCTATTTCTTCCATCATTTTCTTGATTTCTTTTTCAGAATCCTAAAGTGTAATTGAATATATTCTTTAGTTACAAATTAGAAGAAATAATCTTTCATACCTATATAGATTGTTTAGCATTTGTTTAATTAGAATACAAAAAAAGCCACTTATTACATTTTTAATTAATTTAACTATCTTAGGGGGAAGGCCCAATTGACCTTGCTTAGAGGAGGTAATAATTAGAAGTAAATTAGGTTTAGATTATTTCATTAAGATTTGAGTATTATGGTATGGGAAGTATTATTGATTTCTTGAAATTTCTTAAGTGGAAGAATGTAATTTTTATCGTCAATAATAATAATAATTAGTCAGAGTTACATTTATCTATAGTTCTGGCTTCCGTAAAAATGTGACTCATTTGAAACTAAACTGCAGAAATTAGATAAACGCGTTCACCTTTCACCTTTTTCGATAAAATAATGTCAGAAGAAACACCGAAAAGTTACAAAAACATCTTTTACAAGTTATAGCAGTTAGAAAAACATTGGTTTGTTATATATTAAATCATGGTGTATAATCATTTAGGATTAACACAACTTGAATTCATCACATTTGTTTTTAAGTTCCATCCCATTTGTTCAAGGCAAATAATATAAAAATGCATTGATAATGAAGCCTATAAATTAAAGATCTTCATACCTTTGAATCATGATATGGGCTTATGAATCGGTCGACATCATGCAACCATGAGCTCCATTTATTGTTACGAGCTAGTGTTCGGTACGCTTCATATATGGGGTGGTAGCCAATAAACACTAGCAGACAATCTCCACCTTTGTTTAGCATATCGTAAATGTTCGTAAACGCTACCCTGTAATTTATTAAGAGAAAAAAAATTAAACAAGGAAATTCAATACCGTTTTGTAAGTAAGTTTAATAGTATAGTGAGGTTTAGAGAAGTTGACTTATCTATATACCTACATATATTATTGCTACGAGCATTTTAGGTCTACGAGAAAGCAGTGATTCGCTACGTCTACGTGCCACTACGTGCATTTTCTAGTATACATACTCAAGTAGTAGCAGCATTTACTATTTTAAGTTAAATAGTAATCATACAAAATTATTAATTGTAAAAAATATTAATAAAAATATGTATTCAGTACTATTTCCTTAATCTTGTTAGGGTTCCATAGTCGAATGGAAAACATAGAACCTAAAAATTGCGTATATCTATTTATTTAACATAATATGTAGATCACAGTATCATATCATTAGTAGTTTAAGTATTACAATGTAATTTTTTTGTCACTTATCATTAACTACTTGCTATAAAGTAATATTTTATGTACATATATAATTAAAATTAATTACTTACTCTTGATGCTTGATCCAATGAAGTACGTAAAACGAAAAGGCGTGGTCGAAATTATTCTTCAGGGTAATCGGCAGGTAACCCTCGATGTCGAGTGTGGTGAAATGAGTCCGTTCATTCCCGTGATGTATATTTGCAAAGTTTACCATGTTCTCGCTAATATCACACCCTACGAGTCTCTCAAAATTGTTGGGCATATATTTTTTCAAAACATTAATTGTGATACCTCCATCACCGCAACCAATATCTATAACACGATCGCCGTATTTCTTCCATCTAATTTTTGCTGCATATTCTTTTAATGCGTCTACGGCGTCCCTTTTTTGTAGGGAATTGTTTTTTTGGTATAATTCGGCGTTATTCATAGCGGCTTAGTTATTTAAATTTTTGTTTCTATATTTTTTATTTTTTGTTTGTATATCTGTTAGGCGCGTGCGCTAGGTAGCTTTACTGAACGCGGTTTCGTCGTGCAATCGCGGCAACAGAGCTGTACGTATGTATTTATATGTGCCGCCGTAAGACATCGTCGATTGCTGCGGCAAACGCGGCCGGTCGGAGCAAGTGACAACGAAGGGTTGCACAATCTGGAAAAAAGATTAATATCTGTATCATTGCGAACACTTCAGACCTATAGAGAATATTTACAAATTAAAGCCTTTTACAAGTTTGAAAGGAGAATATATCTCTATCATACATTAAAAACCAATTAAAAGATTCAAATCAGTCAATACAACCAGTAAATATGTAATAATAATTACACGTACTTAGTCATTGTATAGACCCTAAGGAACAAGTTTCAGGTTTCAATTTGAAAATAAAAAAGTGACACCGCATTTGTTGTCATTTTTCTTTGATGATTTGGAATGTTCATAAATATTAGGCGCATAACAATGGAATATAAAAAGAAAAATCAAATATTACAATAGTAATTTTTTTTATAAATAATAAATTAATTGTGAATTGTGTTATACTGTAGAATTTAGATTTAAATTTTTTTAAATTAGAATTTACTTTCCTAAACATCTGATTTATTAAAATTGGTTATTTGGATATCGTTATAGAAAGTTAATGTTTTTTTTTAAGCAGAGCTCGGCATATTAAATTATTTCGTTGTAGAGTGGTAAAAGTTATTTTTATTACCAAATGAGTATAGGGTATTTTACACTCTAGACAGTCTTACACATACCATATCTACGTGTAAGACTGCCTAGAATGTAAAATATGGATATTATCTTGTTATTAGTATTAAGCCCGCCTTTTGTACTATGGTACAAAAGGCGGTATAAAATATGTTTTATTTTGGTTAATAAAGTTATTTAATTGAATAAATAAATCCATTAGGTCTATAAGAATGGCAACAATCTGTGGTGGTAAGAAATTACTGTCGACTACGTAACGTTCGCGATGCTAATATTCAACCCATTTCGCAATTAAGTAGTGATAAAATTAATTGCGGTCTTCTGGAGGCGAAGGTAAACCTGTCTGATAATCCTGCTTTTGAGGGATATTATGTGGCTATATATATTAACCTCATTGATTCCTGTCTCTCTTTAAAACGATAAACAAATATATTTTGCCCCGCAAATAAAGAGATTTCGATTGTAATAAAACACACCAAAGAACTACGTTGTGTTTCGTAGACCCATTAGGAGTAAATGAATATTTGAATTTAGAACGTGGAAATTGTAATTGCCAGTATATTACTATTAAGCGAAATAGTAATATATTGGCAAAAACGATTGACTGACAACAAGCAGCTTTTTGCTGCATAAAGAAAAATTACAGCTTTAATCATGACATAATAAATACGGATTTAATCCTTCTTTGCATACTGGTTTAAATTTCTATCATAACATTGAATGCCTAAAACTTATATAAAAGACGAAGTTCATTTTAAGTTGATTGTGTCTGGATAATTTTTTAATGTCCATTGCAGAAAGAAAAACATAGCTGTCAAATTTATTGTTTTAACCATTTTTCCTTTAATTTTAAACATGAATTATATCACTTTGATTATATGACTTTGATTTCACCAATAAAAAACATCATGCAATTAGATGCATTAGAGTAAACCCTATCGATTGTACAAATAGGTTTAGAATGTGCGACATAACGCGTAACATTGCCACAAAAATACAAATGGTTGAAAAACTTCCTATATCTAGGAGATGTAAATTAAATACGCTTTCTGGATTACAATTTCAGGCAGTATAGAGGCATTCAGATGACTGTTATTCTGGTAGCAATTTTATAACCACATTTGCTCACTTTTCTCTTTCTCGAATTAAATATATTTGCTGATTTCCAGTAACGGTAGTGTTCTAGTTATTCTTTGGTATGTTAAATATTTTCGGTAGATTATGACTACTTGTGGGCCGGGTCAGGAAATCTCTAAGCCACGACGCATTATGGTGGAAAAGGTTTTTAACAATAGACACTCCATCGTTATTTAGCGATTTCAATACCGCCTCTTACGTACTTATTTGTAACTACGAATATGTTTGAAAAATAAATGCGCAATGTTTTCCGCGTGACGACTGAAGATGAGTAGAATGTGTTTACAATTCTTTTTCATTCATCGGAATGGATTTAGGATGACGTATAAGGCGACAGAGGAACAAAGCACACAAATTGACAAGTATATATTACTACGCAAAAAGCGACCTTAAACCTGAACGCATTGATAAACGACGAGATGTTTCTTAGATGCTCTATAATGGGGTCAATTTTGAGGCACCATTTCTCTAAAGTTTAATTTCAATTTGACGTCACAGCGAAATTTTTTTTCTAAGGATCAATATAAAATAAATTTCTAATAGATTTTTAAATAAAAATTATTATAATTTTAGTTTATTATAAAACAATTGTTATATTGTTGTATACAACGTGGCAACTACTGGCTATGTTCATAGTCTCCCCCTTAAGGGGGGTTTTGTCAATAGTTGCCACGCTTGGCAGGTGGGTTGGCAATCGTAATTTGGCTTTGGATGATGTTTTATGAGGGATGCTGTTGTCCATCTCCCCACCATAAGCTCCCTTAGTCGCCTTTTACGACGCCCACGGAAAAGAAAGGGGTGGCAGGACCTACACGGCTATCATAAAACAGTAATATTAAATAAATTAAAATAGATTATCGAATTAAAATATTATGCTAAGAGTTGGGTTTAGAGAAATGTCGTCTCATAATCGACCTCAATATCTTGTTTCGAAGATGGCTGATATTGTAAATATTTAGAGTTTATATCTACATTTTGCTTTGCAACAAGCGGTTTCTTGTCCTATAAAGAAAACTGCCAGTTTCAGTCATCATATAATTTAAATGAGGCCAATACGAGAGTAAATCCTACGGATTGTAGCAATAATTATGAAAATCGATTCAGATTGGCGTTGTAAGTATGTAATATAATCGCAAAAAAAAACAAAGCTATTGAAAATCTCTTTCTTCTGAAAGCCATTTACTAAAGCGAATAAAGTTTGGTTACGGAAGTCCTTTATGAAAAATTTTTCTAATAATAAACTGAAGTGGCGGTGGGACATAGTAATTAAATTATACAGGGTGCAGAGGTAAACACATTAGTTTTCTACATTATTATAGATATTACAGGATATTCTGTAATGAATCATAAGGCATTTCAATAATTTTTTTTATGATATTTATTTATTTATTTATTATTACATTAACAGGATGAGCTTTACAGTCTCCCAATACGCTCACCCAGGAAAGCATCAGTATAATAACGTATATAAAAATGAATAATACACATAAATAAAAGGAATAAAATAATAAAGATTTTACTTAACTAGAAATAACAATAGAGCCTAAATCTCTGAACACAAACACTCTGTGATCATCCGACGAAACTCTAGCAAGTTGGAGGCAAATACGTCCAATTGCGGATATTACATATCTTCTTTACAGAATAAGCTGTAATCTTAATTTGTAAGAATTAAACTTTAATAATGAATCTTTACTTATATAATTGAAAGTAGGTATAATTTATTTTGTAACAGTAGTATAAAGATATAATAATAAATATATATTCAATTAGATTATCTACAGATAATCTATATGAAAAGAGAAAAATACAATGTTACCTCACATACATTGTATTGTATTTTTTGTCATACAGTTTCCTCATAGTCTAATTTACATTATGTATCACATCCTTATGTGTAAAAGTTAAAAATTCTATTTCAATGATACGAATTTTGTAAGACGTAATAATAAAATTACAGGGAAGGAAATTTCCTTATTCTGTTTTAAAGAGGATACATTATAAATTGTTTGTTACCAAACTCCTCCGAAACGGCTTTATCGATTTTCATGAAATTTTGTGTGCATTTTGGGTATGCCTGAGAATCGGCCAACATCTATTTTTAATACCCCTCAATGATAAGGATGACCCACCCCTAAAAAATTGTTTCTTTATTTTTTTAAAATTTTTTTTATTTTTATTTTAATATGATTTAGCATTAAAAAATACATACAACTTTAAATTTTCATCGTTTTACGATAAATTTTAATCGTGATTTTTATACGCAAAAAGTGGTAAAACAACGTTTACAGGGTTGTATATTTATATGTAGCAAAAAGGACAATTTAGTTAAAATGAAAGTAGATATCTGTGTATACGCAAAATATCTAATAATAAGTTTCTATACATAAAATTATGTATGTAGGGAAAAATTTATTAAATTACTTCAAAACCTAGAAAATATTCAGTTAAAACATTTGTAATGAATTAGTGAAATTTCATTTAAATAATATATTTTATTTAAATTTGTGTTTAGTAACGCAGCGCCATTACTGAGAATTTTATTAAGCCATAATAGTAATTACCTATTGCATGCATGTAATTACTAGGATATTAAAAAGTAAATTAAAGTAAAACTAATTGAAACTTTTTATACATAAAAACCCCGTATCACGATGTTCATTTACAAGAATATAATAATTATAATAATAGAAAACCCTAAACTAATTTTAATAAAATATTTTAAAAATATATATAAAAATCAGTTTCAAAATATACAAAAGAAACATTTACATAAAATATAATACAACGTTAGCTTACTAGTTAGTAAGCTTTTATTTAAATTTTGAGTACCTCCTTTGGACCTCCTAGCAAAAAAACCAAAAATGTTTTTTTTTTTTATTATCTCCCTTGTAATATTGGCCAATGTCAATAATATTATAAACTAGTGCTGTAACTGTGTCATAGGGACGAACCGATGGTTCGGTAGCAAAAATGGATTCGGTAGGTAAGAGCAAAACAACATTTTGGGCCATATGATTTCTTATATGAGAATGGTTTAATTTAAGAATGAGTATATATATATATATATATATATATATATATATATATATATATATATATATATATATATATATAATATATATACTAGGTTAAATTAAAACGATTGAAAGATTAATATAAAATTGCTTTTTATTTATGCCTTGTTCTATTGCTATAGTAGCACTACAATGAGTAAACATAGGTTTACGCTATAAAGGAACATAAACATTTTCTATTAAGCAACAGTTCAGTTCATACTTTTGTAACTACAATGTAACAAGGCGATT